ATTGGCATATTGCCTTGCAGTTTCCTTCCTCGCGACAAGGTTGCCCGTGGATGTGTTGCTCGCTCCCACTGCTCCACTGCCCTTCCACCACACACTCCCCCCTGCTTTCTGCCACATTGTGGAAAAGCCCCATTCGCAAGGCATGTCCGGCGTGAGACGATCAGCTGATCCAGTGCGTGACCGCTGTCACGCTTCCTTTCGCACCACGCTTGCTGCTTTCGTGTCACACTGCCTTCGTGTCACACACTGCCTTCGTGTCACACACACACACACACACACGCACACACACGCACGCACTCCTCTTCACACTCACACACCGACACTCAACAAGTGACATGTTATTCAGCCAGTCAAGTGCCAATGGCACCCTCATTCCCTCAAGCTACATGGCTAGCGTGCATCTCCTCACAGCTGCTGCGACTTTGCTCCAATGTGCTATTTGATAGAATGCCTTCCCACCTTTGGCCAGCAATCCAATGCTGAGCCTCCCGCCACGCTGCACCAATGAATGTCATGGATCCCGGAGGCTTGCCGCCATCGGGTCACAGCTCCCACGCCAATGCCATACCCCAAATGCCTTTTGCAGGCTTTAACCCCATGCCCGGCATGGCAGTGACAACAACAACCGCAGCCTCGCTGGCTAGCACCCCAACTTCCACCGTTCCCCCTACCCCTTTCAACTGGTTCGCCGCCAACATGCCGTTGATGATGGGCCAATCCTTGACTCCGGATGCGTTTGCCCTCGCCCTCCAACAACAACAACAACAACAACAACAACAGCAGCAGCAGCAGCAACAGCAGCACAACAATCAGCAGTATGATCAACAACAGAATCAAGCACACGCACAAGCTCAAGCCGCCATGATGGCCTCGTTTGGCACCATGCCTTGGATGTACATGCCCTTTCTCATGAACTCTGACGGGTATGCCGCACTCACAAAACAGATGCAACCCAATCACATTGCCAGTGGACTCCCCTTCAGCGGGTCAATGCCCACCTCGCCTCAGCATGGCTCTCCAGTTCTCGGCCAAATTGGCGCCAATGCACTCACCAAGGATCAGCCCGCAGCGAAACGCGCCCACAAAGAGCACTCAAGTGCAACAGACTCACATGGCTCCAAAGCAGCAGCTGCAGCACTTCTTGCTGCAGCCGCGGCGCACGGCGAGCGCAAAGGCCTGTCAAGGGCTCAGCCTCAAACCGCCACCGCAGTCACATCCACGATCAAGCCAACTGTTCCCCCACGAAAGCGCCGACGGCGGAAACCAAAGGCTTGCCATATTTGCGGTCGCATGTTTAGCAACTCCTCCAATCGAGTGCGGCACATGCGAATTCACACCGGTGGTAAGCGCTCTTTTTTGGGAGCCCACCAACCCCTGCGCTCGTCGCTTCCGTTTCACCCAAGTCAATCTGCTCCTCATTCTTTTTTTTTTTTTTTTTTTTTTTTTTTTTTTTTGCGGCACAGAAAAACCTTACAAGTGCGAGTGGTGCGACCGCACGTTTGCCAACTCGAGCAACCGTCGCAAGCATGAAGCGTCTTGTGCCAAAGCCACAGGCTCCACTGCAAGCGGGGAGGTTGCGCCGGACGCAGCCAGCTCTGCTACTCGCAGGCGGAAGCTTCAGGATCAGCTCACAGGCCGACGGGACAAGGAGGAGCAGGACAAGATCGCCAAGGAAGAAGATGACGATGAGTTTTCGAGCGAAGCCAGCCTCGAGAACGAGAATGCAGAGGAGGACGAGGACAAGAGCGGAGAGGAGGATGAGGATGACGAACCCGAGGCCAAAGCGGAAGCAAGAATGCAGCAGCCCACAAAGCGAACATCGTCAAGCCCAACCCCGTGAGCCCCATTTTCCATCTACTTGCTCGTGGAAATCCATGTCCACACCAGCTGATTTTGAGCACAGAGTTGACCATCGGCAGAGCCAGATGTTGTCATGTAACTTTGATGTTCAAGTCGCTCCAGATGCTTGCCATCTCGATCGAATGAGATTTGCGCCGTCTCTCACACGCGCTGGCCGCGCTGCGATATGCAAGATTTCACGGACCGACCTGGCATTTTCATGCCGGTCATTCGTGTTACCTGGACACGGGCGCCATGTCGTACCTATGGGCCATCCACCGCAGGGCTGGCCTGAGCCCGTTGGCAGGCTCTGACAGCTCTCAGCCAGCTCCACGGCGGGGGTTTGCTCCTCGACACTTGTGTGTTATCGATTGTTTTTGCGTAACAGGTGTACACCTTGTGATTGGGTGTACCGACATCATAAAACCTTTTCTTAGCTTTGCTTTCATGTTCTAAACTTGTTTTGTACGTACGGGCATGCTCTCGTTTGGCATCATTTCTGCTTGTTTGTTCTTCCCGTTTGCCACCCGGTCCCTTGGGCTTGCTCAAGAGCTGGCCTCCACGCCAGAAGGAGCCGGGTGCTTTGTTGCGAGTAAGCTGCTTGTGAGTCTTGGCAGCCTCCTTTTGCTTGCGGCTACGCCGTGTAATTTTGAGTTGCGCGTTGCTCGACTTTGCTCATTCTAACAATAGCAATGGTTGATGCCCATTGATGACGGGCGCTGATACGGCTACAATGCTCAAGGCAAATTCATTTTGAAGCTTTTAACCCATGCCTGTGGTGCGGTCATTGTTCTCACAAGCACAGAGCACAGACCATCGTGGTTTGCAGTGGGAGCTATAGGAATGTATAGGAATGAAGACAGCAGCTGCCTTGTTACCTTCACGCCATGGCCCCTGTGTCTTGTGCGTTGGCCGCGGTTCTTCTTGCCGCGAGCGAGCTCCCTCGCTCTTCCTCTCTGTGTCGACCTCTCATTTCCTCTGACTCGTACTCGTGCCATCCCCTGGTTCACCTGATCCAGCTTGAAGAGGATGGGCGTCAAGATCTGTTCTAGCTCATCAATTCGCTTTCGGTACTACATACGCTTGCTCGGCAAGCCACAGTAAAGCTCAACACAGAGCAAGGGGGCACACTCGGACTATGATTTACAGCCGGGGAAAACAGTATGCAAAAGCAGCGAGACCAGTCACGTAGCAGAGGCCAACGGGTAGCCGCCAGTGGGGTGCCACGCCTTGACCAAAGGTGGGCAAGCCCATGTAGTTGCAGAACGAGTGGGCGGCGATGGCGGCATAGCATGACTCAAGCCGTAGAAAGGTCCAGGCATTGAGCCACCCAAAGAGCGTCGTAAAGCCAAACTGTCCAAGTACGGCAGGCCAGGGCACACCAGCCCAGAGATGATGCACATGGGCCAGGCCAAAAAAGAGGGGCGATCCCAGCACGAGGACACTGGTGGAGGAGGTCTCCGTCTGCAAGAGGGCGAGCACCATGGCCCGGTACACAATTTCCTCGGTCACAGGCGCCACCACATAGTTACGCCAGATCATCAGCGAATGTGGCTCGGGGGCGCGCTCGCGCCAGGTCAGGGCTAGCTCCAGCAGCGGCCCTAAGAAGAGGAGCCCAAAGACGCCCACGGCTCGAAGCGGAGCCACCACCAAGGTGCGCCAGTTCGGCGTGAGACCCAGATCCACCCACTGCAGCGGGAGCCCCGCCCCTCGCTGCAAGCCCCAACAGAACAAAGGTGCGACGATGCCCGTGAAGAGTCCGACAGCCAGCATCCGACGCCGCATCGTCTCGGGATGATCCCGTGGCAGCCCTGTCGGCTGCACGTACAGGCACCCAACATAGCCTGCGGACAGCGCCAAGCTGCTCAAGATGGACGCCGACATGCCGTGCCGTGAATGCGCGCCGCGTGAAAGTATTTTACTTGATTCGAACAGAGTGCGAAACGAAACGCGTTGTGTTTTCGGTTGTTTTTTTTTTTTTTTTTTTCAACTCCTCAAAATCAGAAGCACCGCAATACAAAAGGAAGGAAGAGAGTTTGTATTCGATTGAGAGTTTTTGATGCTGTTTAAGCTGTGTTTTTCACTTTATTATTCACGCTTCCGAAGAGGAAAGCGGCAACCAACCAACCACAAGAGGTCAAAGTTAATCACACAAGGAAGAAACAGGTTGTTTAGTCAACCTCCTCCATCTCGGTGGCACCGTTGTCATCCTCGGCCTCCTCGAGGTCGGGCATGTCCTCAGCGGCAGCGCCGGTAGCCTCGTCGTCCTCATCAATGCCAAGGCCGAGCTTGATCATGCGGTGGATGCGAGAAGCGTGGGTGGTAGGGTCCTGGAGGGAGAAGCCAGAGGTCAGGAGGGCAGTCTCGAAAAGAAGCATGACAAGGTCCTTGACGGCCTTGTCGTTCTCGTCAGCCTCAACCTTCTCGCGCAGCGACTTGATGATGGCATGATCCGGGTTGATCTCAAAGTGCTTCTTGGCAGCCATGTAGCCCATGGACGTGGCATCGCGCAGGGCCTGGGCCTTCATGATGCGCTCCATGTTGGCGGACCAGCCGTACTGTCCAGTGACGATGCAACCGGGAGAGGAGACGAGGCGGTTGGAGACGGTAACCTTCTCAACCTTCTTGTCAAGGATGTCCTTCATGACCTTGCACAGCTGCTCATACTTGGCCTTGTCCTCCTCAAACTTCTTCTTCTCCTCCTCGTCCTCGGGAAGCTCAAGGCCCTCCTTGGTGACGGAGACAAGCTTCTTGCCATCGTACTCCTTGAGCTGGTTGATCATGTACTCATCAATGGGGTCGATGAGGTACAGGACCTCAAAGCCGCGGGCCTTGACGCGCTCAACAAAGGTCGAGTTGGCAACGGCCTCCTTGCTCTCGCCAGTGATGAAGTAAATGTCCTTCTGGTTCTCCTTCATGCGGCCAACGTAGTCCTTGAAGGAGATCATGTCCTCGTCCGACTTGGAGGTGTAGAAGCGGAGGAGATCGGAGAGCTTCTTGCGGTTGGTGCTGTCCTCGTGCACGCCAAGCTTGAGGTTCTTGGCAAAGTGCTCGTAGAACTTCTTGTAGTTCTCCTCGTCATCGGAGAGCTCAGAGAAGAGGTCGAGGCACTTCTTCACAATGTTCTTGCGAATAACCTTGAGGATCTTGCTCTGCTGCAACATCTCACGAGAGATGTTGAGGGGCAGATCCTCAGAGTCAACGACACCGCGGATAAAGTTGAGCCACTCGGGGATGAGGTCCTCGCAGTTGTCCATGATGAAGACACGGCGCACGTAGAGCTTGATGTTGTTCTTGGTCTTCTTGCTCTCGAACATGTCCATGGGGGCACGCTTGGGGATAAAGAGGAGAGCACGGAACTCGAGCTGACCCTCAACGGAGAAGTGCTTGACGGCAAGGTGATCCTCCCAGTCGTTGGTGAGGCTCTTGTAGAACGACGCGTACTCGTCAGTGCTGATGTCATCGGGGTTGCGGGTCCAGATGGGCTTGGTCTTGTTGAGCTCCTCCTCGTCCATGTAAGTCTCCTTGACCTTCTTCTTGGCCTTGTCCTTGGACTCCTCATCATCCTCAACCTCCTCAATCTTGGGCTTGTCCTCACCCTCGGCAGCCTCGTCCTTCTTCTCCTCGGTCTCGGCCTCATCATCCTCGACCTCAACCTCGCGCTCCTTCTCGACGTGAAGCTTGATGGGGTAGCCAATGAACTGCGAGTGCTTCTTGACAATCTCCTTGATGCGCTTCTCCTCGAGGTACTCGAGCTGATCCTCCTTCATGTGCAGAATGATCTGAGTACCGCGCTTGACAGAGCCCTCCTCGTCGACCTGGATGGTGAAAGAGCCACCGGCGCTTGAGCGCCAGATGTAGCCCTCATCGTCGTTGTGCTTGCTGCGCACCTCGACGGTGTCGGCGACCAGGTAGGCCGAGTAGAAACCGACACCGAACTGACCAATCATGGAAATGTCCGCACCAGCTTGAAGGGCCTCCATGAAAGACTTGGTGCCCGACTTGGCGATGGTACCGAGGTTGTTGACGAGGTCAGCCTTGGTCATACCAATACCGGTATCCGAGATGGTCAGGGTCTTGGCCTCCTTGTTGGGGATGAGCTATCGAAACAGACATGCGCACAAACGATGGAATGCGGATGAGTGATGCGCGGGCAAAACAATGGGGCAAGGAACATCACACCAGCCGGCACGATGACACAACAGGCTTGATGATGGGCTGCGGCAAGCAGGTCAATGCTGCCCGCGCTGCCACGCGCAACAAGTGACGTGGCAACCCGATCATCGATCCTGCATGTGTGCCATGAAACCCAACCGCCCAGCAAAGGGCAGCGAGGCGATTGGCCAGAGCCAAGCGTGGAGCGCAGAGGAGAACAAGTGTCAACTTACGTCAATCTTGAGCTCCTTCTCAGCCTCGAGGACCGAGGGGTCGGTGAGCGATTGGTAGCGGATCTTGTCAAGGGCATCGCTGGCGTTGGAGATGATTTCGCGGAGGAAAATCTCCTTGTTGGAATAGAAGGTGTTGATGATCAGGCTCATCAGCTGAGCAATCTCAGCCTGGAAGGCAAAGGTCTCAACCTCCGACATGGTGACGGTGGATAAGAGAAAAGGGCAGCGGGGTCTAATAAAACTAAAGTGGCACAAACACCGGTAAATCCCAGAGTTGGAAAATGCCGCCTCGGACGCTTGCGAGGCACCAAGAAGTCCGAGCACACACCTCACACAGGCAAGTGGAACCAAAGCCGTGCACGTAGCCAACACTACTGACGAAGCGACAAATGCATTCGGTACGTCAACCACTATTCATGAGAGCATGCATGGAAAGTTCGAGCCGCCGGCCCCCACTGCTCTCGAACCGCGTGCCCCGGCGATGCCATAACTTCCATCGCCTTCTCACTGAACACCGACACGTTGCACGGCGTTTCTTAGACTACCTTTTGCCAGAAATAACGTTAAGCGTGCTTGTGTGACGCGACTCTTTGTTCTCGAACGTGTGTGTGTGTGTGTGTGTGTGTGTGTGTGTGTGTGTGTGTGTGTGTGTGTGTGTGTGTGTGTTCCAGAAGCACACAAAGCCGTACCAACCAACGTCACAAGCAATCGGTGTGTACACGTGTCAGCAGGGGTCCGAGAAGTTTTCTTTTGTTTCTCGCAAGACGGGCGTAAGGGGCAGAAGGCGGGCCTTGAGAGCAAAGGCGGTGCTGGAACCTTCCACATGTGACCTCTCGCCCAGCGTCGGACATTTCTGTATCACTATGATCTGATTTTTCTCTCCAATTGTATTGCCAAAGTCTCATACCCAACGCCATCAATCGTCAAGAAAAGATGTCAGCAAAAAATACAAAAAATATTTTGGTCGTCACGTGTGCAAAAGTGCAAATGTCAGACGATTATCTGGATGCTCATAAGAGGCGCGGCGGTGAGCTCTGGGCTTCATAAGCGGCGCGGCGTTGGGCTCATACGAGGGAGAGATGAATCGGGGCGGGCCGCGGTCGAGGGCGGTGCTATGCTAAACTATTGGTATGAAATTAGAGAAGAAAAAAAAGGACTGGGTGTCTTGGTACTATGAATTGCAAAAGAAAATGGGATGACGGGTAAGAGGCATGCAGATGAGGACGAAATGGGTGTTAGTCCGACCGTGTGTCTAAGAGCTGGCCGTGGCCTTACGCATCTACCTCCATCCCCCCTGCCTCGTCATTGTCATCCTCGTCCTCGTCCTCGTCATCGTCATCGTCATCGTCATCGTCATCGTCATCGTCCAAGACAGGATCGAGATCCACCAACTGCACGGAACGACCACCGGCCAAGACCACGCTGGCCAAATGCCGCCGACTGACCGAGACGAGCGACGTCGCACTCTCCTACCCAAGACATCAAAACCAATAGTCAAGAGCGAACAACTCCAGGCATGACACCCGGTGCCTCGACACGCTTCACCAATCCGATAAGCAAAGCGGCGTACCAATGCGACGCCTTTGGTCACTGAAATATCCGACGCGGCCTCTGTCACCTCTGCCCACTCCACAGCAGCGTACCACAACTGGTCCATGCCTGCACAAAAAGCCCCACACAAAGCGCCCGCCACCGTGATGAGGGATTGGCTTGCCACAAACGCGCCTTTTCTCGCAGCCACATTCACCCCGCTCCACTCACCGGCGTGAGTTTGCAAGACCACAAACCCATCCTTATAGGCCACCATCCGCTGTACCTGCACAAATGACCCCCATGAACCCCCATCATTTGGCACTGCACAGCTCCAACCAAGGGTGCTGCCACGCAGCGACACGACCATACCCCTTCAATTTCATCATTCGCGTCGGGCATAGAAAGCTGCAAACCCGTGGCGGGCTCGTGCGCCGCCGCGATCATCACAAGGCGACCGCCACAACGCAGGGCAATGATCAAACCGCTCGTGTTCGCCGCGGCAGTGGACACAGCAAGCGCCACCCTAGCCCATTCGATCCAAGCACATTGATGAGATCGGGAAGGAGGCATGACGTCAAGGAGAGAGTCGGCCCTGGCCTGCTCAGCATCGTACCCATCATATTCGGGCAAGCGTGCCGAGTCGACGCTAACGGCAAACTGTTGCTCCAAACTTGCAGCCAACACGGCGGCAATGGGCTCGAGGCCTTGATCCACTGCCGTCGTTGCTGTATCGTGCGTCACATGGCCACCCCCACAGCCTGAAGCCGTCTGGCAACACCATAAGAAATGGATGGGGATCAGCGACCGAGCAGCGGGTGGGTGCAAAAACACACGAGCCAAGCAGGGTGCAATTTCCACCATCAATCAGAGTGCCACATGAGTCTTACTAGCTCTCGTGCCCGAATGCGTGCCAGTCGGCCAGCAGGCGTTGTTGCCCCACTTGTGGCCACGTCCTACCAAGAACACGGTTTCAGAAATGACGCAGACCTTAAAAAAAGAAAATGAATGGCTTGCAGTGCCCAAAGAAGTGCCTGATGACGCACCTGAGCCATGGTCACTGCCGGTTCATCCCCAAAGCCAGGAACGTCTTTCCAACTGGGCCCGCCCACAACCGTTGATACCTGCAACGCATGCTCACGTGAGCATTTGACGCGCGCCAACCTGAAGGCGCTGGGCCAGGCAAGGCATCCACTGCACCAGCATGGGGACCTACCGCGTGTCCCAACTGGGATAGATGTATCTGCCCCTGCTCAAAACTAATCAAGTGTACACGGATATCGGAAATCCCCCAAATGAGAAGCAACCCGCCATGCATAGTTCGCTCACGGCGCGTTGACGCCTGCACCGTCCGCAGTTGCAGAACTGGCAACACGTACCAGAGATCTTGCAGCGCACGGAGGACCGCATCCTCGCGGTACACGGGAAGCGATTGTTGCTGAACAACGACGAAACACGAATCAACCGACCCAAGGTTTTTGAGGCCCAAGTCAGAAAAAGACTGCCTGGTGGAAGAAACAAGCGACCATGTCCTGCGCGACGGCAACTTACAAGACCTGCCGGGGGCTCGGAGCGGCCCTCGCGATTTCGGGCATTGAAAAACGAGAGAAGTTGCTATTGAAATGAAAACAAGGCGGTCGCCTGAGGGTCTAGGCCAAGCACAAGCACTCGCGTCGACTGCAACAAACGAGAGGGCGGAAACTCGAGGGCCAGCGGGGCAATCTGCGTACATTGTGGTTCTCCTGCAGCTGGGCGGAGCAACGCAGAACCTCTTGGACTTGGTTGGCGTGAGCTTCGACGACTACGAGTGGGGTACGAAGCTGATCGCGTTGGTCCTGGCGGGGATGTGTGGGATGAGCGAGCGTGATCAGGTCATGGGATTGCGACGGCATGGCTGCCGCAGAAACGACATGCCCACCTCTGGCATAAGTGCCCGCAGATAATCAAGACAAGCATGCAGTCTGTTGAGGGCTGGCCGCAGCTGCTGCAAGCACAGCTATGAGGCCAAGGGTAGGTAGAGCAGAGACGCATAGACGCGGATGAGCAACGTGATGCATGCAGCTCTCAAGTCCGCGGCGGACATCAGGGTAAGCAAATGGGGCAAACGGGGAAACCAAGTGGGAAAGACCTCGCGAAGTTGCTCGACGGTTGCATTGACGTGAGAGGCCATGGTTTGAACGGCTCTTGAACCCATGCTGGTGGCCACCCAGGCATCCACCTCCAATCTGTCGCCCAACCAATCGATGAGCGGCGGTCAAGGGCGTGCTGCGAGAAAAGAGTGATGCGCCTTTCTTACGAGCGACTCGTGTGAGCGCCGAGCAAGAAGAGGAAAGCACGTTGAACGGTGGCGAAATCACCACCGCATTGCTTGACGAGCTGGGTAAGGTGCTTTTCGAGCCCGATGGGCGCTGTACCCATGCTGCCCTGGGCCTCGCGCCAGCAGGCCGCGGCAAACTAACACCACAGAATGTCGAGTACGGTGAGGAGCTGTTCGTGGTCGGAGACGACGGACGGGCGTGATGGATGCAATCAACCAAAGGCGAGCCGATGGGGGCAAGAGAGTCATCCACAAGAGCAGGGGGGGCACGCCACGCACACGAGCCAGGTGTTGTGCATACTGCACAACACGCAAACGCTCCACCAAGGAGGGCAATGCCGTATTGAAGCTGGCTAGGCTCAACTGTGGTAAAACACAGGACCGGGTCATGCAACGGAGTAGCAACGATGCCATGGGCGTGATACGTTTTGAGACATGGCGGCAACAAACTAGAAACGAGTGAGGGCACAAGGATACGGCTGCGTTACGTACAGCCACGATGGCGTTTGCGGTCGCGCAAAAGAGCACATTGTGCTTTGACGGCACAAGTAGATCCAAGATGGCACCTGAAGCGCGGCGAAACGATGAGGCGTGTGCACGATTCAAGACAGCGAGCTGTAGCGCTGAGACGCAAAAAATTGGTGCTCAGGCACGGACTCTGTGAGATCGTACCATACTCCGTTGGGATGCGCCACCGTGCCAGAACGATCAGGCCCAAGCCATAGGCCACAATGGTGTTGTCTCCTAGATCAGGGCCAAGCGTGAGATGTGGCAAAGACACACGACGACGGGCCTGAAATCGGTGTGTTCAATGAGAAACACCGTGCATGATGTGTGCTTTGTGCGCGCTGGAACACCAAAGATCCTGAAGAGGAGAGGAGGTTGTCTGAGTGATTGTCCGAGCGCACGCACTCAGGGCTAGATATAGGACATCAAAGTCTTCGGCTTGGTGGAAGACGGGCTTTTCAGGAAGACCCTCCCTGCAATTGAACGGCAAGAAGAGGTTGACGACGTCAAATTGGAATGCAACGACCAAGACCGCCGACGCAAGGCCATTTTGAGGGTCACCACGCACGGGAGATGACTATCGTCAATGTCGGGGAAGGCGTCGGCGGGACAGGTGTGAGCGTGCACAGCAGAGGTAGAAGCCCAGAAGACCGCACTTGGCGGGGCTCCAGCGTCAAAGTGGCTAAGAGGTTGTCCGTTTTCAGCATTGAAAATGCGGCAGTGCCCATCAGCATGCAGGACCAGCAGGCCTAATGCACGCCAAAGCAGCGCAAGGAAGGTTTCAAGGAAACAGACATAGGGGATGGTAAGCAAGACAAGGGGTAACTGGCCAGCGGACGTCGGAGAGGATGGCTCGGGAGTACGAGGATGCGGAAAGCAGCAGCCGCCTTACGTTTGCCTGATGGGGACCAGGCAAGGTGCGTGACGGCGGCGTCCAAGGCGGGGGGAGAAACCTGCCAGGCCAGCTGCCAGCTCAGCCGGCGGGCCTCGATCTGTGTGTGCAAAGCGGTGAGTGGGTTGCTTTGTTTGATGCAAGCCCGCATGCGGCGCTCAAACTGACCGAGCCATCCTCAAAAGCGAGCACAAGGATATCCATCGTCGGGCACCAGCTCTGACACTGCACAGTCTCGCCGACGCCATGTCGTTCCAGGAGCTGAAAAGCTCCGGTCTCGGCGGCCTCGCCCATACTCACCACTCGCACTACTGCACCTCCCGGTGCTTCACCTCAACAACTCCTGCGCCGCCCGTGACAAAATCCAGCACCAACAGCCAGCAACAGCAACGGCAGCAGCAGCAGCAGCAACGGCAACAGCAGCAAAAGAAAAAGAAGAAGAGCTGGTTGAATACGCCAGGATGTTGCCTGCTATATCCAAGGGCTATGCTGCTCGGCGCTACACAGCAAAGCGCCGCCTAAATGATCAAGACGGCAAAGCGCCGCCCACAACCCAGTCAGTCAAAAAAATTTAATTTTCTTCTTAGAAAAAAAAAAAAAAAAAAAAAACTGGCGTCTGCGGAAGTGTGATTTAAGTTATACTTTACTATTTGATGACATTGGATGGGTCAGTCGTGTGTGTGTGTCCGCCCCTCGTTTGGCTTGGATATGCGTATGATTTCTCTCAATCCCTCTCTCCTCTCTCTGTTTATCTCTCTCTCTCTCTCTCCTCTCTCTCTCTCTCCCTCTTTACATCCGGATGTTAAATAAATCGCTCTCTTTCTCCCTCTCTCTAAATTCAATCTCTCTGAATCTCTCTCTAAAAATCTCTCTCTCTCTTCTTTGGTGATCACTCATCATGTGGTTCTCTCTCTCTCTCTTTTATGTGATCAACACACATACACACACACACACACACACGCATTTGTTCAGGTTGACGGCGTTTGGCAGTGCCAACGGACGACGACTTCTGCGCCTGCTTCCCTGTGTACGAGTCATAGGGCAGGGGGGGTACACCCCGACAGCTGGGAGCATAGAATCCTCCTCGTATTGTTGTTGTCCATTGCGAGGTAAATGCAATTCGCCTCGCGATCGATCGCGCCATTCAGCGGGCACAAAACTGACAATCGTCATCATCATCACGGGCGCGCGTTGTCGCGTACCGTGCCGTGCCTGGTTGACACGGTCTCTGCCGGGTCGCTTCCTCTGTTTGTCGGCCTAATTCGTTGTTGACTGCCTCGGTGCTCCCTCTCACCTGCCCGTGCGCCTGCGCCCTCTTTTCTCCCTCTCCTTTCGTGCCTTTTTCCTCTCTTTTTCGCCTTAGCATCTGCCAGTTGTCGACGACCGCGCGCACAGCTGCGTTGTGCGGCTCGTTGGGCTGACTCTTGCCTCCCGTCAACATGGCTGATCGTGATGCCTCTGGCTCGCCGCCAAGTGACGACGCCCGTTCCACTGCCAGCCATGGTGAGCTTGACCTTGCCAACTCGCCGCCATCGGCCGATCCTAGCGACGATGAGCCAATCGTTCCGGAAGACCCAAACCACAAAAATAGACCTCAATCCCCCACCGAAAGTGAGGCGCCTGCCAGTGTGGACCCACCGTTGCCCCGGGCCCCACTCACCGCCGAGGCGCAAGCCGATGCCAGCGCTGAGGCCTCGGAAACCGAGTCTATTCTCTCTTATCACTCCTCCAAAAGCACGCCAGCCGACCCCGAGAATACCTCGTTGCAACAGCCCCCAGCCGATCCTGCCCCGGAATCTGAACCCGATTCCGAACCCGAAGCTGAATCCCCCTCCACACCCCAACCCGAGCAGGCAACCGAACCGCAGTCTGACGCAGAGCCGGAACCCAGCCCGATGGCCCCAGCCCCCGTCAGCACGAGCGCGCCACCCACCGAGCAGTCGGTGCTCTCAAACTCGGGTCGCTCAGCCGCCCGCCTCAGCCAGGACTTTTCTGCCATGCTGGGCAGCGCTGATTTTCGCCTCGGTGAGGCCGTCAATGAGCCCCTTCGATCTTCGGCCGCCATTCAAGAGGACGAGGACGAATCTGATACGGATGAAGATCACAGCAACTCACCCCTTGCCGTTCCGGTCCCGGCCCCCTCGGATTTGGACAAGTCGCGCGACAGCCATGGCTCCCCGACCTTTGGCACCCCGCCAGACTCCCCTGCTGAGCCTCACACTGAACAAGACGGCCTCCCGCCCGCACCTCAGCGAAAGGCCTCGTCCGTTTCAGTCGTCAGCGTCGACTCGTACATGAGCGTCGGCGAAGAATCGGAGCGTGGCGTCTCTCGCCAGGCTTCTCTCAACACCATGTACGGTAAGCCTCCCACCGCGTCCTCCCCGCAAGACTCGACTGCGCTCGGTGATATTGTCGAGGAAGATGAACGCCGTCGCTCCACCGCCGCCGCCGCTTCGGCTTCAGCTGCCGCTGCTGCTGCTGCTGCCGCCGCCGCCGCCGCCCCGCGTCCGGCTCGAGAAATGACACAGTCCCAAGCCACATCAGAGCCCAACTCGGTTTTTGAAGATTCGCCAGCATCTACCATCACAGCCATCCAGCCACCCCCCGCAGGAATGCAGCGTGCCGCCACCTCTGAAGGACTGCTCAACACTTCACCGCCCACCTCGCCCGGTGGTCGCCTCGCCACTGACAAGCGCCGCAGCGTGAGCTTTGCTGCCGTGCCCGAAGCCTCGACGCTGCCTACCTCCACCGTCAGCGCCCCAACGGACATTCGCCCTCCCCGAAAAACATCTGCTTGGAACCTCATGCGGCGCCGTCACTCTTCCCTCTCCGAGGAAGACGAAGATGAAAATCGTCCTGCTGCCGGGTATGTATGCGTGTACGCGTGTACGCGCTGGAACGCCAAGACCTGAAGATGCCATGGTTTCACTCACTTGCGAATGCTTTGTCACTTTCATCACATAGCCGTCGCAAATCCATCGTCGTGGCTGGCGAAACGGCGAAGAAAGTGCGCCACTCTGTGGCAAAGGTAGGCTACCGTGGTTGTTGTCGATGGCACCGCCGCTACCGCTGTCGCTCTGCCATTGCTTTCCATGGTTCATATCATGGCGATTCTGCAGCGATACACGTGTGACGTGTGAAAAATGGAGTTGAATACCTCAATGGCTCACCCTGCCCTGGTCTGACTCTGCAGTTTTTCGGTATTTCCGACGACACCGACATGATGCGCTGGGAGCATTTTTACAACGGCGAGAGTGACGAGGACGAAGATGAGGACGATATCGAGGAAAGCGAGGAGGATGAGGAGGAGTCATCTGGTGAAGAAGCTGAACCCGCTGAGATTGACGGCCAGGGCCGTGGCTCGCTGGTCGTGGTCAACGTTGATGAAACAGCAGATGACACCGAAGAGGATGGGCCTGCCGAGCCTCTACGCGGTACTCGACCCAAAAGCCTCGTATCCTTGGATGCGGGCGTCAGTGGCGATTATGATGTGGAAGCCCCCATTGACCAGGATGCATCTCAATCTGAAGGAGCGGACATGTCTGACGAAGACGACGACGACGACGACGAGGATGATGATGATGATGACGATGATGATGATGAGGACGACAACGAGGAAGAGGAAGGCATCGATATGACTGGCCTGACTTCCCTCACGACACTCGTGCGCAGCGCGTTCAAGAATCAGGCTCAGTCCTTCCGGCGCCGGTTCTCACGTGTATCTGAATCAGACGGCCCGCCCACCTCACCAGACAGCACGACAAAGTCGCGCAAGGGCTCAACTTTTAGCTTTCGACGCCGTCAGCGCTCCTCTGAAATCAGTCAGCCCTCGTCCGAAGCCGGTTCGGTGGCTGCAGCGGGGCCGGCTGCCGGCTCGTCTGCGATCGCCATGACAACCTTTGGAGCCGATCCCTCAGGCGGCAAGGCCAGCGCTGCCCTGCAACGTGATGCCCCTCCGGCCTACACGCCTTCAGCACAACCCGCACCAGCGCCCCAGCATTTGACTGCATCGACCGCAAGTGCTGGCTCGGACCCCGGGCCTCGCGATCGGCAGGCCAGCCAAGACTCGCAATGGTTCGGCTTTGACTCCAAAACTGCCATCAAACTCACTGATTTGAGCGCCAAAAAGCGTCCATCCACACCGCCTGCCACCATCCCCGAACTTGTGGCCGCCTCCTCTGCCCCCCCTTCGAGTCGCTCCAAGGACGATCCCTACGCCAAGCGTCCCCGGCAGCCCCGCGAAGGTCAGGGGCGTGACCGCGCAGCCACAACAGCCGTACCTGGAAGTAAGAGTCAAGAGAAGGACAGCAAGTCACGTCTCATGGCTGCACAAGAGCACCAGCGCGCTCGTGCACAGACTCAAGACCCTGCTGCCCGTGTGCCCAAAAAGAAGCGCGAAGGAACGGGAGAGAAGGGGGCGGACGACATTTCACCGGCCGTGGTCACCAAGCCACGCAAGCCGCGCCCCCCAAGCAAGTCACCGAAAACATCAGCTGATGCCGGTGCCCCGCCCAAGCGCCCACGTGGACGTGAGACGATGATTCGTGACCAGATCAAGCGCATCCGCGAACATCGCCCCTTTTTTGTGTATTACATGACCGTGTGTCAAATTATTGTCATGGTCTTGGCCATTCTAGTACATGGCGTCGCCCCGCTGGGCTTCAAGGTTCGAGCGCTCCGCTCCACGAACCACGCAATCACTTGGAGCAAACGCCTCATTGCCGGCATTTCTTCACTCATGCAAGCGTCGACGTGTCTCCTCTTCTTGTCATTACTTTGTGCATCCCTTTTCTCGTTTGATGACTTTGTTAGACGACCACGGAGACCGGCACTGTTGATGGACCCGACGGATCTACTCTTCAGGACACCCGCATCGTATATTCCAACTTTTGGATTGGTATGCGTGGCTACCAGCTCCACCGGTCATCTCCCTAGCTCCTCGGTGCTTGCTGATATTGAAAGGTGTATATATCCTTGTGAGCTCATGCTTTTCTCTGGTGCACTGCCTCCCTTTTGGTGTTCTTAAATGGCTCTGCAGGACCTGATCCTCGTGCTTTGGTGTTGATGGGTGCAAAATATGCACCCTGCATGCGAGTTGATGAGCGCGTGAAGACAGAGGTGTTGGAGCCGCAAGCTGCTTCTGAAGCCGTACGTGTAGCGAGCAAGCACTCGGCACCCTCTACTCTCTGAGCGCTCACCGATGTTGTGTGTGGCTCTTCGTCCTTGCTCTGATGCCTGCAGGACTATGGTTGTTGCGTTGAGCAGGGGACCGTGGAAAGCACTTGCTTCACGACGACACGAGATAACTGCGGCAGCTTTCGAGATTTCATCAACGGGACTATTTGTGGCGGCTCACAGTGTTGCGATGGTGCCTCTGGTGCTTACCCCTACTGCACCAAGGTGTCTGAGAACAGCACGACGCTGGAAAGTTGCAAGTGTGAGATTCAAAGCCGTCCCTGCTGCACAGGCCTGGCTGGCGAGTGTTCCTTGATGTCGCAGCAGCAATGCGAATTCCAAAAGGGCTTCTTTCATGAGAACCTTGAGACCTGCAGCCAAGTCGACTGTCTCTCAGACGTTTGTGGTCTTGTGCCATTTGTGAATGCTGGCAAGGTCAGACCCTTGAGTACTGCACGCGCCCCGTTTTAAGATGCGGCAACCGCTCACGACCTGTGTTGTATAAACGGATTTGCGCGCAGCCGGATCATTGGTACCGCTTGTACCTCCCTCTCTTTCTCCACTCTGGTTCGAGGGTTTTTTTTTTTTTATTTTGGTTTTTTGGTTTTTTTTTTGTTTGTTGTTTTTTGCGAAGCGCCTGTCTTCTAGCCTCGTTATCGGTGCCTCGTGGCCCCTGGCTCTGTGCTCATCAATGTTCTTCGTTTGGGTCTGTTGGCATGTTTGGTCGAGCAGGCGTGATCCAACTCTTCCTGGTGCTCATGTTCCAGCATTCTGTGGCCATTGACATTGAAAAGGTTTGTGCTTTTTTTTGTGGCCAAGCGCATTGCTCCCTGACGTGCAGAGGTGAAGGACCGGTCTCGCTCTGTTTTCACTCTGTGCTTTGCTTCTTGACAACGTAGTTGGCTGGCTGGCTTCGCATGTTCTTCATCTATTCGCTGTCAGGTCTCGGTGGCTGGCTGACGGGTGCTCTCTTCACGCCATATCAAGTTTGTGTTTGCTATCTTGGGAACAGGGAAGGGATGTGTGGGGGCATGGTCTGTGCGCAGCACACACTCACATCAGCCGCTTGCCTTGTCAACAATAGGTGGGCACCGGTGCATCTCCACCACTATACGGCCTGTTGGGTTGCTTGGTACGTAACACACTGTGGACAGGTTACGACTGTTTTCCGATGAGCGCGGCCTGATCTGATGCGCTCCTCGCTCACCTTTGTTTCATTTTTTTTGCGTGATGTGCTAGTTTGTGGAGTTGTTTCAGTCATGGCCTTTGTTAGCACGGCCGTGGCGTGAGGTCTTCAAGCTGACCTTTATTGCCCTTGTGGCTTTTGCGTTTGGATTCTTGCCATACCTGGACAACTGGAGCCATTGTGCGTGAGCTTGGACCTGGCTCGAACATTGCAGGGTTTGAACTTGACTAGGTGGTGTTTTTACTCACGGCGCGTGTTATGCCCCGATGTCTCCCCTTCCCCCCCGTGCGTGCAGTGGGTGGCTTTACTTTTGGCGTCTTGAGTTCGATTGTTTTTTTGCCGTACATTACGTTTGGCAAGTGGGATGCGGCGCGTAAGCGAACACTGATCTTCATCTGCCTGCCGGGCATCGTTGTACTGATGACCGTGCTGCTCAGTCTCTTTTTCACCGATACGGTACGTGCTGTCGCCCTGGCGTGTTGGTCTTTGCCCTTTGAAAAGACTGGCATGGTTCGGCAACTGGCGGACACGGCACGCTGACCCACTTCCCGTCTCGTGTCGTCTTATCTATACTATAGGTGGACTGCAGCTGGTGCCACTACTTGAACTGCATCAACTTTACCGATAACTTTTGCGAAGACAATCTTCAAGACATTTTCTAATTTCAAAACATCCTGACTGGTGGCCGGAGGAGGCAGCTATAGCTGCGAGCCCATTCCCATGTCCAGTGCAAGTTGAGATTGGAATGTGGCCATTGCTTCTGATTTTTGGTGACTTTATGTGTTGTTTTACCAAGTCTTTCCTTCTTCTTCTTCTTCTTCTTCTTCTTCTTCTTCTTCTTCTGGTTGTTCATGGTCTTTGCGCACGGGCTGGCAGTCGCAGGCACGCGCGCCCCCTTTCCATCCCCTCCGATCAAGACCAAGACGACAAATCGAACATAATGTCATCCACCACCGCGTCACAGAACATAATCATCCTATGCACAGATCCTTCTTCGTGGTAGGAGACGCTCCCTCCTCCTTTTGGCTTCGGTTTTGGTTTCACACGTCAAACAATGTTGTCACGATGACGACCTGCCAGTCGTCACCTGTTGTCTGGTGTCGATAAAGGAATAGCAGACGTCATCCTGTCGCTAGTATGACTTGAACGGACACATGCAACACGGAACTTTCAGTGCAGAGATGCTTGATGTCAGATGAAATTTATCAAAGTTTTGTAAGGCTTCGTAAAGCTAGAGTCAGAGGTATGAAGCAGCCAGTCCTCCCGGATTCTGCCCCCATACGAAGCCCCAATCCGTCATACGCACCTTTCTCTCAAAAACTCTCTCAAACGCTCTCAAACGCTCTCAGCCTCTCTCAGCCCCAAACGTCATCCCCAGACCAACTCGCAGAAGAAAAGACACCACCTCCCTCCTCGGACCATGGCAGGAGCAGGCAGGCACCAAGGGTCGCGGCCACCGGCCAACAGCAGCGGCCAGCGGCCAACGGCCAGTCTCAATCAAGAGGAAAGACCCTCACCTGCGACTGGACACACATGTGTGGCATGTGTGGTGTGCAAAGCAGTTTTGATGTATTGTTATGGTCTGGCCATACGCTCCTCCGTCTGGCACGATTAACCCAACACAAAGACCACATAAAAACGCTTCTGCTCGTCTCCTTTTGCTGCCCGCTGCTTACATTTTCACGCGCTTCCACCCGACTTTGCTGCCCCGCGCCAGTCTGTCATTTTCCACCTCGATTCGTCCGGAATAGTCTCAGCCAAAGCCGCTGTTGTCTCACGTTCCTCTTGGAACCACGCCCACCTTTTCACTTTCACAAGTCAAGCCATTCGAGCGATCACGCCCACTTTGAACCCCTGACACACTTTACATCTGACCTCCACTGTTTGCTCGGCTGTCACCGCGTCGGCATGCGGGCGATTCGTTTTTTGAGTCATGGCTCCGACAAGGAGCCGCGTCCTGCCTCGAAAGTGTCCTTTCGCGTGAACAGTGTCAGCATTGGAGACCACACCACACTGATCGACAACGCCCGCGTCTCCTTCCGCAACCACAAGCACAAACTCATCTGTACCGTCGAACGCGCTGCTGAATCCCACCACCGCCTGCGCCGCTCCCGCTGGCGGTTTGTCTGGAACATTGAAGCCCTCCGCTTTGACTCCCCACGCCTGGCCCAGCTTGAGCCGGGTACCACCATCTGCATATCCGGGTACGCTGCAACCCTCGGTTCCACCACCCTTGAACCACTGCGGCCGGCATCACTGTTCGTCAGGCTGTGATCAAAACCCCCCTCTCACCAACCATGCTCAACATCCGCTTCTGCTGCCATTTCTGCCCTTCAGATCAAAGGCTGCCGTCTTTGAGAGCTACGATCCCACCACTTGTGTCGTGACCGCCCGACACCAAGATTCTCCTTCACAGCCACCGCTGTGTATCCCTGCCACAGCTGTCTCCATCCCTGACCTGGTATCCGTGAGTAGCCGCGTTTCGGATACCTCATCAACAACTCAGCCACCGAGCTACCCATCCACGCCGGACTTGTGCTCACCGCTGTTTCTTGCTTGGACATTGGTGCCTGTCTTAGGCCCAAGCTGTGTGCTTGCTGGCACAACATGCTTCCAAGAGGCCATCCCACTCTGACCACAACGTCAACCTCTGTTTGACCGTGGGCCCTTCTGACTTGCTGGCTTTGTGTCTGCACGTGGAGGCCATGATTCGACAACTCCGGAATCATCGCATCCTCCGCTCCTGTACCGACTCGCTCAAAGTGTCATTGGATCCAGACTGGGCCAAGTCTGCCCCAGAGGAACAGGAAGATTTTCTTCCAACCCGCTCGCGTGTCGTCAGCCTTCGCTCTGTAAGCCCACATGGCACCCCATCCCCAACCACCGATCTCGCTTTCCAAGATCTGGAGTTTGAGCCTCGGTTCACAGTCCCGACGCTGAGTACATCAGTTTCCACTGAGGCCGAACCGCGTTCTGCTCAAGCTCTCTTGGCCACCTCGACGTCCTCCGCGTCGGAACCCGCGATCAGACCCCTCGCCTCGGCCATCTCCTCCGCCGCTTCTGTCAGTTGTCCTATAGAAGCGGACGACTTGGATCTTGATGACAAAGTCTTCTCGACGCCAGCCTCCCCGACCCTGGCTGGCTCTTGTTCAACTGGTGGCGTCGGCTTCTCTAAAGAGGAAGATATGTCCGCCACGCCTCAGGAACATTTGCTTGAAGCAGCACTTGACGCCAGTGTCGTGACACTGCCCCTGGTCGACGCCATCCCCCTCATGGCCCAAATTCCAGACGCAACCACCGGCATGCTAGTGTGCCCAAACGTCAACAACCCCTCCTGCGTCTATCTGATCCATCGCGAGAAGGGTGATACCCGCATTCAAGACTGCCGAGTCTTTGCCAAGGAGCAAACCCAAACGGTCTCAAGGCTGCAGCAGATGCGAGGTCTGGGCGCCCGAATTCGACAGGGCGGCCTGTCTCTGCGCCATTGCGCCTACGCCGCCACTTCAAACGCGCCCTTGCGTTTGACGGCGCTTCCCCTTGGCCATCAGACGCTCCTTTGAGCCGAAGGCGCCCTTTCTGTCCCTCGCCCTGGGAAAGCACTCCCGTAGCCTAAACGTACTTTTTCTTAGCTCTATGATGTCCCATTCTGACCCGTGCGCCCGCTGCGTACGACTCCTTGTTGCGCTCGCTGCGCATGAGGCTCTGTCCTAACACACCTTGATTGACTTAATACCACTCCCATGCATCTTTAAACGTCCCCCTTGGCATTGATTGGACTTGACGTGTTTAATTGTTTTTGGGCCGAGTTGTTTTTGAGTAGACGCACCGAGTGTGTCCTCCTTTCGACTGGTCGTTTCCTCAGCGCCGCGCGCCGCCTTGCAGGCCCCTTAGGCCTCTGCTACTGGCGTGAATCGATCAGATATCCATTCATCCCAGCCTTTCTTCCCATGTTGCCTTTTTACAATCTTTTGGGAGCTGTGCTAGAAGTGAGAGAAGGGGTTTTGCAGCAAAGTTATACGACACTTGTACGCCCTCACCTACTTCCTTCCCCGTCCAACTCCAACCGGTAGCGAGAAAGACAGTAATGACAGGCAGGGATGAGACAGTGATGACAGGGGATGACAGGGGTCGGCCGCGGTACACAATGCACAGGAGCACAGAAGTCGAATAATCTCGAAAAAAATCGCCGTAAAAATCGATAAAACTGCAAAGAAAGAGAGACAGAAAGAGAGAGAGAGAGAGAGAGAGAGAGAGAGAGAGAGAGAGAGAGAGAGAGAGAGAGAGCCAGAGAGCCAGAGAGACAGAGTGACAGAGAGAGAGAGAGAGCCAGAGAGCCAGAGAGACAGAGTGACAGAGAGCCAGAGAGCCAGAGAGCCAGAGAGACAGAGTGACAGAGAGCCAGAGAGCCAGAGAGCCAGAGAGCCAGAGAGACAGAGAGAGCCAAAAAAATTTGTCAGCATAAAGTCGTCGTTTTCGGGAGCAGCCATGGGCAAGGGCAACATGAGAACGAGTCGGCGGCGATCGGGTCGACAAGAGCAGCAGGCATCAGCAGCAGCAAGACGAGGGGGTGGCAAGCGTGAGCATGGCTTGGGGCAGAGCTGGTCAACACGGTTGTTGATTGTTTTGTTCCTGGCGGTGTGCTTGATCGCCACGCGGCAGGTGGGGCGTTGTTGCATGCCCAGCTCTGGCGGCAGGCGGTTTGCAGCTCACAATGTTATGTCCCGGTGCGGGTTGCCAGTGGTTTGATAGTCTCCACACGACGACATGGGTGGGGGTCGGTGAGACGAGTGGGGTAGAGGCCGACCACACTCGCTGTGCCGTTGTGCCAGACGCGCAGGGCGCGTGCCACGCACAACACTGTGGAAAGTTTGTGACTGATCAAGTCGTGACATCCAAAGAGGTCGTTAGTCTTCGCCAGCTCGCTGAAGATGTCATGGCTCTTGGCGCGGGAGGTGCAGGCGGCCCAACTGTAAGAAACCTTTTCCCATCTTTTGTGTACCATAATGCTGAACATTGCCGGCGGCTTGGAGCGACAGTTTCCTCCCTGACCTGCTCCTGTGCCTAGATTGCCGACCTGCACGCCGGTGCAGTGTCCCATGGCACCAGCTTTATTGACTTTTACCGAGAGCTGAAGCGACACAATGCTTCCTTGGACGAGCATCCTGGCATGGCTGCCTACAAGTCTGTTGTCCAATGCCACGTCCAGTCGTCCACTCACACCAGCACGGAACAGCTCATCACCGCCACCTGATCTGTGCTAGGGTTGTGCGAAAGCGAGTGCAAGAGCAGCTGGAGAGCCACTTTGGCGTGCATGGCATCCAGTTGACCAAGCCAACATTCTTCTCACGCATTACCAACAAGGTAACCTATGCTCATTGCCGCTGCATCACATGCTGTTAGCCGTCACCACACTACCCTCTTCTCATGCCTCCTCGCGTCGCCCCGCCCTTGTTCCAATATCCACACAGCCGGCCAAGACAGCGCACGATGAATACTGGCACTCCCACGTCGATAAAGTTACCTACGGTTCCTTTGACTACACCTGTCTTCTCTACCTCAGTTCCCTTGGCGAGGACTTTTCGGGGGGCGAGTTTGCCTTTCTGCAGCCTGGTCTCCTAGGCCATCCTCGACGCACGCTCGTTCACCCTCGTGCCGGTATGCACGCGTAGCATTTGTGACCTCGCAACCATTCTTTGATTGGCCAGTCACTTTCCAGGACAGTGTTCATCCTAACAACTCGGATGTGCACTCTTAGGCCGATTGTCTTGCTTTACTTCGGGCGCTGAGCACCCTCATGCTGTCTTGCCGGTGAGGCGGTGTCGACTCTGTTGCCCCATGACGCACGCGAGATTCCTGTTTCTTTCTTTCTCGGCAAGACACAACTTTCTCACCTTCTCCCATCCACACTTAACATTCCTTAGGTGACGAGTGGCGCGCGCTATGCGCTGACGTATGGCTTCACCTGCGATGCACGGGCGGGGATTCAGGATCCGGAAGGTTCTGCCCCCATCACCAACGCAGCTCAGCCCGACTTTTAAGTAGCCCAATCCCGTTTTCAGATTATCGATCATTCAGCATGTGTGACTCGATAAATTTGACATCATGCATATGAGTCAAAAATACACAAAGCTCACGCCACGTGAACACAAGCACACACAAACACAGTCTCAGAGATCACGGTACCACTCCATTCCGAGCCAATCAGAAGTGAGGACCAGATCTCTTGCGCGCAGCGCTGGGGGAGAAAAACCATGGACGCAATCTGCTCAAAGGTCCCTGGGTAAGGTTTCGACCAAAGAACATCACAAGGGCACTCGGCACTTTTGCAAACGACCCCACAAGGGTCTAGGAAAATTTACAAAGCATCGAGTACGCGCGCCACGGCCCACCAGACCGACATCGCACAGTTTACCACATCCCTCAATACACGATGCTGCTGTCGAGCAAAGCTCGACTCAGCAGCATGCCAGGTGTAATGAGGGAATTAACCTCAGCAACCAGCGGCATCGGCTGACTCGCCTGATGCCTTTGTAATGTCCATGGTGGTCAACGTCTAAGCGGTCATACATTTTGTCATGTCATGGTAGGGTCCTTGGGATCAGTGGGAATATGCGTCATGCAGTGCTGCAACGTACCTCTGCAACCGTGGGATGGATGCCCACCAAATCATCAAACTGCGCCTTGGTGGCCTTGAGCTTGAGGGCCATGCCAAAGCCCTGCGTCACTTCGCCGGCGTTTGGACCCAGGAAGTGCAATCCAAGGACGCGGTCGGTTGATTTCTGCACGACAAGCTTGCAAAAACAGACGTTCTCAGGACGATGAGGCACAGTCCATTCCAAGGGGGTAAAACTCTGGTGGAACACTTCAATGTCCTCGCCAAATTGATCCAGGGCGTCATCTTCGGAAAAGCCGCAGCAGCCGTATTCCAGAGGCGTGAACACGGTCGTGCACACGTTCTGATAATCCATGAGGGCTGCACTCTGACCATACAGGCGGCGGGCCAGCAGCTTGCCAGCCTGAATGGCCACAGGGGTGAGCTCAGGTTTGCCCTCCAGCACGTCGCCAATGGCGTAAATATTGGGCACGTTGGTTTGATCCGCTTCATTGGCAACAACCTTGCCATTGCTGTTAGTGTCAGTGTTGCCATCCGTGCAAACGTCACCATGAGTCGAGTCACCATGCAGCGTCTTATGAAGCCGGAATATAAGGAAGAATACGGACCGTTCATTCAGCTGCACGCCGGCCTTATCCAGGCCCATGGTGCTGGTGCACGCGTCGCGGCCAATGGCAAAGAGCACTGTATCAAACTCGTCTGACACCGCTTCGCCGTTTTGGGTGTAGTGGACAACCAAGCGACCGTCCTCACGCTTTTCGATGCGGTCCGGGGTGGCTTGGCGCACAAACTTGACATGGGCATGACGCTCCATGTGGTCGCCAATTTTTTGGGCGATTTCAGAATCGAATCCACTACGGGACAAGGTTGGGTCAGCCTGGAGCGGGCATCATGCGGTCGTCGCAATGCGTAAGTCGAGGCCAGATGCGTTGTACTTACCGCAGAAGGATAGAGCGCACCATCACGGTGGTGTCTACTTGAACCGATTTTTTTTCACCGTGCAATGGCAAAGGTGTGGAGATTATGCCGAGAGCCAGCACGAAGCAGAAGGAAGTGCCAACGAATGAGTGAATGCTCCTTCAGGAAGGGAGAGATGGCACGCGTTTGCGCCCAGTTGGGTCCGTGTTTATCAGGCCAAAGAGAAAGATGCAAAGAAGCGCGGGGGGCGCATGGCCTTTAAAGACAACATCATCAATCCATCCCTGGTCTGGACACGCACCGTAGCCAAAGGCTGCAAGGAAGCCAGCACACTCCAAGGCGACGTAAGACGCGCCAATGACCAGGGTCTTTCCAGGCTCACGGTCCAGAGAAAAGATGTCATCCGAGGTGATGCCAAACTCTTTGGCACCCGGAATGTCAGGATAGCGCGGGCGTCCACCCGGGCAGAGAATGATCTTGTCGGCGGTGATCACTTGCTCCTTGCCACGCTTGTTGACCGTATTGATGGTATGTGCATCCAGTAGAGACCCATAGGCATTCAAGTAGGTCACATTCTTGTCCCGCAGGGCCACACGATAGCCCCAGTTCAGGGAGCGAATGTGGTTCTGCACCAATTGCATCACCCGAATTTGATGAGCGAGGAGTTTATAAAAAGGGCGTGTAGGCGCGGGCGCGCGTGTGTGTGTGTGGGATGGGGGGAAATAGGGACATCATTTCGGGTGCTGACCTGGACACCCTCCACGAGCGTGGACCAGTTGGGCTTCTCCGGACGTTGCAGGTCCCAACCAAAAGAGGTGGCATCCTCAATGGTATGACCAATGATGGCGGCCTGGTGCATCAGCTTTTTGGGAATGCATCCCACCTAGTCATGTCCAACCGCACATTGATGCCCCGCATAAGCAACCACCGCTGGTTTCACATGCGAGAGAAAAATAAAAAGAATAAAAAAAAAGCTCTCAGGACGTACGTTGACGCAAGTGCCACCCAAGCCCCAGGTGGTACCCTGCGGCGAGGGCTGGACAAAATCGAGCACGGCCGTCTTGGCACCCAGCGACGCAGCCTCCTTGGATGCGGCCAGACCTCCCGAGCCACCGCCCACCACGACTAAATCGTAGTCAAAGCCGTGTGAGGAAGACGACGCCTCGGCCGGCGGGGCGGCTCGGCCCGCCCCAAAAGCCGGTATCAAGGTTGCCATATCCGACGGTGTCGTGTCCTGCGGGACGGGAAGAGAACCGCAACCGTGAGCGAGGTATGCAAACAACAGCACTTCAAACCCCTCCTCATAAACCTCAACCTCATCTCTATGTCGGGCTTCTTGTCACCTCGTCTCATCAACCCCCCCGCTCCTGCCTCCGCGGTGCAACCCCCTCCCTCCCGCTGCCATAAGCCGGCGCACGCACACACACCTTCGAAGAAGGAAATGACACACACACACACACACACACACAAAAGCGTTACAAAGAATAAAAAAAGTATTTCATAGCGTTGACAAAAGGTAAACGGTTCATAAGTTTACCCAAACTGAATGTAAATTACTTCAATGTGGCTTGAGAGGATACACTTGGTAGCAGATGCTTGACAACAGCATTTTTTTCGCTCTCTCTCTCTCTCTCTCTCTCTCTCTCTGTCTAACGCGAAACGTCTTGAAAGGGCAGCGCCGGCGCTGGCGACGCGGCTGATAGCAACGTGGGCAGCCGTCAAGAATCTGTGTGCAGACGGAAAAGGGATCTGGGTTGTGAAAGTTGACTTTTTGGGCTCGTTGACTGGACAAGTGTATGCTTTCCTGTTGAGGCCGAGTCCAGCGATGGCCTTGTAGTGGAGCTCGCCGCGCTTGAGTCTCCACCACTCTTCTCTATTTCTCTGCGCACAAGCGTTGGGCTAGCTCCCATTGAGCCTTCGCCATGTCACACAAGTAAGCTTGCTCTTTTGCCAGTACCCCATTCGTCTGTGTGGAGGTGCTCGTGGCTCGGAGCCAAACTTATTGAACGCCTGTGTCAGGACTTACAATCAGGTTTGGGACCAGGCAGATCAGGAGATCCGTGATCTCCTCGACTATGAGTCTTCTACCGACCCGCGCATTCTTCCAACCAAGGTTAGCTCGTTCACTCCCAATGTGTCCATATTCTCAGATATCTTGAGCCGGCTTATCTGATTCGACTTGTGACACCACGCACAGGAATACGATTCGCAGTTCAACCATCTGGCCTGCTTGTACGTCAAATATGTTCGCATTTACAACAAGCTGTCAGAAGCCTACGATCAGATGGTGCACCCTCAAAAGCGACGGTGCGTAGCTTCACAGTGGCCCTGATGCCACGACCTGCACGCTCAGCGCGCGTGTCCATTATCGAGAAGGTTTCGTTCAACCTGTTCTCCAACTCATTGTCCAACCCATTTTCTCCTTGTGGGTGGCGTTCCACACAGCGTCCTCAAGCTCATGTTGGACGGCGTGACTGGGCGCGTGCTGGAGCTCAAGCATGCGCTAGTTGACTTGGACCGCTGCGACTACCACTACCTGGACGCCATCCTCAGCGATCTGAAACTAACGCCAGATGATCTGAAAATTTACATCCCCGGGTTTTATCGCCATGAGCAGGAGCGGGCCTTGAAGGAGCGCGATTCGGTGTTGGAATCTCTGAATGCAGAGTGGATGGCTCTCAGCCGCGGAGACGAAGCCGATCAGCGCCCGCCGCTCTCCCGAGCCGTACGCCCGCTTGCTCATCATGCTATCCGGCCACTCGCTCCCTATCACTCCCGACTCGGTTCAGGGCCTGACTTAATCAACGAACATTGCACTCCTTGGTTCCCATCTTGCAGGAGGCCATCTTGCTGCTTCAGCGACACGAGCGCGCCCGGCAAGGACGCCTGCGAGCCAAGTTTATGATGGCAAGTCTTGCCCCAGCACGCCCACTTGCGTTGAATTCGAGGACTGTGTTCCGCGTTCGTGACTTTGGCCCTTTTGATCAATCCTTTTCCTTACCTGCAGGGCATTCGAGACCAAGAACTGCGTGATCGCTTACGTGCAGAGCTCAACGAACAGCCTCCCAATCCAGAGGAAGCAGCAACCACGATTCAACGGTGCGTAATTCCCCAGGCAACACGACCCCACCGCCGCCTGACCTTCACGTGCACATGGCATGACCCATTTCGTAGGCATATTCGTGGCTTTCTGGCCCGTCGCCAGGTACAACAGCAGCGCCATTTTGAGATGGAGCTGATTGGCATGGAGCCGCCTCCCCCCAAAAGTCGTAAAGACGACCCCATCGCCAAGGCGGCAAAAATTGCCGAGGCCCGACGTGTAACTCAGGCCCAGTACGAGGCTCAATATCAATCGGCTCTAGTCAACACCAAGCAGAAAATCCTGCAAGTAGAGGGACCAGACATGAAGGAGAAAATGTCCGACCAGATCCGCGACTGGTTCATGCAGGCACGCGAACAGACAGGCGCCTTCCCCGAATTTCCAGAGGCCGAGGCCGGTGGTTCGCGCTCCATCTTTCAGCCCCCCGAAGAGGCAGGAGCCGACGCAGCAAGTGCGGACGGCAAGGGTGCCGACAAAGGTATGGCCGTCTTCGCAAGATCTGTTTTTAATCGTGTTTCCTGAGGGCGTGCCCATGTCTCACGAGCGTGCTTCTTAGGCAAAAAAGATGCTAAGAAGGACGCCAAAGGCGGCCAAAAGGACGCCAAAAAGGATGCAAAGGGTGGCAAGAAGGATGCCAAGGGCGGAAAGAAAGCCAAAGGCAAAGGCAAGGGTGCAGAGAACGAGGAGGCACCCGCTGCCGGCAAGGTGTTTGTATACAAGCCCATGCTGGAGAAGTCGACGCAAGAGTATGATCAGGTGTGGCGCAACAACCTGGCAGATCGGGGCAATGTGCTGCAAAAGCACGATGCCGACATTGTGCGCACCATCAAGCGCACAGAGGCCGAGGAGGAATTGCGCCTCGAGGTGGACGAACTCATGCGGCAGGAACTGAAAAATCTCAAAGCAGCTTTGGAGACCGACAGCGGCAAAAAGGGCAAGAAGGGCAAGAAGGGCAAGAAAGGCGGCAAGAAGGGCAAGAAAAGCGGCAAGAAGGGCAAAAAGAGTGGCAAAAAGAGTGGCAAAAAGGGCGGCAAGAAAGCCAAGGGCAAGGTATGTATGAAACCTGAAAGTTTCGGGTTGCACGCCATTCGCTATGCCCACCCACTTGCTCACTGGGGCATGTGGCTTGATGTAGGCTAAGAAGGACAGGGACATGACTGCAGACGTGCCCATTCCCGTCTTGTATAAGGAGCTGGTCGACGTCAAGGTCGTCAAACGCGTGCCCAACATCACAATGGATGAGATTGTCGGCAACTATAGTTTTCTTGGCTCGCACATTTTTGCGCAAAAGCGGGAGCCTGAGCCTTCGCTGGCGGATGTGCGGCGCGTTTTGACAGAGTACTGCATCATGCCTCTTGGTTCGCAAGCCGTGCATGAGACGCAGCCGGTCTTGGTTCGCTCCGTCCTCATGGCTGGTCCACATGGCACCGGCAAGCGATCCTTGGCCTTGTCCGTGGCCAACGAACTTGGCGTACGTCCGTACCTGGGCATGCCATGGTTGTATCGGGCTGTCCAACGATGCAGAGCACGGGCTTACTGTTACGCGGCTTGGTGTTTATGTAGGCCAACTTTTTTGACTTGTCGCCGGCCAACTTGATTGGTAAATACACGGAGAAGAAGGGGCTGGATTCAGTCGAGGGCTTGTTGCACAAGGTGAGGATGCGTTTTCCATGCGTACGGCCAAGAAAAGGAATGTTACGTGCCGTCACGGTGTTGTTCGTGGTTGTAGGTCTTCAAATTGGCCAAGCACTATCAGCCGTCCGTCATTTTCATCGGAAACGCGAGCAGCATTTTCGCAAAGAAGAAGGGTGACTCTAGCGATGCGAGTCGCTTCAAAAAAGAGCTGCCCAAGTTTATCAAAACCATTTCGGTTGGTCTCCAGTAGTGACCTTGCCTGGTGCAGCGCGGCTTGGAGCTCAGCATGAAGCGTGCGCAATGACTGGGCAGGCTTCTCACTTGTGTTGGTGGCTTGCTTTGACGATGCGCAGCCCGGTGATCGGATCGTCGTGCTGGGCATTGATGATTGTCCCTTCGCGGCCGACACCAAAGACCTGACGTCGTGCTTTCAAAAGGTTTTGCTCGTGCCCAAGCCCAATTACGGCACGCGCCTGGTGAGTCGTCGACCTGGCAGCATCTGGCTATGGTGCCCGTGAATGCAACTGGTCACCAATGGCAGGCAAACTGACGATGGCTTTGATCCCATGAAAAGATGCTGTGGGACATGTACCTGAGACGATTCGGGGCCAACCCATCAGGCGAAGTGGATCCACATTCTTTGTCATTGGTATGTGCTGCACCTGTTGCCTGTACGTTCGCAGTGCCGGGGGCTATGATTACAGCCTGATGTCTTTTGTGGTGGCCTGTGCTGTGTTGCGGCATATGTCAGATCTCGGAGGGTTATACTGCGAGCGACCTGGAGTATGCAGTGAAGATGGTGCTTACCCCCATGCGCAGAAAACAGCAAGCTTACAAGGTGGGTGGTTTCGAGGCTGGGGCAACTGGGCGGTGGTGCTCAATTCCAACAGCGATACTCTTACTTGGCGCGTGGTTTGTTTGCGCATGATTGGACGCAGCCGCTGCGTTCGGCCGAGTTTGTGGCGCCATTGGCGAAGCGGCAGCCCGTCTACAAGGAAGAAAGCGCCGAGTTTGCGAAATGGTACAGCGGCTTGCTGGGCAAGAAGCGTGAGGCCATTCTCAAGGGCGAAGATGTTTTTGGTGGGTTTCGCGACTGTCTGATCTACCTCCTGCTGCAGGCACATCCTGCTCATATCTGGGCTATTCGTGTTGGCGTTGACAGAATCGCCGGATGACGGAGCCAAGAGTGCCAAGAAGGGCAAGAAAAAGAAGAAGAAATAAGCAATTGTGCGCTTGTTTAATACATGCCAGCCATCCATGTTGCACTAGCTTGTCAGGACTCTCTCGGTGTTTGACGAGAGTCCGACTTGGGGCTGCTGTCGTTTCAGTTGATGATCATCTAGTTTACATTATCTGAATTGCACACGCTCGAAAATTGACGACATTCATCTTCCTATTCTTAGGCAGGGCAGTTCGTGTTTGATTTTTTTCTCTTATGCTTGTTCCTTATCTGAAGCGGAAGCGAAGGTTTCAAGATTGTCGAGACAGCGGTCAGCTGCCTCCAGAAGGAAGTTCTCAAACACCCGCGAGCCTGCCATATTCCAAAGGACGTCAGGCATGTGATCCGCCATGGACTGACGCATGGCCTCGAGCTTCTCGGGCGGGGTGGCCATGATGTCCACGAAGGCCTTTGTAAGCTGTTCAGGCTGTTGTGCTTCCTTGACAAAAAAAGAGAATTCATGCCAAGGCACGCGGCTGTAAAAAGGAAGGCCATCGCGCTCGATGCCGTCGGAAATGATGATGGGTATGCTATTGTAGCGAATACAATCATAGAGACGATTGCTGGACAGGGTATCACCGCGGATCATGAGGCAAAACTTGCTCGCGGCAAGCTGGTACAAGTAAGCAAAGGCCGAGTGTCCCGACCGGCACCGTTCCTGGGACCATGTCTCAAGTGGGTCAGGCGTCGTGCCAGACTCGAGGTGTTCCTCGGATTTTGATCCCGGGACGACCGGATCAGACCAGTTGCTGTAGGTTCCAGTGTGGTTGGTAGCCCAGGCCAAAGCGGCGAAAACGTTATCTGGGCACGCGCGCTCGTAGGTGGATTTGCCCGGATCGGACACGGAGACACACACATGTGGTCCCGGGACATCGCGTAGAGCTTCGCAGGAGAGGCGACGCTGGCGATAGCCAGCGCGAGCGTCAATCTGCCCCTTGAGAAAGAACATGTATGGGCGCTCGGACCAGGGACGACCCCACGCCTGCAGGCATCGAGAGCCAAAGGTGAGCAGAGTGTTACATCACAAGTCAACCAAGGCGAGATATGTGTGTGTGTGTGTGTGTTGGGGGCAGAGGGAGCTGAGCCGTTGTGGGAACCAGCTTATGGGAAAGCGAGCTGCGGACCTGTTCAGGGGTCGGCCAGAGGCGCTCCAACTCCATGGTACAGTTGCGTTGATCGTCATCACCGCAGGCATATTGATGGAGATTCATCTCCAGTGCATCAAAGAGGAGGGCGCGTGTCATGTGCGACCACACTGAGCCAGAGTAGGGTGTGATGACGGTGCATCGCCAATGGGCACTACCCACCGGCGGAGCGAGGCGGGCGCGGGTGAGAAAGACAAATGGGTCGGCGTGATCGGCGGGTAAAGGCCAAAGGAAAAGCAAAGGATGTGCCGATGATGGGTTGGCCGGGCTTACTTATCAAAGTTCTCAATGTGTCCGAGGATGCTGTTCTTGACGAGCGCCCGAATGACGTCGTTGGCGAAGAAGCGCACAGCCCAATCTGAGCCTGAGAAAACGTGATCGGCGCCTTGATAGCGCTGCCATGACTTGGTCTGGCTGAGCTTTTCAAGCAAGGAACGGAGAATGTCTTTGGTTGACTTTCCCTTGCATTTCCCGTTGCGTTGGTAAAAGGCAAGGGGGGCGGGGACGACGAAGAGCCGGGCTTCCTCCGGGTCGGACACGCGCCAGGGATGGCGTCCGCGGGCATGGTCGGCAAAAAGCATGTCATCGCCATGCTTGAAGCTGCGCCATTCCTCAATCACCTCTGGTTCGCACAGATGTTCAATGTCTAGCTCTGGAAATTCATAAACGTAGAATGGCACCCACTTTGGCAGCGAGGCCGCATCGCCAACGGGCGCCAGGGAGGTGGGCAGTGCATGCGCCAGTAAGGCGCATGCCATCAATGCCAAACAAGCGCGCATCGCGTCGTGGGCCTTTCAAACCAGCTCGCGCCTTCATCCGCAGTTCAGAACTGGTCGACTTGGCGCCAAGATCACCGCAAGTGGTCCAAGCCCCTGCAGTTGCCAAGACAGAGCAATCCGAAGCAGCCCCCTCCGATCCGTGCCAGCAAGTCCAAGCCCCAGCTCCGCCACAAGACAATTAAAAAAAAAATAAAAAAATAAAAAGCCGAAATGTACCACGCGCCCATGTGAAGACAGAGAGAGATGAGAACTTGATGAGGGACACAGAGAGATGATGAGAGAGAGTTTTTTGAGGATGGGAGAGAGAGTGTTGACATGTGAATTTGAGAGCGAGAGCCCAGCGCCCGAAGCAGACGGTTGGACGGAGGGGCGACGGTTGGACAGAGAGACAAGCAGACAAGTCAGAGCACAATGTTGAGGATGTCTATTTTCCTATGGGCTGCATGCAGTGCGTGCGTGCATGTGTGGAAGATCTTGCAGTCTCTGTAGGGATGAGCAAAACAATTGCCTGGCTTCAGACTGTGAACAACGAGTGCGCGCTGGTAACAAGTGAGTTGGCGTGCTGTTTGCATGTCTCTTCCTCCAAGGAAGCTGGCCCATCGCCAGAAGTATCGACTCCGTCCATGTCCAGCCAGCCAGGGAGTGAGGGCAGCCCCCTCAAAATCATCAAGCGCGCTCAAGCGGAGCGGGCGGCCGGCACGCCAAAACAGCTGTTGACTCCAGTTTTCTTGTTGACCCAGCACAACACACTCCTCCCTTTGAAGAATTTGTCTGACAATCACCCTCACACGCAGTTTCCATGGTACAACAAAACGTCACACAACATTACACTTTAAACATAATAAAGTGTAACAATGTATTACACTTTTATCGTCAAGGTGTCAGTTGTTGTTGATCATTATCAACAGCAAACATTCTCTCAGATGTGGTCGCGATGGTGCCATCTCTCTGGTGTGGCTTGGAAAGTACCTGTACGTTGTACACCTCTCATTCGCTCTCTCTGCCTCGTGCTTGACTTTGTGCTCTGTGTCTTGATCTCTCTTTCAAGAACGAGAACGCCGAGGGTACACGGCGGGCGGGGACTCCAAAGGGCAGCGCCGTTTTAACCCTGAAATAAGCAGCTCGGGGCAACAAGACTCGGCCCATCTCAAAGAACAGACAGCAAGCTCCCGCCTGATGCCCCATTGACCCCAAGTCTACCCGTCCACACCCGAGTTTAGTACCCCATAAAGAACACACTGACACCCACGACGGCAAGTCACACGTCGAACTCATCTCTCGCTCGTCTGCAGTTTCTTGATTCAGTCGGTGATCGTCATCAGCGACCGGATAGCTGAAGACGCGCGCGCCCCTGGTTCAGTCTGCCCTAGCCTCCTCCCTCCCTGCTGTGGAGCTGCTCCTGCCGTTCCTGATTGGAAGTATTCCCCTGCAGCGGAGCGCCCAAGTGCCGCGGCACTGGGACATTCGTCGTTGACACGGCTGCCGTATGGGCGTGCCCACAAAGAGCCCCAACCGCTTTTTTTTTTTTTCTAAAAAGCAATTTCCCTGACTGGGCTCCACACCACGCGGTCGCGGCTCGCAATCCAACAGCGCGTTATTTTCACCCTTGCCCCAGCTCCTTCTTTCTTGCTGCTCTTGGTGTTTTTATCCGTCCGCACTTGCCCCGACCCCTGTAGCTTCATTTTTAAGATAATAGCATCGGTATCTTTAACAGACGACACTTCGCATCATGGCGTCTGTGGATCTGGACAGTTCCTTGTCCTCGTTGGCTTGGCTTACACATGTTCAGTCATCTGCCGAAGCCATGACGGCCACCGCCAGGAACGCTGCAGCATCCAAGAACAACAATTCCACTTCCGGCCAGCGTGGTTCCAACAAGCGCCTCAGCAACAGAGCGCGCTCCACCTCCACCGACTCGGCCATGGACTCGGATGAACTCGAATTTCCCGAACAGGATGCCGATTCACGCATGAGCACCCCGGATGTTGATCGAGCCCTTGATGTCGACTGGTCAGAAGAAGCACGCTGCAAGCCCCCATTCTCCTATGCCACTCTTATTTTCATGGCCATGCAGCAAGCCGACAAGCCAAAGCTCGCTCTTTCAGAGATTTACGATTTTATCGTCAACAACTTTGCCTGGTATCGCATGGCTGACCCAGGCTGGAAGGTGAGCCTCCTAGTTCCCCCCGACCTCGCTGCCTGGCCTTGACGCTCCAGCTCTGTCCTCAAATTTGTTGCCTCTTGCCGCTGGCTGGTCCTTGCGTGTTTGGCAGAATTCAATTCGACACAATCTCAGTCAGGAAAAGGCCTTTATCAAGGTCGATCGAGGCAGCAGCGAGCGAGGCAAGGGCGGTTACTGGGCTTTAAACCCCGAGTACAAGAATTTCGACCAACTAGCCACCAAGAAGCGCCGTCGCTATCGCAATCGCTCAGGCGCCCCCCTCAACGGCAAGCCTCGCCGCGATCGCGACCGTGACAATCGCAACCACCACCCCCGCCGCCTCAACCCCGAGCCCGCCCATGCCGGTAGCCCCAAGCTGCGCCATCATGGTTTGAGGCGTGACAGTGGTGGCAGTGTGGATAGCGCTGGTCGCCCAGCCAATTCATCCCGCCCCCATAGCGCCGGTAGTGCGACCAGCGACGGGTTTGCCGGCGTTGACATCTCTGCAGGCTTGGGCGATCCGACGCTCTCAAACACCCCTCTGCTGCAACAGAGCGAGTCCCGCAACATGCTGAAGGAATTGGAGCGCGAATTGCTTCAACAGGATCTGCCGGTGCCCTCTACCCCCGAGCCTTCCAGCCTGCTGTCTTCAGAACTGGACCTTAGCCTCACCGGCACCCGCTGCGTCCTGCATAATCCTCCGGCCGAGCTGGACGACCTTGAGTGGCGAATGGGCCTGACGTCCTCCTTTGCCACACTCATGGACGTGACTTCAGACCACGTGTCGAATCGCCTCGGGCACCGTCTTCCCTCCGACATGGCCTATGGCATGGGTGTAGGCATGGACGATGCTAGCGCCAGCTTGGCTCAGCGTGCCGCAGCGACAGCCCCCAGCCTTTTCGACCCGGCTGATCCTCGTGGCACCCTATTTGTACCCCCGTCCCCACGACCTGGGTTTGAGGATGATATTGATCTCTCAGATGCGCCAATGCCCTCAGATTGGATCTCGGCGTGAGCTTGACGGCAAACCTTTTTTTTTTTTTTTTTTTGTTCATAGTTACACACCACGTTTTGGTTTGTTTTTAACCCCTGGTTCTTTTGCGTTTTGAAGCAGGGCCGACCGCCTTCGGGTCAGCTTTGTTGCTTTTCTTGATTTGACTCTTCTGCGCCTTCACAGGGATGTCGGCTTTTTTTTTTTCCAGACCCTGTGCGAGTACAGCCCCCTTTTTTTTCTTCTTTCTCGATTGTCCTAATTATCACACTCGACGGCAGCACATCGCTGGGCCTCGTTAGGTCTCGTGCGCTAGCTTATATTGCTTGTTTGTAGCTACTTTGTGCTTGAGCTCCCGTTATCTGTTGTTCTTTGCCCTTCTTCCAGCGTCCGCCCCTGGTGCCTACTGCGTAGGCCACTGCATTCAGAGTGCGTGCACATGTTGTCCAAGTTCCCTCGTTGGTTTTATTTGTCTTTCGCCCGCTCGCACAATCCTGTTTTTCAACTTTGGATATAAATTGACTCTTGAATCAACGACAATCTTCTCATCTGACACAAAGTCTTATGGTCACAACACATCGCAAGTTAATGCATAAATAATGATATGATCAGCGCCTACTACCGACTGTTGGCGGGCGAGAGTGCACTGTCTCATCCGATAGCGAGGCATCGTAGCAAGTCATGCCAAAGGCGAGCGCTGCGTGTCAGATCGCACGTTCATCTGCCCAAGAAGCTCCTGTGCCAATCGGGCCACCTGATCCACCAAGTCATCATCGCGTTGTCTCGCTCCAGCTGCATCAAAGCTTGCGTTGGGCATCAAGGCAGGGCTGGATGTTCCATGTTCTGGAGGTGAAGAGTGGTGAGACGACAAGTCTCCTCTATCGTCTCGGAGACCTTCGGCCTCGGAGCCAGGGCCTGGACTCTGCGAAGGAGCCTGGGGGCTGACGTGTCCTGGAACCGTTGTCACGCCTGGCCAAGTTCCCCACGATTGCGCCCCCACATTGGTGGCCGGGGCCACGCCATACGCAGCACGCGCACGCAAGCTAGCAAGCAAGGCGTTGCGCTCCTATAAAATATTACCCAAAAATGACACCATTCATGAGCACTGCCACTACCGGGCCCAGGGTTCCGGGAAAGGATCAGGAGAAGTCAGCATCTCGAACTGACCTGGCTCACACTTTGCAAGCTGAGGCGAAGCTGATCAATCTCTCGCCGCAAGTCTTGGCGCTCCAACTCAAAAGCGCTCTCGTGCCGCGCCGCGCTCGTGTCCAGACGTCGCTCAAGGTCCATCTTGTTCAGCTGCGTTTGTTTGTGCATACACACAGCCTGCCTGTCAACTGCACACCACCTCTAATCACCCAAGAAAGCCAAGCGGAGGGGCAGCAACAGGTAGCGACCTGGCTAGTTTTGAGCTGTGCTTCCAGATCTTGCACTCGAAGCTCCATTTGCCTCAAAGTCTTTGCTTGCTCGCCTACCATGCACCCCACCCGAGGCAGCCAACCAATGAGGTTGCATCTGCTTCATCAGATCACATTGCAACCAAGCCTCACTGTGCTGCCCACTCACTCTGTGGTGCGTCCAGTTCCTGCTGGTGCTGGCGCCGCACATCGTCTTGTGCCTGGCGCGCAGCCTCGTTGTTCCTTGACAGCTGACATCAGTGAGCAAGTTGTAAATGTCAGCAACAACGATCACACAGAATCGAGCACAAGGGCGTATGGTTATGGAGTGTACCTCTTGCTGCAGCTTTGCAATTTCATCGCGAGATGCTTCTAGTTCCTGCTTCCACCCAGCGTCAAGCTGTCAGACCCATAGCTAATCAGGCACGATTGTGTCGTCGATGCCAGCCCTTCCTTTCCTGGCACAAACCTGTTCTGTCTTCTCCAAAGTCAGAGCGGAGGCATTGGCGCGACGTTGTGCATCGGTCAGGGCAGACTTGACGTCTGCCAACTCCTTCTGGCCTACCATGCCAAGGGTCGAGAGAAGAGTCAGTCTTAATGTGGTGCAGAGACTGCATATGCAAAGACAGGTTGTTTGTCAAAGCAAACAAAAGAATAAAAAGGATGAAAGAACGAACTCACTGCCTTGCACCTCTACCGCGAGCCGTTCGCCAAACGTTTCCTCCAGCATCCGATTGTGTCTGTGGCAAGTTCATCCCAAGTGCAGCATAGGCCACACAAAGAACATGAAAATTCGGAAGCGTTTTGGAAGACGCTGTGGCATGAAGACGGGCAGCGGTGGTAAAATCTTGAAAGCCCAAGATCATGGGAGACGCGTGCGTACGTGAGAAGATAATCGCGCTCCTTGGTCAGACTCTGGACTTGCTGCTGCAAAATGCCAATCTAACTCAAAGTCAGAGCAGGCGATCTCGATCAGTTTGAAATATCATTAAATTGCAAACGATCCCATGCCACACCTCAGCTTTGATATCAGCAACATCTGGCCAAGTTGAGCGGTCTTGAGCATGCGCTATCGAGGCTGAAGGAGATGCCACGGGGGAAGGGCGGTGACGTAGCCGATGGACAGCATACTCGAGCTACAGAAAGAATGTATGCCAAAGCCCCAGCTGCATTAGGTACGGATATGACTAGATCAAAGGGGCGGGCAAGAGCAAGGAGCAAGGGACGCGGACAGGGGACAAGGGACAAGGAACAAAGAAAGAGGGACACGGGAGCTTGGACCGGCAGAGAAGCACCAAAAAAATGCGAGACAAGGCACACCGTTTTGAGGCGACTGCCAGCAAAGGCCAGGCGTCGGTCTTGACGGTCAAGGGTTGAAGCTTGCTGTGCCAAGACTTGAAGAAGCAGCTCAAACTTTTCATGAAACCTGCAGGGCAAGCGTATCAGGGCGACATGTCAAGAAGAGCAGGGGAAGCGTGGAGGTTGGTTGGGCGTCGGCTTTGTAGTTCAATGCAACATGACGTTGGTGAAGCGGCCGTACGCAAGGATGGCCTGTTGCATGTGACGCTCATTACGGGATCTTGTGCTGAGAGCTTGGTCAAGCTGGTACACGTCAAGCTCGCGACGGCGCAATTCGGCAACGCAGCTCTTTGGAAAAAGTACAAGAATTGGGAAAGCAATACCGTCAGCATCAGTGAGCTCAACCGAAACAAGAGAAAAGCAGAAATAGAAAAAGAAAACAAAGCGAGCAAACCTGTAGCTGATGGCGCAGCAAATCAACGTGGCTTTCAGCATCGGCAAGCTTGGTGCCGATCAAGTGGCGGGCCTGATGCTCAGCCTCGAGCTGTCCATTGAGCGATTGGAGTTGCTGGTGGTGTTGACGGTGCTTGGCTTGGATCTGCGCATGATCAAGAGAGCGTTCCAAAAGCAAACGATAGACTTGCTTGCGCCAGCTGCGGCGGTCAGCCCCGAAAAAATAGACAGCCGCAGGGGCAGATGAGCGAGAGAAAAGTAAAACAGTGGGCGGTTGGACGACTGCGCTTGGGGGGGGGGGGGGGGGACCCCAGGGCTTACCTGCGCAAAAAATTGAGGGCAGTTGATCGATCGTTGTGTGGGGGCTGAACACAAAGGGTTGAGGACAGCTGAACGGTGTTGGCTTCACGGGTCACGGCTGCTTCCTGCGTCAACACGACACAAGAGTTGTGAGGATAAAAGTGGGCTGGTGAGCGGCGCAAACGAGACGTAGCTGAGCTCTAACTTGTAGTTGAAGAAGGTCTTCCATGGCCGTAAGTCTTCGCTCAAGCAAGCCATTACTTTGCTGCAGCGTTTCAATGAGCTCCTGAAGCAAAAGGGGGCCGGGGGGAAACACAATGATGAAATTCATGGAGAATGCGCGCAGGAGCGAAGGGTCGAAAGGCGACGGACAAGAAGCGCGGTCTTCCAACCTCATAGTGCCGGGGATCATTGCCAATATAACGGCGAAGCTGGGTCATTTCGCGTTGGAGGCTGAGGCAGGAGTCACAAGCCTGTGCTGCTGTCGGGGGCACCGATCGTCCACTGCGCCAACGACCCGAATGCGCCACGGAAGCAGCCTGAAGGTCGCCCTCGGCCACGGGGGATTCATGCGTGACTGCTGGTGGCTTGGGTGTGGAGTGTGTTTCAAGATCAAGATCAGACGTGGCCGATTCCTGGAGATCCACGGCCTGGCTGCTCTGTGCTGGTGGTACCTTTGCAGGCACCTCGAATTCATGGTCGTCGCCACGGGCGGTGGTTGTGCGCGCATCGGCCCGGGCCGGTGTGGCATGCCAATGTGTGAGGTCCTCCGGGGTTAGAATAGCCATTGACGAGAACAAGTTTGACTGCTCATTCAGCGAGTTTTCTGCGCTCGGCTCAGCGGGCCGGGACCCGTGCTGTTCCGTCTCCACGGCTGCGGCTGTCGGGAGTACCTCCGTGCCAAGGTCATCGTTCGAGTCAGCCATGTCGACGAGAACGCTGGAAAATTCAAACCCCTCTTTCCACACGCCACATCTCGCGAGCCACCAGACACACGTGCTGGAATCCCAGGCAGGAACCCCACAGCACTACTCCTGGTTACGGGGCAGTTGACACGAGAAGCAGCCCCACCCCCTGCCCGCCGAACAGCAAAAAGTAAAAAAAAAACGGATTTGTAACGGTCACACTCCTTCTCTGGCTGAGTGGTTCAAATTCTCATGCACCTCTGGCTGGAGCTCGTGAGTGTGCTCTTCTCTCTGTTTGTAGTACTATTTTCTTACAGTGGATGCAACTGTTTATGACGCATCTCTGGATGTTAAGCGCTCTTTCTAACCCTCTCTCGTCTCTCTTCTCTCGTCTCTCTCGTCTCTCTCTCGTCTCTCTCTGTCGTGTGCCTCCCGGTGGCAGCCGTTGGTCGGGCGGTGAATTCTATTGGACCAAGTTGGAGGTTGAGGTCGTGGGGGGAATGGCACTCAAGACGACGGCCGCGGAGCATAGCACCGCCAATCGTCATGTCGTCAAGCAGCTTGTCGGGGCCGTCCCGGCTCCTGCGACCATTGAGGTGCGGCTGGTGGCATGCGAGAGTGTTTCGTCTTGTCTCGTCGCGTCACGTCGCGTCGCGTCACGTCGCGTCGCGTCGCGTCGCGTCGGCATTGGCTCGCCATTTCGACAAGAATGCGCGTTCCTTGATGCAGCATCGTGTGCACACTGTTAGGAACGGCGCAAGCGGTTCAAGACTCTGCTCGAAGCGCACAACATCCCAGAGACTTCAGCCTTGATGAGCGCTCAAGCCCATCGCAGCCACATGTTCCCGTCCACTGCGTACGTGGCCTATGCTCGCAGCAGTAGGCTGTCCGAGTCTTGATTGCTGCTCATCACGTGGATTGCTGCGTAGGGCGGCACACACATCCAAGCTTAGTGACGCCAAAGCGGTCAACAAGGCAGAGGGAACCACAGATAAGGTGCCAAAAATTGCGCCCGAAGAGAGCATGCCGTTGAGTGGACTCGAGCTGGAATCCCTGCTGTGCCTGATGCTCGCATGCTCACACTTGCAATGATTCCTGTCCGTTGCTTGGTGCTCAGGAATACGTCGAGGAACATGGCTATTTGTCGAGCGATCCGGAGGAATATTTCGAGGCTGATCTGTTTGTTGGAGCGCGCGCAGAAAGCATGGCAGAGGACTTGGTACGCTTAAACCAACCTTGGTGGTGGTTCGCTCAACAATTCTGCATCTGTGCCTGTGACAGGATAAAAGCTCATTTTCTCACGCGTTTCTGCACTGTGCACATCTGGTCAGGCACGGGTTCAGGCGGCCAATCAAGCGCGGGGCCTGAGCGAGTCGGACGACTTTAGCGAGGGTGATGCGGAAGATTGCTTAGCTGGGCAAACCATCATGTCGGTCGAGGACATTCAGCGACGACGAGAGGCTCATCTCGTCAAGCTGCGCCACCTGTACCATCGTATGTCCTGCATTTGATTGTAATCACGAAGCCTTGTGCCGAGCCAAGGAGGAGTTGTCACCCGTACTTGACCACGAGCCTGGTGTCTGGTGTCTGGTGTCTGGTGTCTGGTGTATTTGTTTTTCCAAACGAGCAGAAAAAATGCAACGCTTGCAGCAGCAGCTGTCTCTCAAGCGACTGGCTTATGAGAAGGATGCAGACGAGCTTCGCAGCTCGATATCGCGCGTGCAGGCGGAGCTTGACGCCGACGCCACCGCCCAACTGCGCGCGCAAGGCATGCTTGAGCCCATGGACGCTACTCCCGACGGAGAGGAGGAAGATGAAGATGCTGATGAAGACGGCACCATCCCCATTCCAGCACACCGCCAAGCTTTGGCCATGCGGGTGCCCCGGGAATTGGATTTGGATGAATTGGATACCGAACCCATTAGCCTCGTGCCTACCCGCCAAGACGCGGCATTGCTGGTTCGCAAGCTACGCACACTGCCAACACGTAAGATGATGGTGCGGATGGGACATCCCCATTGCTGCTGATTCCCGCCAGGGGCCAACCGTTGTGTGGCATGTGCATCGGTCACACCTTCGACCTGACCACCGCGCTCATTACCATCTCTTTATTGTGTTTCGCTCGGCCTCCAGCGAGTGGATCTCATGCGGAATCCCCAAAACCCGAGACTAAGACTGAGACCTCCTCACCGACTGAGACGATGGATTTAACGCGGCCCCAGGCCTTCCGATGCATATTCGAGGCCCGCGCATCGTCTGAGGCGACAGACGGAGCGGTCGAGCGTTGCCCTGCCATGTCTGTCTCGGTTTGGCTTTGGGATGCTAGGAGATGTGGAGAAAGTTGATGTCCAAGAGCCGCTGTGAGATGGGTGCCTCACACTTGCCTGCTACTTTTTCTCGCTCTAATGCTTTGAAATGTCCCTTGAATCTTCCACTAGCGCGCTGCCGTTTAGCCAATATTGTCGTCAGCATATTCTCAAGGATGAGAAGCAACAGCTTTACGTGCCCGACATGCCGGGTCGACCCCTCTTGGTCAACGCCAATACCAACCAGTCCGGGTCTGGTCAACCAGCAGACGTGTCTTCGACCAAGAGGTACACCCAAGCCTCTGACGCTGCCAGGGTTTCAGCTCCAGGTTCACGAGCTCACGAATTCCATCATGGGCACAGGTCGGGCCCCGAGGGCTTGCAAGAAGCATCAAAGACGGCGGCAATCCAACAACAAAGGGGCGGCACAACGGCCATCATACGTGGAACCATGCCGCCGGTGGCACCGGAGCAGCTCACACTGGCCGCCTTTGAACTGTGCGTGAAATGGGATTCTCATGGGTATTCCATGTTTTTTATTTCCTTCCTTGCAGCCCTACTGGCCTTTTCACGATGCTGTTGGTCGCTTTTGTTTCGCTTTAGCAACCCGCGGCTGTGTGCGCATTCATCGTCTACCACCGTGGTATGTGTGTTGGGTGCTTGGTGTTTGTTTTATTCGTTTCTCAAAGCCGAAGCTGATCCACCTCATCTTTCTGCGCGTGTGCTCTTTTGTTGCTGCCACAGGTGCCACCTGTGCGATTGTGGATGGAGGTTTGTCCTCTTGCTTGGGGGACTGTTTCGACGACTCTTCTTTTTGCTTGCATTCTCTCACTCCCGTTCTACACACACTCCACACTGGTGGTGGGTGTACTCTAGGATCTCATGGAAGACCAGGTGGAAACAACTGGAGCTGATGTGTCGTTGGTGGACCAAATTAAATCGGAGCTCTTGTCTGGCGACGTTCGGGATGCCACTGCTTGACTTTGGCACATTGACTCTGATATGCCTCAACCAGGTTTTTTTATCAACCGCTGCGCGGGTCAAATTTACATGGTTATCCATTGTCTCACTAATGATGTGGAAAAAACAGTCTTTTTCATCATGAGAGCCACAAATATCTCGCTGGCTTCAACCCATCCTTCTTGACCATGCTGCGTGGGTCCAACAGAGTTGAGGGTGGAGAAGCGCCGCGCCTTCCACACACGGAGATCAAAAGCCGCTTCCAAGGAACCTCGACGCCCAAAAAAGGGACAAGCCAGAGCGGAGGAAGGCATCAGGAAAGACCAGAGACCGAAGAACCAAAGAAAAAAGGTTTTCTCCAAGAGAGAAGAGAGATGAGCGAAGAGAGAAGAGAGAATAGAGAAAGAAGAGAAGAGAGAAGAGAGAAGAGAGAAGAGAGAAGAGAGAAGAGAGAAGAGAGAAGAGAGAAGAGAGAAGAGAGAAGAGAGAAGAGAGAAGAGAGAAGAGAGAAGAGAGAAGAGAGCAGAGAGAAGAGAGAAGAAAGCATAAGAGAGAGAGAGAGGCATCGCGTGTCTGTTGTGTCTTTTTTTTTTTTTTTTGTGCGCAGCGGCGGAGACGCTTCGGGCGCGCGCGTATCGCGGCTGATCAACACGCGGATCTGGGCTGTGGCTCGCGTGGTAAATGATTTGCACGATTGTGGCCGGTTGAGTCATCTCAGAGCACGGGGAAAAGCGGCGTCAGCACGCGATCGCGTTTGGGATTTGTTGAAGACTCAGCTCACCATCAACGGGTGAACCAGTCCAAAACTCGGGCACAGCTGGTACATCTGCCCCGAGCTCGTCGCCGCCAAGAACTTGGTCAAGATCGAGCCTGTCACGACTTTGGTGTGCCGAGTTGCATCGTTCGACTTGCGGTAGCAAGGGCAATTGGCGTGCCGAGATCTGCAAAGCCAAAAGGGCGATACGGATTTGCGCTTCGAGTTGCCGCAGGTCGTATCACCTCAGCACGTCATGGCACGTTAACACCAGCCATCAGGCTGAACGATCCATCAATCCAGTCCCGCGTACAGCAAGCCTGGAATAGACACGCGCTTTAGCCCCAGGTCATGGCCCTCGAAACTGAGCACCTGCGGGTCTTGCGACAGCACTTGTCGCACGACACCAGTACAGTTTTGACCACCCTCGCGCACGAAGCCGCCGTCACGAGCAGTGACCACGATCTTACCTCCAATCAGCCGTGAGTGGGTCCAACCCGACCATGTCCACCTTCTCTCTCTCCCTCTTTCTCTCTCTCTCTCTCTCTCCCTGCCCCACTGTCCTTTTTTTGCTGCTTCGCCATTCCCCGCTCCCAATTTCACTGGATCCGCCATTCGGTCGTTCACTTTGAAGGTCCTTCTCACCTCACTGCCTTTCTCTGAATTTAGCTACATGACCGCTGCTTTGATCATCCCAAAGGAATTTTTCGACGAGGCCAGTATCGAGAGTCGCAACGTAGTTCCGCCCCCCGTCGTGCGCGATGACCATCTCTTTGCATTCCGCGAGCCGGTAAGCGCCCGCCCCTCCCAACTCTTTGTCTAAGCCTGCACGCCGAAATTGGTCCAGTCAGCCAAATGCTTGGTACCCAGGTGGAGAAGATGTCTCACTGGACTCGTCTGCCCGCTTTGAATATTCTTGCACTCTGTGTCGTCAAAATGTGGCGTGTCAATCCCAATGACAGGGCGCTTCAGCCAAGCATTCTTGGCGCAGATTACTGCAGTCGCCGTTGGGCTCCTTTCTGAGCGGCGTGCGTCAGCGCTATCCCTTTATTCAGCTTGCTGGGCATAAAGGAGACTTTATCTCCGGACAGGGTGGCATCATTTACAAGAAATCATCTGTACTCGAAAAGGCTGCCTTGGAATCCCTCATGAGCGACGTGCTCAAGCCGATGGTCCCGCTCTACTTCAAAGCCGTCCAAATTGAAGACAGTCAGGGCAGCAAGGCCGAGTACCTGGAAATGCAGGACCTGCTTGGCAATTTCACTGATCCCTCTGTCATGGATATCAAGCTGGTGGGTTTTGTTGCTCGTGGTGTGGCTCTGCGCTGCTGAATGGGGCCTCCCACCACTCTTGCTCGTCGCTTTGGCATTTCCTTTGTCAACTTGCTTGCGTCTCGAATTCTCATGTCTATGAAAAATCTCACCAACCGGTCCTTTCTGGGGGCACACAAACCTGCAGGGCGTACGCACGTTTTTGGAATCAGAGGTGATTAAGACAACGCGCCGACCCGATCTGCTGCAGAAGATGATGAAACTGGATCCCGATGAGCCAACGGAGGAGGAGAAGGAGCACGGCATTACCAAGCTCCGCTACATGATGTTCCGTGAACGCCTCAGCTCCACCAACACGCTTGGCCTTCGTGTGGAAGCCGTCAAGGTCAGATCTTTCCGCCGCTTCCTTGGACCCGTGCGCCATGGCCACCACCCAGAATTGATTCGCCTGCCGTGACGAGTGTTACGCTTGCCCCCCGTGTTGCCATTTCAAATTGTTCACAGAAGGCACATGAGCCCCCCCGAAACGATTTTCAACGGGTAAAACTACGCTCGGAAGTTTTTCGCGTGATCGAGTCATTTTTCCCTCCGCGCGACACGGAGCCCGAGTTACATGACCGCGTGAAGCGGCGGATCCTGGATCGGCTCGAAGCCATGCGTGATAAACTTCCCGTATCTTCCTTTTTCAAGGTAAATGTCTCAATGACAGTGCCCGCGCCAGAGCGCTGGATAGGAAGCAGAAGCCAGGGACTGGGGGGGCCGAGATTCGTCGGCTGTTCCGAGACTCACATGACACGCATGCATCATCTGTGGGTGCAGTGCCACGAGCTGATTGGAAGCTCACTGCTGTTCATCTACGACTCAACTGGCAAGGCCGGGGTCTGGATGATTGATTTTGGCAAGACGTCGCGCGTGGATAAGGAAATTCATCACGACTTGCCCTGGAAGCTAGGCAGTCAGGAGGACGGCTATCTCATTGGCCTCGATAACATCATCACGATGATTGGCGATTGCTAGGCTGCCAACTCGTGAAATGATTGTCCTTGGCCTGCTTTGAATCATTTGCGTGTTAGATAAGTGTCACACCTGGCGCGGTACTCCCTGGTCTGTTTGTGTTTGTATCACAGCCAAATGTCGTTTTGTTTGTGGCTGTTCCCTCTTTGGTTTTGCTCTGTGCGTGTCTTTTGCTTGTCGAATTTCATGGTGAAAGCTCCACAACTGGGTTTCCTGACTGTTCGGGGAGCCCCGGCGTCTCAGCAGTGACTCCATCATCCACCCAAGCCATCATCGACAGTGCAAGTCACCCCCGCCAATCTCCCATTCCCATGCCACAAAACCAATTGTTATGCGTGCTTGCACATGATGCACATGAAACACGAAATCTCTGTCTCTGTCTCTGTCTCTGTCTCTGTCTCTGTCTCTGTCTCTGTCTCTGTCTCTGTCTCTGTCTCTGTCTCTGTCTCTGTCTCTGTCTCACAAACTTTTCTCTCTTCTTTCATGTGCAATTTTGAAAAAACGACGACGACGCAACCAGAATCCGACTCAACTCAACTGCCTTGTCATTCGCGCCAAGTGAAGAAGAGTCGTTCCGCTCATCAGTGCGACCTGGTTTTGTATGCTGCACCGTGAGCATGGGTGCCTCTAGCTCGATCTTGGCCCCGTTGGTCGAGGAGCTCAAGGACTCGCAGGTCGGTGGGCTGCTCGTTGTTCACTGTGCTTCTTCTGCGTGTGTGCGTGCGTGCGCAGTCGCACACCACTGCCCGCTGACTTGTTATCATTATGGGCTAACGTCGTGACTGTGCGTTTTTGGCCTCGGTCGGCCAATGGCGATGTACCTCCTGAATCGGCCTTGGTGCCTTCAAACGGGATATTGCTCCAGGTCAAGGAGATGCAGGATGTAGAATTTTGGGACAAGTTTTGGCCGACCACGGAAATGCCCCTGGGCCAGGTTCGCATGCATGGGAACTGGCACTTGCGACGATAAGCACCCCTCGCGCAGCTCTGCACCTCTCGCAGCTCCGGGCAACACGACGACTGCGCTCATCACGCTGGGCTTTTCTAGATTTTCAAGGATGTCATGCCCGTCTACGTCCACCACATCAAAGATGCCAATCCCCGAAATTTGGCCACGCTCGTGCGCCGTGCCATCCTCCAGCTGCAAGCGCTCACACGCACGGGCCTCGCAACCACGGAAAGCCGCAACATGGCTCTCAACGTGATTCGCCTCTTGATGCGCTTGGTGCCCGTCATGATGGAGGACGACAGCTGGGATGGCTTTTGGCAAACGCCGACCCCCGTCGGTGTCGTCATCACCCTGGTCAGTGTGCCCTCCTTTGGTTGCAACCTCAGCGCCCACCGTTCCACACCACATGCTGGTGCAATCACGTAGCACCGCTTAACGCACTGCCCACTGCCTGCGTGATTCATGATTGCTCTAGCCGGAAAACTTTTTGGAGAAGCCAGCTTCGCCTGGTCACCCAGCGCAGCGCGTCAAAGAAGCAGAAGAGAAGCAACAAGCCGAGGTAGCGCGCCCTCTTCTCATAGCACACGTGGTGCAGAGTCTTCACCTCACGGCCGTGGCCTTTGATTTTCCCGCCAATCTCTGATCTGAACATGCTTTGTCTTGGCAGCTGGAGCGCGCCCGCGCCTTGCACGAGACGCCCAATGTGCCTTTGTACCAGACGTTGCTGGTCGCTATTCTCGTTCGTATCAACCCCGACTGATGCATCGCACTCGAGCTAGAGCCAAGTCTTTCATTCTCTTCCGCTTTCCATTTTCATTGGCCTAACAGCACAGCTTTCATGGTGTGTCTGACCAACACGTTTTGCTTCATGCACGATATATCAAACGCAGGACTTGCTGCTCGTGCCTGGCTTTACCAGCAATCGGAGCGTGGTACGTCGGCGCAGAGAGCAATGCATCACCACACCATGCTTCCCTCAACCTGCTCTCAATCCCTGCTTTGTTTTGTGCTTATGAGAGCAACGAAACACGCCCTCACTCGCAACGACACGCTTCGTGTGGTGTGTGGTCGCAGGGACGCATGATGCCCTTTGGTGATCGGCCCCCGCAACATGCCACACCCATCGCTGTCCTCGAGGGCGCTGACCTCATTTGGTATAGTGGCTGGGACTTGTTCACCGCTAGCCCCATGCTGTTCAAGCATGAAATGTCATAATCCTGTGTGCATCCGAGGCTCTGACGTGGTGTGTTCATAGGTATGCGGGTGTGGGCTCAAAGTCCAACGTCGCGCGCGACTCGGCGAGCTTTATCAGCAATCGCTGTGAACTCCTCTTCTTGCTACTGGCCTGCATGTCCAAGCCGCTCTACACCTTTGCCCGCGACCTGGTGCCCACCAACAACATTTGGATGGCCTTTGTTGCGGGTGCGAAAACGTGTCGTCATCTCTCCGTCTGCAGGATCCCCGAATGTATCGCAAGTCTCACCTGGCCCTGGGATAGGTGGCATGCACCGCAACACGTCGGTTCTGTTGACCTCCATGTTCAACTGCCTGCTTGCCTATGACCCCGTGGGCTACGGTCTACCCTACGGCCATGTCATGGTCCCAGATGATAATCGCGAGCAACTGAGTCAGGTCTGTAGAACAGGCCATGCATCTGGCTTTATCTTCAACACTGCGCCCGTGAAAGCCGCGTGCCGGCCAAGCAGTGCGGACAGCGTGTGAAAAGGGATCGATCCTCTCTCTTGGACTGGTCTTGTTGCGGTGGACCTTACTGACCATTATCGCTATTCCTTAGCTCTGTGGACAAGTCCTCTGCTTATTGCTCGACTACGCCCCACCCTCGCACAGCGTGCCTGAGCTAGAGGTTCGTCAGCCAAGCCCGTGCCGTGAGCGGCTGATCACAAGGCTGCGTCGGCTTTGCCTTGGCTTCCTTCATCTTATTTCTCTCGTCAATTCTGTTGCCTTTAATGCTGCGACAAACAGGCACCGGGCGCAACCGACGTGGAGCCTGTGTCCAGCAACGTGCTCGCGACCTTTTTGCAAAAGTTGAAGGGCGAGGACATTACTTTTGTGCTGGACAACTTGATCCGGCTGCTCAAGAACCCATTGGAGGCCGGTACCCTGCCAGCGTCCTACAAGCAGGTCAATCTTCATCACGGTACGTCAACCTTGGTCTTGTCAGGCTTTGCAATGGTACCACCGCGCCTCATTTGTTCATCAACGCGCAGAACTGATCGTCTTGACCTGGCGCATGAGTGAGCTCAATGCGGACTTTTTGAATGAAATGTTGACCAGTGGCAAGGTTCTCCAGCTTTTGGTGCCCATTTTATACCACATCAACAAGCTGCGCGCCGACCCTACGGCCACAGGCCTCCTGCATGTCGGCGTGTACTGGTGCCTGCTTCTTTCGAGTCAACGCAACTTTGCTGTACGCTTGAATAAGGTGAGTCGGTATGGAAAATTGCATGGTTGGAGCAGCGCATGCCCGTCTCACTTTTTTTTTTTTTAATTTTTTTTTTGTGAATCCCTCTTGACCATTGGCACAGCCTTATGAGCCAGTGGTGCAATTCGAAGATGCACCTTTCAGCAATGGTTCCCACGGTGATCTCTTGATCATGGTTCTCTACAATTTGCTGCTCAGTAAGACGCCCATGGTCCCTGAGCTGGCTGTGTGCGGCATTGTCTACCTCACGTCGATCGGTGACAAATTCGCAGGCCCCAACAAGAAACTGTCCCCCCTGTACGAGTGTCTGCTGACCATCATTGTCAACGGTTGGTCGCCATCTTTAGCTGGACGGTTGTTCTGATCAAGCAAAACTAGCCGTGCCACACCCCGTACATACATGAGGCACCCAGATGCTCATTCAGCACGGTCTTGCAATCGCCATTAGTCTCGCCCTATCTCAAAGCTCTGAATCTGGTGGCCGCCAACAAACTGGTCAACCTATTCCAGGTAGGGTGTAGTTGGTGTTTGCGCCAAGTGGATGCCGCGGTTGGGACCAAGAAACTGTTTTCATGGTGCTGGCCTCATTTTTTTTTTTTCTTTTTTCTTTTGGCGCTGTCTTACCTAGGTATTCACGTCATCCAAGTTTTTGTTTGCCAACGCAACGAACCACCGACTTTGCCACTATCTGCTTGAAGTGAGTGCTTTTCTTGCCTCCTACAGCAAGACAAATCCGCCGGTGTAGCGTACTTGTTTATGCAGCACCTGGCGCTGACACGCTCGTACTCGGGGTGTATCAACGCAGAGTTTCAACAATTTGATCCAGTACCAGTTTAGCGGAAACCACCATCTGGTTTATGTCATCATTCGCAAACGCGAGGTACGCGCTGCGCTCAAGCACTTTGTTCGAGTCGCGTGTTTAGTTGCGTGTGTTTTATCGGTTGTTCAACAAAACGGCTCTTATGACAGGACTATTGCGTGGTGTTCTTTGGTTGCTCATGGCTTTACTGGCGCGCACTCGTATAGGCCTTTTTCAAGCTGCGCATGTTGACGCTTTCCGAGTCCTCATCCCAGCAAAGTCCCCCATCCACCTCGCCCGAGGTGGCCAAGGCAAACGAGGTTACCGCAGCCGAAGAGGGCGCAGAAGCCAGCGAAACCACAGGAGCCACAGACTCCCAAGAGGCGACCGCTGCCGAGGCAGGAAGTCCTCCGACCACCGTGGTGGAAACCGCGCCCATCAACCCCGGGGCCGCAGCTGTAACGGAACAGGTCAAGAATGCCCCGGCGCCACCCGGGAGCGAGGCGGTCGTATATGCGGCGGACCGGCCCTCCGAAGAGGAAGCTCAATACCTGGATGCGCAGAGGATTGGACAGATCAAGACTACTCTGTCTCCTGATGTTCGTTACAAGCATTCACCGCGGCTTGACTCCTGCTTGCTCACTTGTGACCTGTACCAAGCGTCTGTGCAGTCACTTTGCAACATGCTGACCTTACGACTCTGCTTTTGACCCCTGGCGAACCAATGCACCCCCCCCACCCTCAACAGCAAGACATCCAGGAGCACTTTACTGTCGAGTCGGGCACAGGTCACGGCAAGCGCAAAAGCAAGGGCCCCGCGCCTGCCCCCGAGGTGGTGATTGAGCCAAGCTTTGTGGCCACCGAGGAATGGGTTAGTGCTTGACACATCCTGGCCCAGGATGAAGCACCTTTTCTCCTGCCACTCCCCCTACAATCTTGGTTCGGCTGGTGAAAAGCGTTGTGTTAACCATGCGTGTTATCGTGCAACAGATGAGTAGCTGGCGCACGCAGCTGCCCTTGGGGACAATCATTCGCCTGCTCAAGGTTCTAGTACCCCAAGTGGAGAAGCTGTGTCAGAAAAAGTCAGTCCTGTGCACCCCGATAAAGCGTCGCACCGAATGGGAGATTGGGGGCCCCGGCCAACGAACATATTGTGTCCAAGAAAGCAAGCCGCAATTTGTTGTCGACTTGATTTCTTGGACACGACTGTTGTCGACCACTTGTGTTTCGGGGTGCTGATGCTTCCGCGTTTCGTCGTTGATCTGGCGGGTTTAGGGGCGTAACGCACGAGGTGGAGATTATCGAGTTTTTGAAGGACGGCACGTTGGTGGGCCTCTTGCCAGTGCCGCCGCCGATCGTCTCGCGAAAGTACAAGAGTGCGTCTTTGCGGTCTGCCACGCGCACATGGTTTTTCGTTCACCGATATAGAGTTTTGTTCAGGTCACCATTCCACTCTTGTTGTTTTGTAGATTCAACACGCTGTACCGTTTGGTTCTACTCTTTTGTCTGGTCCTTCATCTTCCTCAAGTACGTGGACGTCTCATGTGCGCGCAAGATAACCGTACAGCGGTGACCACGGCCTGTTCTCACCCAAGTTTGCGCTTGGCCAATCCCATAGGAATCTGGACCCACCGCTCTTCTTCGAAACGGCTGTCAAACTGTTCACCGTTCGTGTTGAGAACTAGATTAGAGCGCTTTATGGAAGCGTTGTGCTTTGAGATGCTCGATCAACAGCAGTGGAAATTGAAAAAGTTCTTCCGACAATCACCTTCAAATCGCACCCCTCACAGGCAGCCGGTCGGCTGAGCCAGCGTTGGTAAGAGATGTAAAATACTTTTAGAGGGGTTTTATTGTCTGACAAGCCTGGAGTCTTCCTGGAGTCTCCCTTGTCTGCTGCTGTAGACGCTGCATCTTCTCCACGTTACAGGGTTACTCTCCTACACTTTTTCTGCATCTTCTTCAAATATTGCTGCATCTTCTTCGACATGCCCTTGATCTCGTGGTTTTCTTTCGTGTGATGATTGCAAGTTGACGGCGCTTTGCTTTTTTTTTCCATTTTGCTCCCCTCTCCCTTTGATTGTAAGTGTGTGCTTGGCAGTGGGAAACGGCAGTGCCGCGTCGCTCGGGCATCAGTCTCGTTTGCAAAAGCTGTTGGGGTCATAGTCTCGGCTCAAGTTTATCAAGTCTCACTTGTTTTTAATGCATTGTTTTTTCCTCAGTCTCCACTGCTTTCCCGCCGACTCTACCCCTCTCTCCAAAGTGAGTTCACAACACCAAATCCAGTGGCGGCCCAACTTTCCGACCATGACGTGTGGACAGCAGTGCCATGTCGAATATTCGCCTCCATGTGCCATGAAGTTGTGAACAAGGGGGAAACGGATATTTGCTTTGTTTTCTGGCCATCATACATGAGGGCACCGCGACCGCTGCCATTCGCTGCCAGCATCGACAAGTTTTCAAGTATTTCACAAGACTCTTTTGTCTTGACTTTTGTGCGCGTGCGGCGGTGGCTGTTTTAGAACCGTAATGGCTGACCCTAAGCGCGTCAAGATGATGCAGGACGACCTCAGCAAGCTTTGCGTCAACACCATTCGCGTGTTGGTACGTAGCAGAGAAATGTCTCCGTGCATCTTGACCAACATGCGAATGGGCTCCATCTCATTCATGACACTGCACGTGTCTTTTTTTTTTTTTTTTTTTTTTTTTTTTTTCTTTCTCCTCTGCGCAGGCGGCCGACACGGTCCAAAAGGCCAGCAGCGGCCACCCCGGTGCCCCTATGGGCTGCGCTCCGATGGCCCACGCTCTGTGGAGCGCGGTATGTGCCACACACTCATGTTGCCCCCTCTCATTCATCCAGTGGCTTGGCCAAGCCATGCCAAGCGGCCAACATGTACCATCAGTCGAACTCCATACTATGCCCTCACATTGTACGCACTGGGTTGAACGGGCTCCTGCGCACGAAAAAAACTTAAACAATAAAATAAATAATAGGTCATGAACTACAACCCTTCCAACCCGCGCTGGTTCAACCGCGACCGCTTTGTCCTTTCCAACGGCCACGCCTGTGCACTTCAATACTGGTAAGTGTCGAGTCGAGTTGAGCACCCGATTTTGAAGAGGCTCGTGACAAACTGCGCTGGAGCACTCCCTCACCATCAATGAACTTGGCTACACGTATTAGCATGCTCCACCTGACGGGCTATGACATGACGATGGATGACCTCAAGTCCTTCCGCCAGGTCGAGAGCCGCACGCCCGGCCACCCCGAGAACCACCTGACCGAGGGCATTGAGGTCTCTACCGGTCCTCTGGGACAGGGCCTCTCCAATGCCGTTGGCCTTGCCCTTGCTGAGAAGCACCTTGCCGCCACGTACGCGCATTGTTGGCCACCATCCTTACGACTCGTCATTCACCCATTGCCTCGATGGAATATCTCGTCCGCCCCTGCTCATCCTGTGCATGCATCATTCCTTGCGCTGGTTCCTCCCCCTGATGGGGCACAGGTTCAATCGACCCGGTTTCGACATGGTGGACCACCACACCTTTGTCATCTGCGGTGACGGCTGTCTTCAGGAAGGCGTGTCCGCCGAGGCCTCCTCGCTGGCCGGTCACCTTCGCCTGGGCAAGCTCATCGTGCTGTATGATGACAACCAGATCACCATTGATGGTGAGACCGAGCTGTCTTTTGGAGAGGACGTTCTCAAGCGCTACGAAGCCTACGGCTGGCACGTGTCAAGCGTCAGCAAGGGCGACAGCACCGATCCGGCCGAGCTGCTCAAGGCCATTGAGGATGCCAAGGCCGTCACAGACAAGCCCTCAATCATCAAGGTCCGCACTGTCATTGGCATTGGTTCCCAGAATCAGGGAACCGAGAAGGTCCATGGCTCTCCTTTGGGTGATGAGGACTTGGCCCAGGTCAAGAAGCTTTATGGCTTCGACCCGGAAGCTTCCTTCGTGGTGAGCGACGAGGTCTACGAGTTTTACAAGAAGCGCGCCGACCTCGGTCGTGAGGCCGCGGCCAACTGGGACAAGCTGCTGGCCGAGTACAGGAGCAAGTTTCCGGAGCTGGCTGCCGACTTTGAGCGCCGCATGAAGGGCGACCTGCCCGAGGGCTGGGAGAAGGAACTCCCCGCCTATACCTCCGAGTCCAAGGCCGAAGCCACCCGCAAGTACTCCATGTTCACGCTCGAGAAGCTGGTGCCCACCCTGCCCGAGCTGGTCGGTGGCTCTGCTGATTTGACCCCCAGCAACCTGACCAAGGTCAAGGGCAACGACCTCGACTTCAGCCACAAGCACCCCGAAGGCCGGTAAGCAGTACAGTCGATGATGCCTCCTCGCACACGGCAGAGCTTACTGTCTGTTGGTTTGTTTGTTTGTTTTTTTCTCCCACTCCCTTTTGTCCCTGTGACTCCTGTTTTGCTGGGTTCATCTGATGCACATGATATTCGGGTGCTGAACGCCGTTTGCACTGTAGTTACATTCGCTTTGGTGTGCGTGAGCATGCCATGGCCGCCGTGTGCAACGGCATGGCCGCGCATGGCGGCATCATCCCCTTTGGGGCTACCTTCTTGGTCTTTACCGGTTTGTATAAACCCTGAAATTACCCTCAACTGACTGGCCGTATCCAATGGGCCCAGCATGTGACTCGTCTGCTAGACTGACGCTTGTTGCCGCCCCGGGGCGCCTTGTACCTGTCTGTAGGCTATGCTTTTGGTGCGGTGCGCCTGTCAGCCCTGTCGCACTTCCGTGTGATCTACGTCATGACCCACGATTCGATTGGGTTGGGCGAGGATGGACCCACGCATCAGCCCGTGGAGACACTGGCCTCTGCCCGCGCCATTCCCAACTTGCTGGTCATCCGCCCTGCGGACGGCAACGAGACCTCGGGTGCCTACAAGGCAGCTCTGCTTCAGTCGTCGACGCCATCGATCCTCTCCCTCTCGCGCCAAGGCTGCGCCAACATTGCTGGCACCTCGATTGACGGTGTGCTCAAGGGTGCCTACGTGGTGCGCAACGCTGATCCCCCCAGCATCATTCTAACTGCCACGGGTTCGGAGCTGCAACTTGTCATGCAAGCCGTCGACGATTTGGAGGCTGATGGTACGTGTAGGTCATGGCGATTTGTGGCGGGTTGTGTGGCGGGGATCTTACACCTCTCTGTCTTGTTCATGCCACCAACAGGCCACAAGGTTCGCGTCGTGTCCTTCCCCTGCTGGGAACTCTTTGAGCAACAGTCTCAAGAGTACAAGGTCAGTCTGCTTTTGTTTCTTCAATTTGAGGCGGACGGACGGGCGTTGCTGTGTCGTCATGGGCTCACAATCAGCTCCCCTCTCGTGTCATCTTGCTTCGCGATGGCAACTCAGGAGTCCATCTTCCCCGATGGCGTACCTGTCCTGAGCGTTGAGGCAGGGGCTGCCACCGGATGGGAGCGCGTAAGTCACGCTTTTGCGGCGGCCTTGTGATTTCAAGCAGCAACAAAGTACTCGAGCGTTTTCCTGAACTTTTGATTCACCAAACCTGTAGTACTCGCACGGTCAAGTGTGCATGTCCTCCTTCGGACATTCTGGCCCAGGTGGCGAGGTCATGAAGTACTTTGGCTTCAACAAGCAAAACGTCGTGGAGAAGGCCAAGAAGGTGCGTGCCGGACGCCTGTAGACACGGGTCTTGCACCCGCGGAAACAACTGCCCTCTCTGCGCCGCAGCTTGTTTGACTGCTCACGTTGACTTTTTTTCTGTTTTTCTGGCTCTTCTATCTCCTGTTTCGAAATAGCTGGCCGAGTTTTATGCTGGCGGCAAGGCGCAGAGCCGTGTCATGAAGCCCTTTTAAATGCTAAAAGTTTTGCAACGACCTTCTGTTCTTCTTTTACTCGTCTACCTGGTTGTTATATTTTTTTTTACCTTTTGAAGCATGCGTTGCCTCGTCCACGGGTGACCATTCGCTTGCCACGCCCTCTTCTCCTGCCAATTGATGCCAATTTGTGCTCCTGCTGCTTCACATCTCGGATGACCAATCCGATTTTGAAACAACAAGAACAGGAAGACAAGGAGGGGGTCAAAAAACGTAGTTGAGACCTCCACAAAGCAATGATGTCTGCATGCATGCAACTCTGGGGCACATCACATCAAAATGTGAAGAGCTTGAAGCGAGATGATGATGCGTGGTGCAGTCGTACTCAACCAGCAAGTCAGTGTGAATCCGCTTACTCATGTGACTCGAGTCATGCATGCGTGAAGACCTTACTGAATTGGTAACGCAGAGCACAATAAATAGGGTTACTTACCCCACTGTTGAGGCGAGTGTTGATGTGTGGCGGGCACAAGGGCGGGTGCAGACCGCGCCCGCCACGTCTCTTACTAGCCACGCATTTTGACCGCAACTTGTCGAGTCAAAACCGTTGCAGCCTTGAACCGAACGACCGCAGAGGGGGAGCTTTTGTAACGGCGGACGCGCAGCGGGCGCAAACCAAGGCAGATTCATCCCCTCCTGCATCCAAAACCAACCCCGTTGGGGTGTGGTGGTCATCGGTGGTCGACGAAGCGGGCGCTGCCTGTGTCTATCCTCTGTCGACCGCCTGCCGTTATGGCGTCCAAAAACAGCGCTTCGACCTCGGGTGCACCAACTTCATCATCGGCCGCGGCAACCAGCACCAGTGGGGCCGGCAGCGACTTGCACCAAACCATCCAACTCCCGGGACTTTCCCTCCAGTACTCGGCCGCTCTCAAGGGCTGTAAGTGCTGCCGCACATCATGACCTGCCCGCGCGGATGCACTTCAGCTCCCTTCGCTGCCCCAATGTGCCGGTTATCGGCACACCTCTGACCGCTGATGCACTCTTTCCCCCGACCCCCTTGTTTCTTCGCTGCACTTTTGCTCTCTTGTGCGGTAGACGTACTGACCCAAAACAATGGTGTTCCGGCCACAAGCAGCGAGGAGGGCGCCGCGATCAACCCCGCCGATCTGGCTCAATTCTTGAGCTTTGGTGGGGCTGCAGCTCCCTCGATGCCACAGGCCTCCATGGCTTTGTCCAACGCTGGTCTCGGCAACTTGGGTGGCAATATGCTTCCAAGCCCTCTGATGGCAGCCGGGTCCTTTGGCGCCCACCTCGGAAATGCCCAGGCAGATCTGGCCTCGCAACAGCGCCACGCCTTTCGCATGTCGCAACATGGTCTCGGAAGCCTCGGCCAGGCCTCACCGCTCCTGCGCCCCATGAACGGCGGGCTCCAGCTTTTTGTCAACCCCGCCATGCCCGGCCAAAGCACGATGGATGCTCTCATGGACCAGGCCGGCGCCGGCGGCATGGGCATGAACGAAGCGCTCAAGCAGAGCCAAGATCGCGGCTCATCCCGGCGAGTTGAAGTTGAGGTGCGTCTCGACCCAGCAACAGTGCGGGCTGGGGCCTCACGGGCGCTTGATTCGCCTCATTGGCCCAAGCGCCTCATCTGAATCCGCCCCGAACCACGACATGCATGTGCAAATTTTGTGTACAGCCCTCATGACCTGAACCATGGTGTGGTTACATAGGCCAGCGGCGGAGAGGAAATGATGCCTCGCATCGCCTTCAAGGCAGCTGTCCAGCGTCTGCAGGGTGAAAAGAAGCTGGTAGCCGTGACTCTGACCTACTCGGAACAAAGCTGCTTTGCCTACAATCAAGGTGGCGTGACGCGAGCGCGAAGCGGCGGCAGCCGGACTAAATCGGCACCCAAATACGTCAAGATCCCTCAGGTCAGTGTTCCATCGCTCAAGCCCACTTTATCGTCTGGATGTACTCTGACCGCTCTGCTTCCTCGTGCTTGGATGGTTGGGCGCCTACCCCTGCTGCACTCTTCTGATTCCCCATGCTTCTCCGTGATAGATTCGCTGTGATCGCGTGCCTGCCTCAGTGGCAACTTTGCGTGTGGAACTAGTCGTGCTCAAGTACCTGGATCGCGCACAGACCAAGGGTCAACACCCCGAACCCGACCGTCAACCCGTGTTGTACGCCATCACACCCATGCAAACAACGCTCGAGAAGAGACGTTGGGTTTTGGGCCACGACGATCATCTGGGCGCATCCAAGTGTGCCTGGCGCTTTACCTTCCTAGACAGCCGCGAACAGATTGTTGACGTGTTCACCACCCCTGGCTTTCTTCTCAACTGCAACCGTACACAACAACGCTATACGGCTGCCATGCAGGCGGCCCAGCGCTACATCATGGAGCATCAGCCCCTACAGCAGGACTACTTTCTGCGTGAAGATGCCTCCCGCTTACTGTCACTTTACAAGAAGACGGAAGATGATACCTACTATATTTTTAACGATGCGCTGGTTGACCTCAAGCGCCGCATCTCTTTGGTCAAGCTGGAGGAACTCCTCTACGTGCTGCCACGCAAGCGTCCTGGCGCCAAGCGCCGCAAGCCCGTTAATTCAACCCCCGACGACGTGGCTCACCGCTCCCTCAACACCCTTCCCCTGCTGCCTGAAGGCACCACCCCCAAGCGATCTCGCGCCTCAGATCGTTCGCGCCATGGAGCCCAGGCCATGACACCGGAAGATGCATCGGCCGTCTCCCGCTTGCTGAACTTGCGCCAGGTTGAGGAGCGTGGACAACGGCCTGATCCACTCAAGCCGCTCAACCCCAATGCAGCTTCGAGCGCCAGTGGCACGACACTTGGCACCTCTCCGCTCAAACCGCCGGAAGCACGGCCCAACCCACTGCGCCCGGTGCGCCAGCGCTTGAACATGGATCCACACGGGATGGAGCACAACTCGCCTCTGGTCCCACCGCGCGCCTGGGAAGGCAATGCCGCGATGGGGACGGACAACCCAATGGGACGTCGGGAGCACATGCGCGATGCTGAAGTTGGCGAGCTGCTGCTCAATTTGCACAACAATGGAACGCCCACCCGCAAGCACCCAACCACCGGCTTTCCCGACCCAGAGCCCGCCCTGGGTGGTCCGCCGAGCAAAAGTCAGACGACACCGGAACATGACCATGAACGACCCATCACCTTACCCTCGGCCTCAACTACCGCGGCTACGTCCGCGTCTCGAAGTGAGCCGGCCGATGCTAAGGCCGGCTCTCGACCAGGGTCGGCCGATGCGACACCACCCTTGAAGCGAGGCCCCGTACCCCATAAAGCATGAACAGGAACCCCCCGGCCAATACAGTCTGGTATCCGTGTGTTCAATTCGAGTATGTAATCGTCCATCGCCGTGAGCACTTTTGCTTGCTGTGGCTTTTGGTTTGATCGTGATAACTGTTGTACTCTTCTGCTGTCCCTTGCCACGGGTATTTACTGCGCCCTGGGGAGTGATGGACGTCACAAGGGCATCGCTTCTTGGCAGTGGTCGTGTGTGACCAAAAGAAAATCCAACTGACTTTGAAGGTCACAACCCAACCCCACCATCTCTGCCTGCCTGTCTCTTAACCTCTCGTCAAATCTTGGGATCAAAGTGTGGTGCTTGCACAGGTAAGCCAGGCCCAAGAAAAGCGACGCGCGACACTATCATTTCAATTAGAGTCTCTTATTCATGGTTGGTATCATGAGGAGGGGGAAGGCAAGCATCAGTCTGAGGCAGTCAAGAGCCAGTGCTCCTGCTCTACAATGCCAAACTCTCGCAGCGTGGTTTGGGCCGTCGTCAGTTCGGCTGTCTCCGCAACGTGAGCAACCAGCTGCTCCAGCAACGAGCCTGGGTACATCTGCATTGGTTCACAAAATGGTCATGACATGTCACGCAGCAGCCATGATCACGACCACGTGCATCAAGGCTCAAGTGGGTACGTACAGTTGGGGTGGCACGGGCCGGCCATTGTAAGCGTCGTAACAGAGCAACGGCGGCGGTAATGGTTGCCACATAACTGGCGACAAAGTCGTTGGCTAGGCATGCATGAAAACCCCGCACGGCGGGCTGCAAGAGGAGGCGCCGCAGCGCCACGAGGTCGGCGTGGAGCTGTGCCAGGGTGTGAAGGGGCGCGACCTGACAGACAAAGTCATACCCACGTAACAAGCGCAAAAGGCCAATCGTGGGTTGCGTCAGGAGCGCAGCCAAGACGGAGCCCTGGGCTGGGCTTTGCGCATGGGGAGGCCAGAATGCAGGGGCTGCTAGTACCAGCACCGTTTTGAGCTCCACATTTGTCACGAGCAAATCAAAGCAGCACGCCGAGTGACTGTCCACAATCAGAATGAGGGGGTGGCGTAATGCAAAGTAGACATCACGAAACGTCAAGACGGCAGACATTGCTTCATGGGCCGCCTCGGGATCCGTAGCCGGGAGCGAAGGCGCAACTGAAAGGAGGACGCCGTCGGGTGCGAGCTCATCCTCGTCCTCGTCCTCGTCCTCACTACCTGACTCGTTGACCTGCATCTGATCTCCGAGGTCACGCTCGGCACCTGTCGGCGAAGCCGAATGGGCATGTGACACGGTCTCCGCGGGCTCCAGTGGAGCTGGTGGAGCAGCCAAGTAGATAAGGCAGGCGGCCTTGACGGGCATATTGGCCAGCGCACTGGCAAGCACGGCAAGGAGTAGGTTACTGGATGGCCGATACAAGAGATGCTTGGGCGCACCCTCCGCGTGCACACCACGGCGTTCAAGGCTGCCCGCCATGCGAAAGAGATCCAGGTTCACTTCGCTGAAGCGCCGCTGCCCCCGCACCGAGGATACGAGGAGGCAGATCCCCAGATCCAAGTGGGGCGGCAAGGATGGAGACCGAGGCGCTTCTGGAACGGGCGGCCACACACCTAGCTCGTCCAGTTCAGCGCACGGTCCCAATGCTGCCTACATTTGGGATGAGAGACTGCATGAGAGGAGCACAACGGAATACGCAGCGCAAGCCTTTGAGGGCCATCAGCAAAGCAGCATAAACAGCATAAACAGCAGCATAAACAGCATAAACAGCAGCAGCAGCAGCAGCAGCAGCAGCAGCAACAGCAGCAACAGCAGCATCGCTGGGGTGGGCATCCTCACCTGCAGAAAGGCGGCAGCCTCATCTGCTACCTGCTGGCCATTGGCAAAGGGCACCTCACGCATGTTCCGAATTAATGTCTCAAGAAAAGGTGTGGCAGAGCGGAGCAGGAGAGCGATGGCCAAGTAGCGAGCGAGGCAGCGGAAGCGTTTGGCATGCAACTCCCGAGCTCCTCGAGCACTGGCGCCTGGGTCCACGTCAAAGTAGCGCCGGGAGCGCACGGCCTCGAGAAACTCCTGAGCCTGTTTCAGGTAATACCGGTTGGCACTGCGCAAGTAGAAATGAAAGTAAATTTGCGCGATCCGCGATGCCATGTCCCCAATCTCGACCCGACCAAACTGTCGCCGCTCCATGAGGAGGGCTCGGTGGGCCCGCTGCAACTTCCAGAGGGCCGTGAAGCGATCAAAGGCGGCTGTGAAAAAACCACGCCAATAGCTTCCATACTGCGGCACCTGGTGCAAAACCTCAAACTGCACCCGACACTCGTCCGTCAAGCGATCATAGCGCTGCAACACCGCCTCGTCCCCAGCCGCTGGCCCGCCGCCCTCATCCCCGGTCTCCATCTCCGAAGCCTCCGGCGCAGAAAACGTCTGACATTGTTGAAAGCAGTCGCCGCACAGGTGTTTTCTGACATCCGGGTATGCTTTGTCTGACAACAATCTGACTTGGGTAACCAAATGTCATTGGGTTCGGGGTGTGTTGTGCCAACGTTGACATGTGCTGGTGGCTCATGCTGGTTACAACAGTAGTTGTGATCGTTGTTGTGGCGATGTGTGAGTATTTGCCTTTTTTTTCATTTTTTTCATCTCTTTTCCCTTTTTTTTTTTTTTTTTTTCTCTTCGGGTGAGTGGGGACACGGGTGGCGGCCGCCGGGACCACGGGGCCTGCTGGCAGTAGCTGGTTCATCAAATGCTAGTTGGCAGGAGGCAGAGTGCTGTTGAGCGTTTGGGTGCAGAAGATTGGGGGTTATGGTTGTGTGTTGTTGATGGTGTGGTAGCGGCTCATCGGGGAGACATGTGACTCCTTGAAAGCCGCTTCCCATGCCAAAGTGGCCGTGGTGCCCCCCTTTTCGAATGGCCGGCCATACTCGCTTTGGTCCCCGGTCGGCTTGGCGCGATCTTTTGAATCGCAGTTTTTATGGCAGCCGTTGGCTCATCTTGCTTCTTATTGCCTGGACATGACCGGCTCTATCGATAGAGTCTACCGACACAATGGCAACTTTCTGGCATGACGCTTCGCTGTTTAGCTCCAGCCGCATCAAAGAGGAGCTGGACAAGTTCAATGTCAAGGTATGCTTCTTTCACTGATCGGAACTGCCCCTCTGTCTTGCCTTGTTTCCAAAGGGGGTGCCGTTGCTTGCTTGATCTTACCCTGATCTGGCTTTCTTCCCTTCTTGTTGTATGGCTTGCTACCCCTCTTGCCCTCTGCTGTGTGCAGTACAACGCTTCGCACATGAAGGCGGTACGACAGCCTGCTACCAACGCCCCCACAGAGCAGTGGGCACGCGAAGCCTGCTCCTTGAATTCTTTGCACTCACGATAAACAACACGTTGCGGTTACTTTGTTGAACATGCAGGACCTTGTGGACCTTTACAACACCCAGGTCAAGCCCCTGCAGAACAACCAGGAGGCCCTCAAGGCCGTCCTCGGCAACGGTACGCCAAAGGCGCGCCGCGGACGCCCCACCAAGGCTGCTGCTGCTGCCGCTGCCGCCCCGGTACGTTGTACAAAACCCTTCATTTGTGTGGATCATATCAACCAAGGTCGCTCTCGCTCACCACCTGCTGGACCTCCCGTGGACAGAAGACCAACTTTGTCTCGGATATGAGCAACGCTGATCTGCGCTCAGCCCTGCTGGCCCTTGGCGAGGATATTCCCACCGCAGGCGCTGCTCGCAAGCATGCCGAGAACCGCTACGTGGCTCTGCTTGAACAGGCCAACCAGCTTGATGAGTCACAGGATGCGGCAGCCCCGGCTGCCCTGCCCAAGCGCGCCACTCGCAGCAGCCGCCGCAATACCACCTCGGCCTTCAAGTCGAAGAACTCGCCCTCGCCAGCTCCCGCTGCGGCCCCCGCTAACGAGGCCCTGTTCTCTGAGGATGACATGGACACGGATGTGTACGAAGTCGAGACGACTGTTGTGACCCGCAAGGTTCAGCGTCGCCGCAATGCCCAGCAAACAGCCTCAGACGAGGCCATCGAATCAGAGGTTGTTGCCGTGCCCGCCACTCCTGTCGAGGCGGATGAGTCCCACAGCTCTACCACCATCCTCTCCCAGGCCTTCTGCCTACTCGCCTTCCTGGTCCTCATTGCCGTCATCTTTGCGGCCCTGACCGATGGCTATGGCGAAAACTTTGTCAAGAGCATCGACAATGCCCGCAGCACCAAGTATCTCATTGGCTTTCACGAGTCGGAGAACTAAGATGTCACATTTAGCCCCTCCATAAGCCAGTTCTGATAGCGGAGTGCACATGATGCGAGCTCGGGGAATGAGTGGGCTATGACGCACCTCGTTGGACGTTAAGCCCGCACATCCTGTCTTTTTGGTTGTTTTTGTTTTTCTCTCCTCCCCTTTTCTTCTTCTTTTCCTTTTTATTTTTTGTCTTCTTCTTCTTGGCAAACTGCGGCGTCTTAGTATGCCATGTGTCTTGTCAGTGTTTGGGGGTGTGCGGTCTTGCCTTGAAAGCGGCGAAGAGTGAGCCATAGGTCTCTTTCTGAGAGAGTGCGTTGTGAATGTGTGTAGAGTGCAATGTAGTGTAAAATTCTTTTTGGGTGCCCGTGGCTCCTCGGCTCGCCCGTCAAGTCTAGTCTGCTTTGGTTTGGTGATGGCTTTTGGGGTTGATTCCTTAGCGCCAACCATAGATGAAATTGACGTTTACTAAAAAAAAAGAGTCATTTCGATTGCACCCTTGATTTATTTGAGATGCCATTGTCATTCATTATCCTGTTCTCCAAATCATGCATCGCCCTTGAACAATTCGTTGTAAATCTCAATCTGTTCTGCATCAAACTCGGCCTGGAGGGTGGGACATTAAAAACAACAGCTTGATGAGCGAGAAGCATTTCCAGCCAGAAGTGAGAGAGGGAGGTCGTCACGAACCACCATCTCATCAGTCACGTCATCAATGTCAACTTCTTGACCATCAATCATCATCGTACGCTTCTCCTCGTAAACGGCATCCTCAAACTCATCGTCTTCATCGTCATCCTCGCCCTCAAAATCACTCTCATCCCCGTCGAGCTCATCACTGGGATTGTGCTGCTCCTCTTGCGCCTAAACAAGACATGGTGCATGCCAGCAGAAGGTCATTATCTGCACGCACGAGACACATCGGCCTACATTCTTTAAACAAGGCCTGACAAACCTGCAGGCGCGCGAGCATGGCTGAGACCCCCGCGCTTTGATTTGTCGACGCTGCTCCCGCCTTGTCGCTCGAGTCGTTCTGCAGTTTGGCTCGCTGCATAACCACCCACAAACATCGACGAGAACGAAAATCAGGTACAAACCCGGAACGAGTGAGCAACGAAATCGGATTGAGGTGACTTGGCAACCTGCAGAGAACGCGCGTTGCTGCGATTGGGTATGGACGACCAGCGCACAGACACACCTTGCTCATCTCTGCAGAAGCCTCCTCCTCCGTCAAAAGAACCGTGTTCTGTTGCAGATGCAAGGGTTGGGCTTTACGCTACAGTTGCAGCAACCAAGGCACACGCAAGGCAAAGGCCGATTAGATGCGAGAACAGGGCGAGCAAAGACATGATTCATTATGCATGACAAGGCGTGACAACGCAGCCAGTCGACGTTATAGCACACCTGCTCCCGGGCCTCAGTATCGTTGACAAACGAGACCACACTCTTATCCTCGTTGTACTCTTGATTGGGCCGCTTCCGCTGGCTCCTATACGAACAGCCAAACACACCGGATCATGAGCGCACAGGCTTGAAAAAAAAAACAAAAAAAAAAAAAAAAAAAAAAAAAACAGTGGTCTGCATGCACAGGCGGAACGTACACATGACGCTCAGCACGAATGCGTGTGGACCGAGCTTTGTGCATGTGCTGATGCCGCTCCTCAAGCGGGTTCTAGAACCGTCAGACACGAGATTATCCTTTCGCTGCACATGACAAGGGGCGACGAAAAAGGGCTACCACATCCGATACATTCTAGCCCGCCTCAACATACCCGAAACACTTTGGGATAGGTCAGCTTCTCCGACACCATCTTGGTATCGGCGTATTGCAGTAGCTTCTGAAATTCCACTGTCTGCTCACTAAGCCTGTGTTTGGGATGGAATTGCCGCGCGGCGGGTTGTTGAGCAGGCGTGAGATTGAGGAGTGCAGGCTCCGCTCACAAAATGGGTCTGGTTGACTCGTGGTATGCACTGCAACACAGACCGGCTCATGAGCTGATTGACGCGGTCGGCCTTGCTCTGATCTGCACGATCTTCCAACTCAAGTCGACATTGGGGACACCTAAACCCAAATGTTGCTGCGACGTGATTAAGGGCGTAGAGGGTCGGCGAGGGTCGATTCAAATACGACGCACACAAATTTGTCGACAACCAGGATTTCGGCATAGTCCATGTCCGTGTACGAGCGACTGCACTTTGGACAAACGTAGTTGCTTTGAAACCGCGCCTAGTCGCCCGCGCAGGTCGAGTCGTGAGTGAAACGCATCGACAGCCCGCAGTACGCAGCCGTACACCGCGTGCCCTTTAACACCAGTGGCGTGAGAAAAAAAAAACGACACCACGGCTTGCTCACCTGCTTGGCTTCTTCGTCCAGCATGTGGCGGAGGCGGAGAAGCTTGTACTTGAGGGCATTGATAAGAGGTGGGTAATTGATGAACCAGTAGGTGGCCTTGCGTGAGCGCGCGTCCAGTGGCGCAAAGGGATCTGTCATTGCATGCTCCTGCAGCATGTGGTCCTGGCGGAGCTTGGAGAGGGGCCCTTTGATGGTGCTCCGCTCCAACTGAGTGAGCTCCTCAAGGACGGCATCCTTGACGCAGCCTCCCTGGGCGATGATCAGGTCCAGCAACACGACGCAGGTGGGTTCGTTCCCATAAAAAGCGCGCACGGCCTTTCGCGCCAGCTCCTGAAACTCTGGGGGAATGATAAACACTGCCACGTCGTACAAGCACAACCGGCATGAGAACCGGCCGGCACCCTGCCGCCAGCTTGGAACAAGCTGCTGCCAAAGCCCAGTGCGCGTGACACGTACAAATTTCCTGGTCCTCGTCCATGATGTTGATGAAGCTGCGCACCCTCGCCCTCCCTCGCTCTGTCTCTGCCCTCTGCCTCCGCCTCTACCCCTGGCGCTCAAAAAGTAGCCTCTCTCCTTCCCCGTGGGGTCACACCCATCAGCGAAGCACGGCACCGGCACACAGCTGTTCCCTCTTCGCTGCACCCCGGACCGACAGTGTGATTCAGGGAAATGCGCCAGACAGAGACAGTGACAGAGGCAGAGATGGAGAGGTCGTGGGGAGAGAGCGGCAGAGAGAGTTGGCGGATGATACAAATACTCCTTTGGTGAACAAAGCAAAAGGCAGAGATATTATCGGCGATCTGCATTGACCCAGAGAGACAGGGGATGGAGAAAATTTACGATCTCATGTGGTAATTTTTGACTCGAGAGTCTCTCCTGCATGACTCGGAAGTGGCGGCGGGTGAGTGACGGAGCTGCTGCCGTGGCGACGAGAACGTAACGGGAGGCAAGAGGTGGTGGGAGAGGAAGTGCCGCCGGTGCTTGGACGCACGCGACGGTGGTTCGTAGATACCGTCAGCATGGCCGAATTGCAAACGCTGCTGGACATGGGGTTCCCTCAGAACCGAGCCGAAAAGGCGCTGGCCAAGACGGGGCATCGGGGCGCCCAAGTGGCCATGGACTGGATTTTTGCGCATCAAGGTGGGTTTGTCGTTGACATTGGCCAATGGAGATGAGGAACCCCCTTGAGGCGTGGCGCTCATCGCTCTTGACCGGTGTTGCGCACCTCTTGGGGATGGAGAACAGACGACGCGGATATCGACGAGCCCATGGCGGAACCAGCTGGACAGACACTGGGCGGGAGCGCTAGCGCCACTGATGGCACTACCCCAGGTGTCAGCGAAACAACAGCGCCTCTGCCAACAGGTCGGCCTGTTCTGCGCATGCAGGGACCAAGGCCCGGCCGGCATTACAGTTGGCATGTGGTCACAGGGCTCCAGGGGGCGGCAGGCGCAACTCACGCGCCAATGACTGCACCACTACACTAGAGCCCAAACGACCTCTGACTGATGCTGAGCGGGAAGAACGAGCCGAAGCGTGCGTTGCCTTCTGTGCTGTGTCATGCCGTTGCCTCTTTCTAGTCTCTTGCACGGCCCCCTTTGCCTTGCTCCGCCTCAGCTCATGACCGTGCTGCCCCTGTAGGCTGAGGGCCAAAGTGGCAGCTCGGCGCGCCGAGCGCGAGGCCGCTGAGAAAAAGCAAAAGATTGCAGATGAAATTGCGCGGCGAGAGCAAGGCAAAGTAGGAAATGCTTTTCTCATGAGCACTGCCTACACCCGAGTTCCGTGTCAGCCTCACACCATCCAAACGCTTCGTGTGCGTCCAGGAGCTTGGCTCGGCGCGCGAGGACTTTGAGCGTCAGGAGATGCTGCGCATCGCTGAGGCTCGGAAACGGGAAAAGGCCGAGGATGCCAGACGCAAACGACAAATTCTTGAGGAGGTCAGAGTGCTTAAACATGGAAAGCCTTGCGCTGCCAAGCCCATGCTAAGGGAAGCTTGGATGACATGATAGATTGCTCGAGATCGGGAGGCACGCAAAGCTGAAGCCGCGGCGGCCAAGGCTGCAACGACCAAATCTTCACCCGCCGCCGCGAATCCTGCACCTGGCGTCAACATGCAAAAAACCCGCAACGAGGCCAAGATCCAGGTTTGACTGGAAGCCATCAAAAGCGTTGCCAACGACGCACTCATCACGGCTGCACCACTGACCGTGTGTGCATGGTGTGTGCTGCCTTCTGGCTTCTTGTAGGTGCGCGTGCCGGGCGGCAATGCAATCACGCTGAGGCTGCAGGGTGAAGACAAAGTACAGGACCTCTTGACGGCCGTTCATGCAGCTACAGGCCGCGCCATGGAGCACATTGAGCTAGTGATGAATTACCCGCGCCGCGACTTTTCGAGCGCCGATGCGCAGCTGACTATTCGCGAGGCAGGCCTCATCCCCAGTGCCGCTCTCACCCTCAAGTAGATTCAGAGCACTGGCCACCTTTGCCTGCAAATTGATCGACGCACACACATTGGGTCATGTTTCACATATCAATTTCTGTCGAGGTTTCTTTTTTCTTCTTCTTTTCTCTAAGCCTGGAGCACCACTGTGGGCCCGGGCTCTGGTCATACATTATGGATCCGGAGATAAAATAGGAAAATCGAGGGGCATGTAGTGGCATGCAGTTACAACCTAAGATCCCACCCATTCGGCCAAGACGGGATCGTAGGAGGGCTTGATCAAGGATTGGTGCTGTCGGCGACCAAGCCATTGATGGGCTGCGACAAGTTGATTCATTTCTTGAAGCGCCCCGATCAGATCGCACTCGGGTGGCACCCGAAAGACGGGCCAGGTGTCTAGCGGCAGGAAGAAATGGCCGTTGTTGGGCAATCCAACCTGGCTCGCGTCGAGGCCGGCATGTCGCAGGATGTATGCGCGCGCGGCCTTCATGCTGCTATGCAGGGGCACCTCACTGCTTCGAGCAACGCGTAGCCCTAGGCTGACATGCTGGCCACGGTCCATGCCGCATTGCATGTTGACAAAGCTCACGTTGGTGGGGGTCCAAGGATATGCATCGAGTGCCCGTAAGAGTCGGGGCATTTGCGATGTTGACACACCACAAAACTGCAAGACGGGGAGGGGCAGGCGTGCTCGTAGACTGAGGGGCTGTGCCGGGTTATTGATGCTGCTGGACACGGATGGGCAATTGTGGGTTGTCAGAAGGGCTGAGGCGGCGCGCACGCTTTTGCCGAGAACATAAGGCCACTCGGTGCCATACTCCAGCGTGAAGTTCAAATGGGTGGTGTTTGAGCCGGACGGACAGGCCATGGGCTCGTAAAAAACATGCTGGCACTTTGGTGGCAGGCTGTTTTGCAAATTGTCGGGTAGTGCCAAGTGTGCCGCTTCATCTTGCTCGTTTTCAGCCAGCAAAGCGTCAATGTCCACGCGGGGGTGCTGGGTAGCGGCCGAGTTCCAGCTTTTGAGGCGCGTGTAAATGGCATTGGACTGGCGGCGAAAATACTCGGCCGTCTCGCTCGTCTCGCCTGTCGTAAATGCCGAGGGCTCGATGAAGGCGGCGCCCAAAAGAATGGCCGCGCAAAGGATGCTCACCAGCACGGTCGGCAGGTTGGCGCGCCGTCGGCTCGTCTCGAGACTTGCGCCCATCACGGCCAACGATGCAGAACAATGCAATGCCCAGCGCGCGCTCGAACCGGAAGAGTGTCAATGCACCGCAGGCCTTTTGCCAAGTTGGACGCGACGAACCAGGTCGACCTGAGATCCACCCAGCAACAACAACTGGGGAGCCACGCCGAGCGAGCGCCGTCTTTCACACCCGAGTCGAGCAACGCCGATCCCGAAAGTCAAGTGTGCTCCAGCCTGTAATGAAGAAGAAAGAGATCCGACAAATGCACGAGAGACGGCGCGCTCGGCCAGGCCGTTTCACCGCCCGCGATGGTCAATCAATCCTGCGTGCGCGCCAGCTCAATAATATTTTACGCCAGCACAGTCAGTACTCGTCAAAACTCAAAAATCAGAGAACGACCGCAAACCTGACTTAAGAGTCAGAGATAGCGCGTAGTCAGACGTATAAAGACATGCGTAATCCATAGGTAATCAGAGACGGGGAGGCAGACACTGACACATCAGAGATAGGAATATTATGTAAAAGAGAAAAGACAAGAGCAGCAAGAAACAAAAGCAAGAAGCAGACAATATTGAAGGAGGTTCATGTACCTCTCTAATCTTGATAAGCTGCTTTGTTTGGGTTTTTTCATGTTTTACTCTCTCTCTCTCATCTCCGAGAGCAGCAGCGTGCTGGTGCGAAGAGGCTGCTGGCAGGGGACTGGTGGGTATGGCAGGGACCGGTTGGCGTCGTCTCGGGGGCTTTGTGTGGCTGGTCGGCGCGTTGTGCGTGAGCCGGGGGCTGTCTGGTGATGCACAGGCGCTCAATCTGATATTTCTCCTGACGGACGACCAGGACGTTGTGCTAGGCGGGCTGACGCCACAGACCAAGATCAATCGGCTTCTCACGCAGCAGGGGGCACTCTTTGTCAATGCTTTTGTTCACACACCCGTGTGCTGCCCCTCGCGTTCATCCTTCCTCTCGGGTCGCCATATTCGCAACGGTGGGGCCATCAACAACAGCGTCTCAGGCAACTGTGCCGGTCCAGAGTGGGTCAATGTCGTGCAGCATCGCACCTTTGCCACCCATCTTCACGACGCTGGTTACTATACCAGCTATGCTGGCAAGTACCTCAACGACTACGCGCTCCCAGGCTCCCCCAATTGCACTCACGAAACTCCCGAAGCCTGTGCAGCGATCCCCCCGGGCTGGGACCGCTGGCTTGGCCTGTTTGGCAACAGCAAATACTACAACTACACAGTCTCCGACGATGGTGTTCCTGTCGACCATGGAGACGACTACACCAATGACTATTTCCCTGATCTCGTAGCCAATCGCACGATCGGCTTCATCTATGAGGCCGCCCGCGTCGCCCCAGACCGCCCCATCCTCGCAGTCAACGCTTGGCCCACGCCTCACGGTCTGCACCAGCGCCTCTGCTTTGTACCCTCGCCGCCTACCCCCCACCACAGGCAACCTAACCACGTGCCAAACCCTCGAGCGAGCTGACACAAGTTGCCCACACCACTGCTCTACACAGGCCCTCATCCCCCAGCTCCTTGGGCTGCCGGTCGCTACGCTGGCTACCAGGCACCACGCACACCCAGCTACAACGCATCCTCAGAATACATGGCCACCAAAAACTACTTTATGCGCCAGCTCGACATGATCTGGCCTGAGGACGCTCAGAGTATCGACGTCAACTACCAGCAGCGCTGGGAAACGCTGCTCTCCGTGGACAACCATGTTGAGTCTATCGTTCAGGCTCTGGCCGACACTGGCCGCCTCAACAACACATTCATCATCTACGCCTCAGATCACGGTACGAATGATCATGCATCTCGATTGACTCCCAACCTGCGCATTTCGTACCCTGAACCACGCCTGCACGCAAAGGCTTCCAGCTGGGGCAACATCGCTTGCTCGGCGACAAACGCCATCAGTACGAGAATGACATACGCATTCCGTTTATTGTGCGAGGGCCAGGTTGGTAGCACTCACATATTTGGCTCTTGGTGGCTTTCACCGTATCTCTGCTTTTGGGGGCGGGGCCAATTTTTTGCTGTTGTCCTGCATTGACTTGACGCTTTGACCGCTTCCAAAGTGTTCACCACGCGCCCACTTGGTTGATTCTGTTCATCAGGCGTGCCGCCCAATTCAACTGAAACGCGCACCGTTTTGAACATTGACATTGCTCCTACGCTGACGGAGCTTGGGACGGGCGCTGTGCCAGATGATATGGACGGTCGCTCCTTTGCCAGCTTCTTCTCTGGTAGGATCGATCGACGCTCGCTCATTTTTTTTTATTTTTTTATTTTTTTATTTTTCCTGCTTTCTGCCCCGTCAATTTGCGCGTCGTCCACTGCCAGCTGGCTTTTTAAGGCAAAGCTGGCCCGAGACCTGTGACGAACGGCAAGAATCTTGAACCGCTGATGGAGCCCCTGATCGATGATGCTAGAGTCACCGCCCTCATCTTGGCGTCAAGACTTTATGATTGAATATCATGGCGAGGCTGGCCCGTGCGGCTATTATACCTGTCCTCCTGCGGCGCATCCACACATGCATGAGATTGATGGCGTGAACAACACGTACACTTGCGTTCGCACGCTCAATGGTAAGCTTTGTTTGCATGTGGCTTCCCAAACTGGTCGTCACCCCCTTGGAGTGGGGCTCACTCACGTTTACGTAACTGCCGTCGTTGAACCAGAAACGGAAAATTCCCTCTACTGCGAGTTTGTCGACGCGGAGCAGTACAAGGAGTACTATAACATTGCGCTGGATTATTGGCAATTAAACAATACCTTTGCCAGCCTACCCGATAGCAAGCGCGAGGCGCTGGCGACCCGGCTGCAGCAGTTTCGCGAGTGCACTGGCGCGACATGCCGCAACCTATGAGTTGCTTGCGGGTCTAAGCGAACTCGTCCTGGCCCAACGTGCCAAACTTGTTGAATGATCGCCCGGCATTGTCATTTTTTGGATCAATTTACGCCATATGTTGTGTATGGTGATGTACTCTTTAGACTGTTGTTTCATGATTGTGGTTTTTGTTCTCGGGACCACTGGCGGTCTGGAGGGAATGAGACGCATCAAATGCGTGCGTCCAGTTTGCGGCACATCCTTTCTTGGCACCAATATGTTCTCTGGAGTGTCCGCGTGTGTATGTGTGGCGGGGACAATAAAGGCAAGGCCTGCGTTTACGAAGAGGCCATCTCCTGTCGCTGACGCAAAAGCTCTTCGACGTTGGCTTTGCTCTGGGCGAGGGACTCCTCCATCCACTTGCGCTTGTTCTGATGTTTACCAATGCGCAAAGTGCGCAGAATGAGCACACACACGTGCACACACATGTACACACCAACCGCAACACGAAGGTGATCCCAAGGATACCGGCCAAAGCAGGGCACAAACCTGGAGCGATGCCACCTCCTTCTCGCACTCGGCCACCTTGTTGTCCAGGCCAGACACCACTGTCGAACGAGTCTCAAGCACAAAGCTAGAAGAAAACAGCACAAAGACAAATGAATTGGCATGGGCGACACAAATGTTTATCTACTCGAACGAGTGGCCAATTTCTGATGACGGATCGTACCACTTGCCAACCGCCCGAAACAGTCGCGTATCCTCGGGAACCTGGTTCACCTCCTGTGCAAAAGCATGAAATGCCGGCAGAGCGCAAGGTGCAATCAAAAAAGAAGTCGCGTGTTGTGAGAATCTGGATGCACGAGGCTGAACATTGTGAGGTAGGAGCAAGAAGATGCACCACCCGTACCGCAAGCGTAAGCTCAGCCCGGCGCTTGTCGCCCGAGTACTTTTGAATTTGTTGCTCGGTGAGCTGCACCTTTACCGCCGTCTCTTGGCTCTGGCGCTGAACCTCTTCAAATGCCTATGACACCAAGGAAATGAGCCGTGCAGGTGCCTGCAAAAGAGGACACCCCGTGCGGTCGGGTCACAACGACGCGCGAGATGAACCCACCTTGCGAATTTCGGGATCCATGGTGTCGTCTAAAAACGAGCCGGCTTCTCTACCAATGATCAAGCGTCCGTCAACAAAGCATGAGACCAAACGGCATGCGCCATCAGCCAGTATCGCCCCCCATGAGAAGCCACCCAGCCTCAAACCCCATCCACCCAACAGGCCTTGCCCAGGCACAGACAGACAGACAGACAGACAGCCATCAACCAATTCCCGCCACTAGCACCAGTCACCAAAGTCGGCCAACTTTACCAAATCCCGTCTGTTTAAAAAAAAACGAAAAATGAGAGAGAGAGAGAGAGAGAGAGAGAGAGAGAGAGAGAGAGAGAGAGAGAGAGAGAGAGAAGCGGCACACAAAATCACACATCATGGTCACCAAGGGCTAGCCCCTATATTTAGCGCAAGAGATGTTATGCTCACTTCTTTCGTCGAAACGTGCTTAACCCTATTTCCCTAACCCCAAAGTTATTTTCCTCCGGCAGCGCCTCCGCGTTCGTTCCTGCTCCTGTTCCTGGCTGAGATCCACGGCTGTAAGTTTGGGTCATGCTTGCTGTCACATCATGACCGGCTACACAATAATTTTGATACGCCCAAGAAGCTTCCGGCCACACTTCTAAGCCTCTATCTATCATGTACATGTACAGATCAGATCAGATCGAAAAATTTTTTTAAAAAATTTTTTTTTTTTGAATCTGATCCGACAAAATTTGAAATTTAAAAAAGAAAAGTTTCAACGCTGGACGAGGTGCTGGAGCTCGAGGCGCGACCAGGGGGGAGAAGACGATGCGCTGTAGCTGTAGGTTCGGGGTGAATAGCGTCGGGGTTTGGCTGGCCGTGCTTTCATGATGCTGCGATTTGAGCGGGCCGCGGTGCCGCTGCGGGCGTTGCTCTACATTGCCCGATTCAAGCTCTTGCTGGTGCTTGTGCTGCGACTGGTGAGCAGGCTTCGTCTGGTGCTCCTTGTTCGGAGCTGGCGCCACCCTCGGTGTGGCATCGGTGACAGCGGCCTCATGAGAGTGGGTGCTTTTGGCAGGAGGAACACGTTGAAGCCAGTGTCGATGCTAATCTGGTGTCTCCTGACAAGGCTGTCAGCGATTATCGCACCGAGTACGCGCTTTTCCCCAACCCCTCGTTCGCCCCGCACACCCAGCTCGATCCTGCAAACTGCCAACAACAGCCCGCTCATACCCTTTCATCGTACGTGACAGATTTAAGAGTGTATTGGCGTTGGGGTTCTGCTCATTGGGCATCGAGGCCTTGGGCTTCTTCTCGGGTCGGACCATGTTCAACGGCTGGGCTACTTTGATAGGCCCGTCACACTCGACCGATCGACTGAAGCAGCCGCGCTCAAATGCTTACACCATGCGCACACGCTACCTCATGGCTGCTCCTGTTTGCCTGCAGGCGTTCTCTTTCACCTAGCTGCCTGCCCAGCACTCAGCTACTTTGTGGCTGTCGTCCGCCCGAGCTGGCTGTACTGGTATTTTACCGGCTTTGTAGAGTGAGTTTCACAAAAGCTGCGGCACCCTGTTTGGCCTTATCATCGTGGCGCTCAACTGGACCTCTCGGTTCCACGTGCCCCTATAGCCTACCGCTTCTGACTCTCTCCCTCTGGTGGATCCTGGCCGCATTTCGACACTAACTATAGCGGCCCATCATCGAGGCGCTGACAATCGCTCTTCTCGGGCTGCTGAGCAGCCATTCCAATACATGCGGAGACGCTCGCGCTGCTTCTTCCCCCAAGTCGACTGCCTTGCGGTGCTGCTGCTGAGAAGGTTGGAATAGATCAAGAGTCGATCATAGAAAATTATTTTCCATCAGCCATGAGCTAATTTTCAACAACAAGAAGAGGGAAGCAAACATAAATTTCCGCGCCACATTGTAACTCTTCACTCTTGATGCATGCTTTCAACATGGCCTGCTGTGACAACTAATGTTGCTGTTGCCGCTGTTGCTGTTGATGGCGCTTCATGGCTTCCATCATCATGAGCATTTGGGGTGTCAGTTGAGCTTGTTGGGCCGGCTGAGCTTGCTGGGCTTGAGGGGCACCATATTGCGTTGCTGCTTGCGGGTTCATGCGAGCAAGCTGCGCCAACTGGGCTTGATACTGTTGGGCTACTTGCGGATTGATCTGAGAGTGTTGACCCATTTGCTGCATCATCTGTGGTGTCATTTGCGGCATGTGCTGGGCCATTTGGCGGGCCATTTGCGGGTTGAGTTGGCCCATCTGCTGAACCTGCGATTGATGCTGAGAGTGCACCGGCTGCTGTTGTTGATGCAGCTGTGCCGAGTGTTGTTGTTGTTGTTGCTGCTGCTGCTGCAATCGCTGCTGCTGTTGCATTTGGCTCAGATAGACCATCATCATCTGTTTGAGAAACGAGCAAGGTGAGTTGAACAGGGAAAAAAAAAAAAGAAGAAAAAGCAAGAAAAACGAGTAACTCGTGCACGGGTAAACCCAAGACATACCGTGTTGTAGGTATTTGGGTCGAGCCCAGCAGGCATACCGCCCGCCATGCTTGGGTTATACATGCCCATATTCATACCAGATGGTGCCGCGGTCGGCTGGCCAGGCACAGCCGAAGTTGGGGTGGGCCCAGCCATAGACGCCGTGCCGTAGCTCGAGGATGCAGTCTGCATTCCCGCCACACTCGCGCTTGAGAGGGAGGGAACAGGCACGTTGCCGTGCATGGCCGCAGGGTAGCCAGCATGCATCGCAGTCGCGGGGGCCATTGTCATGGCAGCGTGAGCTTCACGGTCTGGCTCCTCTGTCTCTGCAGCCTTGCGACCACCGCGGCCGCGACCACGGCCGCGACCTCGTCCACCACGACCGCGACCACGGCCTCGCTTCGGTGTGGCCGCAGGCTCGGGCTTGCTAGTCTCGTCCGCCTCGGGTTCAGCCTCAACAACAGGCTCTGGCTCATCATGCGGTGGTGATGCTGCGACCTCCTGCTCAACCCGGCAACATGGTCCACATACACAGATTAATAAGAGAGCAGAAGAAGCAACAATCATTGGCCCACCCTCCGATAATGATGCACGGCCAGACAGACCTGTGACGCATCCTCCTCCGCGGCTTGTCCAAACAAAGGCGTAGGCATGGGGTTGGCCATGGGGTTGGCCATGGGGTTGGCCATGGGGTTGGCTGTGACCGTCGATGGGGCTGTGACGGCGGATCCTGGCGGTATGGGCAGGAGGCAGTGAGTTGCCGATCGACGAGGCAGATTAAAAAGGTGGCGAGCTGACGAACCAGTTTCCGAGTTGGCTTCCGCAGCGGGCGCGGTCGTTTTAGCTTGCTTGGCTTCGCTCTTGGCTGAGCCACTGGCCGTACGCTTGGCTGAGGGCCGACGCTTGGCTGCCTCTGTGTGAGGTGACGACCGGCCCCAGCACACGTGCCAAGACAACATAAGATGGGTCGATGAACATGGCAAGGACGCCAGGCAAGCAAAGTGTATCACGAGGCACGTACCCTTGGCTTCTTGCTGAGCACGCTCCAGAGCTGCAAACTACCCAGAACGTAGCCGAGAAGGCATGCATGAGCGAGTAGGCTGGTGCATCGACTAGACGTGCCTCGGCAAAGCACAGTACAAGCAAAGAGCAGCCAGAAAACGGTATCGTGCACTAACGTCTTCGGTGGAGAAGAGTTTGGTGGCAGTGCGCTCGGCACCTGGGGTAGTTGGGGCGTTGGAGCTGTCTGGAGCGGGGTCAGCTGGCTGTTGCATAAACTGTTTGCGCAACATTTGACGGCGGCTAAGGCGGTCGACGCTGCCGGCTCCACCTGCACCACTCATACCAAAGCTGCTGGTGCCAGGCCCAGCTCCAGAGTCACCCAGACGAGGTCCAGCTAGGCCTCGTGAATGAGACATGCGTTGTGGTATGCTCAGTTTGCGCTGCAAAAGCAAGGGAGCCAATGACAAAGATGAGTGAGAATGTGTGAGGCAGGATCCAGCCTTCTTGCGGTCACGCAGGACAGACCATGCGATCGGCTTGGTGTGAGGCCATGCTACCCAAGGGTTTGGCTGTGATAAAAGGCATGGCAGCAATGCAACAAGTGGTGGTCAGGAGTGGCAGGAGCGAGCACGGCGGCAAGAACAAGGACTTTTGGTCAGGATTAGGGTGAGGGTTAGGCTAATCAGCGGCCGACGTACAGCCCGAGGCGGGTCGGCTGGTTGCGCTGCGGGAGTGAATTTGACGACTGAGTGGTTCTGGTGCAGGAACTTTGGCAACGCGGAAGAGCCCTTGTTCCAGAAAATACTTTTTCTCTTCGGGTTTGAGGGGTTTGATACGTTTTTGGGTGGGAACCATGGCACAATGCTGAGCATCGGAGACTAGGGTGTGAGCCGAGGTCCATCGTTCAAGTTAGACAGCAGGCGAGCAACTGTCGACAAAGGTGTCGGGGTCGCCAGGGCCAAGGCGCGCAAATGCATTGCGAGCTTGGAGAGGAAAACGGAGGACAACATACCGGTGTTGAGGATTGAGTCCACGGCACCGGGAATGGAGCAGGTACCAGTTTGAATGCGCCATTCGAGACGATGTTCATCAAGGAGGGGACGGAGCAACTTGACGATAATGGCCAGCCAAGCCAGCTTGTGTGAGTCAGAGGTGGCTTCTGCTTTGTCCAAAAGGGCCCGGGCCTCTTGGGCCACGGTCTCCAACTCTTCATGGGTCAAAAAGGTCAGAGTAAAAAGAATCTGCAGTTGAGGCCAGAAAAGGAGAAAAAAGGGGGGGCGGGCAGGGTGAGCATGAACTGGCTGGTCGTGTGCGGCTGGTCGAGGCGAGGCGAGGTGGCACACCTTTTGAGCCACAATGGGATCCAACTTATCAAAGGCGAGGAGGGCCTTGTGATAAAATTCGCGATCAAAGGCCGAGGTCGAGTGCACGGTTAGAAAGCCGCCAACCTTGCCCAGCTGATTAGTCAGCTCGGCTGCGGCAATGGCTGGATCGTAATCCTCCATGCCGGTGTGGTCCAACAGGGCAAGGCAAGATGCGTTCACAAGTCAAACAAGAGCAAAGTGAGCGCGGCTCACGGCTGCTTCAACACATATGATCAACGCTCTGAGGACTGAACGCTCATCTGCTTTGCCGTTGGGGGACAGCTGTAAACCCTCGGGCTAATCGGTACCAGGTCAACAGTATATGTCAGTGGGTCAGTTCTGAAAGAGGTTGACCGAAAAACATGGGAATAATTAGCAAGGGTAGGTGTGTGAGGGCAGATGGGGATAGCAGGGACTTGATGCCGGCGCTGCCGCTGCCGCCGAGCGTCCGTTAAAAAAAAAAAAAAAAAAAAATTTGAGTCGAGGAAGTAGCATACAGGTCACTGGTTTCGTCTACTGAGTCAAAATCCAACCATCTGACTGATTTCGTCTACTGACTCCACACACGACCATTGACTGCCTTCGTCTTCTGTAAATCCTTGGTGACGTTACGTTTGTCAGCGATGGGTGGAAAGGGCAGCGGCGTCGCCGCGCGAAGATCCAGGCAGCCCGGATATGCATGTGTGGGCGGGTGCTTCACCAAGCTGGCACAGGCAGCGCTGAGTGGGCGGCTGAATGGACAGCCAGCCAACCGATGTGCTTCCTGTTCCGCACCACGCGGAACCCTTGTCTTGGTTGCCAACAGTACAGTGTGGCGTGGCGCTCTCAACGATCCAGTTGTTCCTTCTTTCCTGCTCGGGGCTTTTCTTTCTTCGCATCTTGTATTTTTCTTGTTGCTGACGAACGGCAGACAGTGCATATTCTTTCCTTGCTCATTTCATTACCACAGGCATTTTGAAGCACCAGGTAAGCGCCCCCTTTAACCTGCGACCGACTGACCATGACATGCTTTGGGCGCCCCTTGCCTTGACCACCGCGACACAAATCATCCACCCGTGTGATCATCACCATGCTCGTGCCGTGTTGGAGCTGTGTGAGAGCTCCACCATTCATGCACACACTTCCTTTTTCTCCCCTCTCCCCCTCTCTCTCGGAGTACCCCTCTCTCTCGCACGCACGTACACATCACGTCCCATCCCCCCACCTTCAGGCCGCCGTTTTTTTGAACCCCGCTCTTGATTTTCGTCCGCGACTGCTTGCATCATCACACACACACACACACAACATGGAGACTACATACAAACAGATTGCTACTGACACAACCCCTTTCTCTTTCGTCTCTTTTTTTCATTATGTGTGGCGTGTCATTGGCAAGCGTCATCGGTTCGTAGTGTAGTAGTGTAGTAGTAATGTAGTAATGTAGTAGTGTAGTAGTGTAGTAGTGTAGTCGTGAAGATGAGTGTCATGTTGCATCATCATCATCACCACGAGCCCATCACAGCTGGGACAGCATTGCACACTGCACTACTCTGATACAGAGGCTTTGGGGGTCATCACAGACGCAATCGCCTTTGACTACTGGGTACTACTGGGTACTACTGGATGCCACTGGGTGCTGGTTGCGACTGTGTGCAGTGGCTTTTTTTTTTTTGGGGGTTATTTTTCCCTTGTCGTGTGAAATCTCCTCTCAAGCCATCCGTCACCCGTCACGCTTGCCTTGCCTTGTCAATCAACCACGCCTCCCGCTTGTCGTGCAGTGCTAACGTTGCAGCGACGTTCGCTCGCCACTCTGACAGAGGCCGGCGCGATGGAGCAGCGTTCGTCATTTACCACCGATGAAGGTTTCGACGTGATTGAACACACCGAGGCCGAAGACATGCTTCCACAGTCAACACAAGCGCACCAGCGCCAAGATCGCCCCATGGAGAAGGCCGGCCAAGACCAGCCCTTTGGGGCCAACCCAGCCCAGTTCCGGGCGTATCAGAATGCATCGAGCAACGATCGCTCTGAGATGCGCCAACATGAGGATCAGGGCGGCTACCAACCCCCGGAGTCCTTTCAAAAGGCCGACGATGGCCAAGCCAAGATGAACCCCAGCAACCTCCGCCAAGGCGCCAACAAGGGTCCCGAGTACCACTTTGGGGACAACCCTTCCCAGTTCCGAGCCTACCAGAATACCGACTCCAAGGGCCGTTCGGAAATGCGCCTCAAGCACGAGGACAATGACGAGGAGGCCGCCGCCCAGGCCGGTCAATCTTACGCCACCACGGTCAAGGAAGGCGATGCCAACCTTCACCCTGCCCACGCCCGCGCCGAGGCCAACGCCGCCCCCGAGCATCACTTTGGTGACAACCCCGCACAATTCCGTGCCTATCAGAATTCGGACTCACAGGGTCGCTCTCAGATGCGGCAACACGAATCGGAGGACGGTTACCACCCCGATCACACGTACGCCAACGCAGCCAAGGAAGACCTTGACGACAATGGCAATGCCGCCCCTCAAGACGACGACCTTCACCCCCAACACTTGCGCGCCGCTTCCAATTCGGCCTCGTCCCCCGAGCCGGCGCCTACCAACGACGCCGACGAGGGGCGCACCACCGCTTTGAAAAACAAGGCCGCGGCTGTGGGCCAGCAGGCCAAGGCCGCCGGCGCCAACGCCGCCGCGGCCATCAAGGCGCAATACCAAAAGGTGGCCGGCCACACCGAGAGCTCCGAAGCCGAGAAGCCCGCCGCCGAAGGCGAGGGCAAGATGGCCAACATTAAGGACAAGGTGGCCGGCGTTGCACAGCAAGCTCAGGCTGCTGGGGCGTCAGCCTCGGCAGCCATCAAGCAACAGCTGACCAAAACCAAGGAGGGCCTTCAGGCAGCGCATGAGCAAGCTCAGCAGGAGGCCAAGGCTGCGGCCGCCAAGGCTGAGACTGAGGGCAACGCCGAAGAGGAGGAAGGCGACGCTGAGCCCGAGGAAATTGAGGGCGAGCCATGGTGGTCGCGCCCCATCAACTCACTCAACGTCTACCAGTCGTTTCAGAACGCCACGCACCCCACCGCCCAGTCCCTATTGACCTGGGAGCGACCCGCGCAGAGCGGCATTGCCTTGGGTGCGGCCGTTGCCATGTGGTACTGCTTCCTCACTCAGCGCTTTAGCATCATTTACCTGGGCTGCTTTGCCGTGGAGATGCTTTTGGGGGCTTCCATCGTCGTCCACATTGGGGCCGCGCTCTCGGACAAGCTCTTCAAAACCTCAGCCCAGCAAACCATCAACAAGTTTGTCGACCCGTACTATGATCTGGTGCAGGCGTATACCATCGACTTGCTGCCGCGCCACCAAGCCATTGTGCAGGCCATGGCCAGCGCAGCTGAGGGGGGCAGCTATGTCGTCTCGCGCGCGCGCACATGGCTGCGCTGCGACAGCATTATCGACTCGATCATGGCCTTTTTCGGCCTCCGCATTCTTGTCAACGTGCTGTCCGTCTTTTCCATCCCCATGCTTTTGCTGATGACAGTCGTGTACGGTTTTTCCGTCCCCGTGCTCTTCAAGCACTTTGGTCGCCAGATTGATCAGGTGGTTTGCCCCGTCTTGGAAACGGTGCGCGGGTTTACCGTCTCCCAGCTCCAAAAGATGAGCATTTTGCCTCGTGTCAAGCAAGAGTAAAAAGCAAACACAACTTGACCCCTTTGGCGTCGCAGCTTGGCCCCCAGCCTTTTGTGCGCGTGCGTGAAGGTGTTGTGTGTGTGTGTGTGTGTGTGTGTGTGTGTGTGTGTGTCGTATTCGCACGTGCGTTGTGCGTGGTGCGTTGATCGTTGTGTTGCATACACCCTGTTTCTTGTGCCGACTATCACAGCCGGGACAAGCTGTTGTCGATTTCATGTTGTTGTATGTTGTATATGCAGGAACAAACCCAAGGCCGCCCGATCCCACGCTGAGCGAGGCGATCAGTTCTGTGAACCCTCTTCTGCGGCTCGGGGTACAAATTGACCTGCACTTGTTCTATCGAGTCAACATCATTATTCCTCACACACACACACTGCCGATAGCCACCCCACCAAAATCAAGCAAATTGTCAGACAGCAATTGCATCATTTCCAGATCTTACGCAAATATGCGCTGACCTCCCGCCATAAGCTGGTTCAGCCTTGCTAAGCATATCCCTATTGAGCTAAGAAATCTGACCCCCAGGGACCTTGAGCATTGCGACACCTGTTCCGACACCTTGACGCTCGACGTGCGCGGGCACACTGCCAACCAGATCGGCGGGCGCCCGGGCTGCAGGCTCTCCGTGTCGGTGCTTGTGATTGTGTCTCTTCCTGCGTCTGTCTGGCCAAGGTACTGATTCTCCTATAAGCTGCAACGATCCGTGATCGGGTGGGAGGTGGGTTGGAGGCGGTCCGCGAGACCACACGTGGAGCCAGTGCAGTGCGACTCACAGTGTTGCGTCGTCCCATCATCGTCGAGAAAGTCGAGACGTGTCTGCTCAATACCGACGCGTTCTCCAGTCTTGAAACACACACACCCGTACCGGGGCTTTTCCCTAACTCGTTCACCATAGCAGGCCTTGGCCGGTACATCATAACATCAGGAAACACTCGGCGAGCAATTAGAGAGAGAGAGCGCTTAGAGTTCTTCATGTGAGAGCTTCGAGAAAGCTATAGAGAGAGAGAGAGAGAGAGAGAGAGAGAGAGAGAGAGAGACAGAGACAGAGACAGAGACAGAGAGACAGAGACAGAGACAGAGACAGAGAGACAGAGAGACAGAGAGACAGAGACGGAGAGACCACACACACACACACACACACACACACACACACACACACACACACACACACACACACACACACACACACACACACACACACGCACACACACAACAAGCAGCAGCGCGCGCACGCCATGACGACATTTTTCTTCTTCCGCAAGTTGTTGGTGTGAAGCTGCTGCATTTGCGACCCACTGCCACTGTCTGCTGCTGTCTGCTGCGTTGTCCTTGCTCGTGGGTTTGTAAGGATCAGGTACCGAGTTCAAGATGGATGCCGCGTACAAGCGCACTTCGACTCACACGGGTTACATGCCCTCCAAGAAGGTTCGTGCGCAAGCGCCTCGCCCCTCTCGCCCCTCGCGCCTGTCGATGAACTGCGCTGCGCGACCTGGGGCGAGGCTTCTCTTTTTCTTTACAACTGACCCTTGTTGTTGCACTTTGATGACGTGTGCGAATGCAGGCCAAGGATGGAGACCAAGTGGATAACGTCTCGCTGATCTTTGCCATTGACAGCAAGCCCGGTGCGCTGCAGGACGCCCTGTCCGTCTTCAAGGACACCGGCATTGATCTCGAACACATTGAATCTCGTCCCTCCAAGACCAACCCCAAGCAATACGAATTTTACGTCCAAACCAAGGAATCAACCAACAAGGTATGCTGCTCCATTGCACGCCTGCGGTTAAACGTCGCCTTGCACCACGTACCCGCTGTTGCCCATCAGCCTGCGCGCCTTGGTAGCGCAGAGTCTCGGCCATCCGCTGACCCACTTCTTTTTCCGCCTTGCTTGTGCCGTGGCTTTGGATGCTTGGTCATAGATTCGTCAGGTCGCCGACGCGCTCATCGGCAAAGGTGCCATCTCCGCCCATATCCTCGACACCAATCCCGACACCGACAATGCCTCCTGGTTCCCTCGCAAGATCCGCGAGCTTGTTCGTCACCCCCTTTCCCGGTCTTGTTGTCTTCAAAAACTTTTTTTTTTTTTTTTTTTTTTTTTTTTGGTTGCTCTCTTTTCATGCCATGGTCACCAAATCTATCTGTAGGACCTTTTTGCGGACCGTGTACTGGATGCGGGTCGCGATTTGCAGTCGGACCACCCTGGCTTTACCGATGCCAACTATCGCAAGCGTCGCGCCTATTTTGCCGACATTGCCATCAACTACCGGTAGGCAGCTTTGCCCATTCACCACCACTTGCCCCACACCCCTCTCAGCCGCAAGGGGACGATCCTCACCCACTTTCTTCGTCATCCCTCTTGCCACACCGCCTTGTAGCCACGGCGAGCCCATTCCCCGCATCGATTACACCGAAGACGAGATCAAGACTTGGTCAGATCGCTCCCGCTCCGACCGCCTCCCATTCTTAACAAAGTTGCTCGCCACTTTGGCATACCCGTGTCGCCAGTCGTTTTTGCCCATTTGCCACAGCCTGTGGTTCTCACCCGGCATCTGATCCCCACTACAGGGGCAAGATTTTTGGCCAATTGACCAAGCTGTACCCGACGCACGCGTGCGCCGAGTTTAACCAGGTGTTTCCCCTCCTCATTGGTATGTACCTCGGCCCGTGTCTCGTTTGTTTTGAAACTCTTTCTCTCCTGCTCGTGCTGGTTGTCATAAATTTGACCGGCAGCTCTGCTCAGTGCACACGTGTGCAGCTTGCTGAGCCTCATCACCCCTGCTTCTTCCTTCATCTTTGGGGCTACCCGTTGAACCGCTTGCAATACATTTTGACAGAAAACTGCAACTATCGCGAGGATACCGTCCCCCAGCTTGAGGATATCTCGCGCTTTCTGCACGATTCCACCGGCTTTCGTCTGCGCCCTGTTGCTGGCCTGCTCTCGTCGCGTGACTTTTTGGCTGGCCTCGCCTTCCGCGTGTTCCACTCCACTCAGTACATTCGCCACTCGAGCATGCCTCTCTACACCCCCGAGCCCGACCTTTGCCACGAGATTCTGGGCCACGTGCCCCTGTTTGCCAACAAAAGCTTTGCCGAGTTCTCGCAAGAAATTGGCCTCGCCTCTCTAGGTGCCTCTGACGAGGATATCTTGCGCCTTGCCACTGTCTTTTGGTTCACCGTCGAATTCGGTCTCTGCCGCCAAAACGGCGAGCTCAAGGCATATGGCGCCGGTCTGCTTTCCTCTTTTGGCGAGCTGGAGTACTGCCTCACAGACAAGCCCGAGGTCCGGCCCTTTGATCCGGAGACCACGTGCGTGCAGGAGTATCCCGTGACCGAGTATCAGCCCGTCTATTTCGTGGCCGATTCCTTCACTAGCGCCAAGCAGAAGGTGCGTGAGTTTGCCCGCAAGATGAAGAAGCCCTTCACCGCGCGCTACAACCCCTACACCGAGTGCATTGAGCTGTTGGACAACAACACACAGCTCAAGGAGCTCGCCATTAGCATCCAATCAGACATGGCCAGCCTCGTATCCGCTCTTGACAAGCGCACATAAATCCCCCTTTCCTCCCATTGAGTCACACCCTGCGCCCAGCAGTGGTCAAACTTGCAGCTCTGAAGGAGCATCCTCGTGTTTTCTTTCTGTCTCCTTTTTTCGACTCAAAAAAAAAAAAAAATCAATTCTTCTTCTTCTTCTTCTTTGGGACATTCACCGCCCAACCAGCACATTTCGAAATGTCCACACGTCTCAGGCCATGGTAGTGCGGCTGAAGAGCTCGGATGTGACCGCACTTAAAAAGGCAGGGATGCTGTTGCATTTGACCAAGTAATCTAGAAAGCGCAAACCACCGAAAGGGTGAGTGGCCTTGGCGCTGCACGGCACAGAGACGTTGTTTCACCAAAGGTAGCCACCCCCAACAATGCGAACTTACGCTGAACTTCAGTCTGCCACTGGCGCGAGTGCTCCGTGCCCAACAGCTGCATGCCACTTTTCATGTGTTGGAAGATCAAGGTGTCTTGCGGGCGCTCTGCATACATCGACTTGAGCTCGAACCTACCACAAGATCAAGATGGCGAGCGACAGGACAGTGAGTAAGGACCGTTGCATCCTCAGCTAGGCACAGAACCAAGCCATCATCACGCCAGCACATCCGACCAAAGCGCACAACGCACCGCGTGTCGTTGTCGTGGGTTGTCACGGTAATGTTAAAGCCCAAGAGCTCGTAGCAGGCTACCCGAAACTCAGTCACCTTTTTCTGAAACACGTCCTTCAGTCGCTCCATACGGGTTTTCAACTGTTGAAGCTCCTGTCGTAGTGCCTCGCGCTCGGCCAAGACAGCCGCAACATCCTCATTGGACTGGGTTGCGTTGCCAGCTGGAGCGTGCGTCAACAGCTGGGCTTCCAACTCTTGCACACGGCTACGCAAGGTCTTGAGCTCTTCCACCTGAGCTGCCTTGGCCCTATCAAAGGCGAGAGAGAAAATAATGAGCAGGTGCAACGAATAGACATTGCTAGAGCGCGTGTATGGAGCTTGGTCCCTTGAAGCAACGTTGCGTGGTGCACGGACCAGGTCACGGGGCTATCCTTGAAGCGCAAGATTTTGGTGGAGGCGGAGGCTGCCGACGTTGAGGCAGCCAATGTTGTAGCCGCTTTTGGTGCTGCCTCCAAAAGGGTCTCGAGTTCAGCGTTGCGCTTCTCTGCCAGCTGCAATTGGCCTTTGAGCATTTCGAGTTGCTGAAACAAGATTTTATCGACGTTTTTGGTGATGGTGGAGGCGTGTTGGTTGTATGAATCAACCACACCACGCAAACCCTCCTTTTCCTTGCGGTTAAAATCGAGCTGACGCTGCAGCTTGTCAGAGCGCACGCGGAGGGCATCCAACTCCTGAACATCCTTGTCGTGCTGTTTCTGCAAAGCGGCTAGCTGCTCTTGCGAGCGTTGGTAGAGAAACTCTTGCGAGTGACTCGAGGAGGAGGCGTGACTGCTCGAGCTCTGCAGTACCACGAGCTGACGGTGCAGATCATCCAGATAGGCTGCCAGATCACTGGGTGCCACGGGAATGGGCGCGCCGTGCTGTCGCAGCACCTCCAGTACTTTTTCCCATTCTTGGAGAAAGTCTTTGGACGACTCGAGGGCTGCCAGCTCTTGACCAGCTACCATCAGCTGTTCTGTCGCCCGTGCCAGCTGGCGTTGGTTGGTCTGTAGCTTTTCCTGTAGTAGGCTATTGTTCTCCACCGTCTAGCTCAAGTGGAGCGTCGGCAGCACGTGGAAAAAAAATGAGTTAACTTGACAGCTCTGACCAAGCCATGAGGCGTGAGGTGAAAGACAACACGAAGCTGCTGCGAGCAAAGCCGGGAAGCTGACCTCGCGATAATACTGGTTATCGGCCTGGAGTTTGCGCAAGAGGCGGGCATCGGCACCCTGGGATAGCTGTTGCTGTGTTTCCGTGCTGCGCGCCTGCTCCAGCTCCACGATACGAGCCCGGGCACGTGTAACCTCTTGCTCCTGTGACGTGCGCAACAAGCAGTGAGACCCGGAAGTAGCCGAGAAAAAAGAGTCAGGAAGTAGGCTCGGGGGCGGATTGTACCAAGTGAGAAGACGATTCTTCAGCCTTGCGGCAACGGGCTCGCAGGTCATGGATGTCGTCTTGCTCGCCCAAAAGTGTTTCGCGATCCTGGACGAGGCGCATCATCTCAGCCTTGAGAGATTGGATCTCAGCATCCAAGCTGTGGCTTGCAGAGTTGGACGACTGCGCTTGGCGCTGATGTCGTGCCAGTTCCTCCTTGAGCTGTAAAACGTCATCCTCCAAAGCTTGAATCCTACGCCAAGCCATTATGCTGGGAGGTCAGCGCCGACACCAGATATCTAGGGCAATGCGCCGCGCCAAGGTGTTGAGCACGATACACACCGGGTGCGCGATTCTTGACGTTGTGTCGTTAATTGTTCATCGGTCTCGGCGAGCTGTTTGGTCAGACTCTCCTCGCGATCCAGCAAGAAGCGCCGCTGCCGCTGGAGATCCGCTTTCTCAGCTGCGTGATCTGCCACATCTGCGCAAACGGTTGGGTCAAGCAGCAGAGGCCAGAGATGTGAGAGAGTTCGCGTGGGTGTGGGGCAAACCCAGGCTCCTCGCACCTCGTTCCCGGTGCTCGCGCTCGCGTTTGATGTCGAGGCGTAAGGCCTCGCTTTCAGCCGTCAGCGAGTCAATTCGTTGCTTGAGCTAAAAGTCAGGAGAGGAATGAGCCACATCACCTTTTGAACGTGTGCACAAACGAGCGCGCAAACAGGCATGCAGGCAGCATGGTGACAAGGCAAGGCGCACATACCTGCAAGGTGTCAGCCTTGTAATTCAAAATCTCGGCCTCCTGTGCGCGCACCTTGGCGCGTAACTGGCGCAAGTTTGCCTCGGTCGCCGCATCCACGTCGGGGGAAGCATTGGGAGATGATTGGTAAATGTCGAGACGCCAGCCCTTGACCCGCTTGTCCGGAGAATCATGTGCCAGCAAGCGGTCGAGGCGCGAAAGATTACGCCCACTTTGCAATGAGGCATCCAAATCGCCCCCCGCAGCCCCAGCGGCTCCACTCGCGGCGGCGGCTGTTCGTTTGCGAGCTGCGCCCAGCGACGCCATGGCGCAAGCGACCCCCTCGTCGCTGCCCTCCTGCCTGTGTGACCAACCAGCCACCGGCCTCGAGACCAGCTCTACGCTGCCGAAACGAGACACACAAAGCTCGGCTCTCAAGACACAGCACCTATGTGGATGAGCGTGTACACACACCCCAGAAAACCCCCCGTGTTCGAGCTTGTTGGACGTTATGTGCCACGCTTGCCACTGCCGGCCGTCACCCCGCTGCCGTTGCGCTGAAAAATTTCAAAAAAAAAAAAAAACAGAAGACGAAACCAGTGAACAGCGGCACAAAGTGAAGATGATAGATACAACACATGTTGTCAACGCTGCAACACGACCGCAACAGCCAGTAAGTGTAGACACACACACATGTGTGTGTGTGTGTGTGTGTGTGTGTGTGTGTGTGTGTGTGTGTGTGTGTGTGTGTGTGTCGCACAGGTCGCGGACGGGACATGGTCATAGCTGGGGCGGTGGCGGCTTCACGGATGGGAGGTTTGGAGGTAGGCAGTCCAAAGGCATGGGCTGCCACTACCATGGATGGGGGCGGGGGATATGTCGTGGCATCCTACGAGGGTGAAGTTGTCTGTAACGTTTTGGGCGTTCTTCAGAGGAAAAGAAAAAAGTAGAAAACAACACAGATCTGATGCACAGGGCTCAGTGGTTCAATTCGAGGAAGGATGGGAAGCGTTCCTTGTGCGAGGGGCTATTCTTGTTGAGGATGAAGGCTTTGATCAGATAGTCGGTCTACTTATGTCGCCTTGGACTGGATGTGCTGCAGGAGGAGCTCGCTCGTGTCGAGGAAGCGAGAAACGCAGTTGGACATGCACGAGGCCGTGCGCGAGTCACCCGAGGAGGAAATTTCCTTGCTACCGATACGGTCCACACATTTCTCAAAGCACATCTCTGCAAAGCCAAGCGAGGCTGCTGACACGCGGGCTGCCGCCGTCTGCTGCTCCATGAAGCGTTGGATTTCCGGATCGTTGCTCATGTTGACGGTTTGGGGGTACTGCACCACCCCACGCCGAGAGGTACGCACAAGAATGAGCAAACTCACAAACACGCTCGCCCTGCCCCTTTCCCTCCCTCTCCAGCCTCTGCCGAACAACTGGACCGCAGGGTCCACGGAACACAAACAGCTCACATACCTATTGGTCTCAATTTGAATGTAAAGTGCCCCCTTCCTTCTTCAACAAGAGCGAGTCACAGAGAGAGAGAGAGAGAGAGAGAGAGAGAGAGAGAGAGAGAGAGAGAGAGAGAGAGAGAGAGAGAGAGAGAGAGAGACAGAGAGAGAGAGAGAGAGAGAGAGAGAGAGAGAGAGAGAGAGAGAGAGACAGAGAGAGAGACAAGAGAGAGACAGAGAGACAGAGAGAGAGAGAGCAAAATAATTGTCAGATAAAGCTCACATAAACAAAACAGGTGTTCTAAGGATATGTTGTCCAAGGCCCTTAGTGACGACCTGGTCGGATGTTATTTTGCGCCGAAATTTCTTTTTTTCAACGTCGCGCATCATTATTTGCCAGACGCCAAGCCCCGCGACAACCTCTATCAACGTCTTGAGGAGGGGTACGTGGAGGGTTTACATGATGGCACTGGCGATTTCGCTTCTTCTCTTTTACCCTTTTTTTTTTCGCTCATTTTTAGTTTGCGTGCCTGTCTTCAGATAGACCATCAAACGCGCGGCACTTCCGATCCGCCAGCCTTCCCGACTGTGCACCACCGAAAGAGCACGGGCGCCACCAGCGTCATGGATGCTCGTTACGTTCGTGAGGCCTTGGGGGACACCCTTACCCGTGGCTGCGCTCTCGTGGCCCAATTCAAACCGGATGATCCCATCGAGTGGCTTGCCGACTTTCTTCGCCACGATGCTAAACAACAAGAGCTTACAAAGCTCCGCCACGCCGAAGCAGATCGCCGTGCCAAGCTCCTTGAAGAAGCACTGCGCCACGAAGAAGCCGATCGTCAGCGTCGTGTACGTTTCTTCTCACTTGCATCGTCTTTTGCAAGCGTGACGACACCGATCTGTGTCTTGACCTGATAGCGCTCATCTTTGCTGTAATATTGCAATGCCATGAATAGGCTGAGGAGGAACGCCTAGCAGCGGAGCGCCGCCCCAATGCCTTTATGAATGCCTGCCAAGAATATCTGGCCGATGTTCGTTTTTTTTTTTCTTCCCCCCGCCTGCTTTTTTTTATTTCTTCCTGTTTTTATGTTTGTTTGTGTGTGTGCGCACGTGTGGTCCAACCTTTTCGCTTCCCAAAGCTCTGCCGCTATCTCTGGAAGGCTCCTTCTTCGTTGTACCGGCCCCTCTTCTTAATCACGACGGATGTGTTTATCTTAGGTCAAGTCCCGCGAGCATGGCCTGCGAGCCTCAACTTCTAGCATTCAAGAGTTTGGCCGGGCGGCTCTCGTGCATTGCATTGCCGATATTGCTGACGTTATCATCAGCGAAGAGGTTCGTCTCTCAACAAGGTCGCTTCTTTTGCAGCATGGATGGCACCATGTTTCCAGGCTGATCACCGCGCCCCATTCCTGATGACATGTGCTAGGCTCGCAATCTGGAGGGCTCAGTGCCAATGGACGTGGTCAGCGTTTTGCGTGCCGGCCTGCTTTTGGTCGGCTACCCCAGCCCAATGGTCGAGGGCTGGGAAAAGGTCAAGGCCCTCATTGACCGAGGTCAGCTCCTGGCCCCAGCAGTGCCGACAGAAGTTCTGATGTGTTTGCGTTTGCGCCTCCACGTGACCTCGACTGAAACCCGGCGCTCAACAATCTCCTCCCCTCCCCACTCACAGAAACCTTTTGTCGTCGCTTCGAGACCTTTGACGCGATCAACCACACGAGCATCAATCGGGTCGCGGCGGCCGTGCGTGAGATGGATGGTACGCTTCCCATCACCCAAATACCATGCTTTTGGCGCGCTTGTTGTTGCTGAGCCATGACGAGCCCCTCCCCACCGGAGCCGAAGCTGGCCTGGCCAGGCTCACTCACCGATTCACTGCAATGTCTGACTGCTGCAGGCATTGACATTCAAAGTCGCGTGATTCAAAAGCACGCCTATGGCCCTCTTGCTGTCCGCTTCCATACGGTACGCGCTCTTGCTATCTTGCTCCTCTCTTGAGCACTCTCGGCGCTTGACAAGAGTGCCCGCCACATTTGCTCACTACATCACTCGTGTTGGCCGCTCTTATCGTTGTTGGTAATGGTGGCGTCGTCTTCTTGCATACCCCGCGGTCGTCATGCAGTGCACTATGGCTGCTGTCCAAGCCTTTGGACTTAGCCTTGACGGCGTGTATCCCAAGGAGACAGTGCAGGATGGCACCGACAATGTGACACACAATGTTTGGCGCCAACCTGCCGATCCCAACGAATTTTATGGTCAAGAAGTCGACGAGGAGGAGCTCAACAAATCCAAGCTGTGTGGCCTCGAGCTTCTCAACGCCGTGGTTCTTGATGATGAGCTCACCAAGAACAAGATGCGCTTGCGCGTGTTTTGGAAATGCACCGAGGGAAGCAGCTGCGATCCTGATGCCTCCCTTATCATGTTCGATCGCCATGGTGTCTTGCACGATAACATTTATCACCTCATCCACTCCAGCCACGACAACTCGATGCATCACATGGGTGACAACACCGAGGCCTCAGCTCACGTGCCTGTGGGTGACGACTTTGATGATGAACACTTTATTCTCAACTTGGCAGAGACTGATCCAAATACCTATGTCATTGCCGTTGTTCTCAACGTTGCCGTGGACGGTGAGGATCTCAGCCCTGTCCAGCAATGCAGCATGAGCATTCATGCCGGCGACAGCGGGCGTGTCCCTCCCAGTGGCTTGGTGGATTTCAACTTGAGCCGCGTCACACGCTCAGAGATGCTTTTGGGTCTCATTTATCGCGACATCAATGATCCTTCACAATGGCACATGATGGGCCTGGGTGAGGCCATTCAGGGCGCTGAGCGCGAGAAGGAGGCCTCGCAAAACTTTATGAATGCTGCTCCGCTTGCAATGCGCTACATCAAGGAAATGAACCTCATCCCCCCCAATCAGGTGCGTAGCCTTTGTTCAAAGTCCTTTGACGACAGATCTTATTCTGTCTCTCTGTCTTCGTTGCACCATCCACGTGGACGAGCCAGCACTGTGCATGGAGTCAGCGCTCATTTCATTTGCTGCACGTGTCCCGCACAGGATCCTAACTTCCAGGCCCCCAACGCTTTCAACCCGTTCAAGATGATTCCTGGTGACAACTTTGAGGTTTGTTGAATTGCTTTTTTTTTTTTTTTTTCTTTTCTTCTCCTTTTCTTTTTTCTTTTCTCCTTTTGCTTCTCCGTGCCTCTCTCTTTCTCACTCGCCCATGTCCGTTGCTTCTCCTTGGTACCTCCCTTGCGCTTTCAAAACTCAGGTCCCTGCGCTTGCTCTGGAGGCACCGGTGGTGATTGGCATGGGTTGGGATGTCGATGAGGACATTGCCATGGATCTGGATTGCGGTTTGGCCGTCTATTCCGGCTCAACACGCACAGACTACTGCGACTTTGAGAAGCTCACCACAAACGATGGGGCTTGCCAGCATCAGGGCGACAACCGTGACGGTGAGGGCGAAGGTGACGACGAGCAAATCATCATCGAGTTTGGCAAGCTGGATCCTCTCTCCGATGCCCTCTTCCTGTACGCCGCCGTGTATGAGGGCGGTGCTCTCAAGGATGTCGAGAACGTGCACATTCGCATGGTGACGCAGCGCGATGGCAAGCTGAAGGAAATTTGCCGCTTCTCACTGGATTGGCTGGCGAATGTTGAAGAGGACACAGCCGTCATTCTGGCTCGCATCAGCCGCACCGAGAACGGCGGTTTTGCCTTTAACACCATCGGTGTGACAGCACACGGCCGCACCATTGAGGAGCTTGAGGGCAGGTTGCAACAACATTTGCAATGATTTGCAACCGGCCCAAAAAGCCTGTCGGTGCAAGCCGCCGAGCCATAACATACTCTTGTTTCAATGTTGCATAGTCTCTTGTTTCTCAAGCTCAATTCAGGTTTCTTATGTGCTTATCTTTAACTCGCATATCAATCCAGTTCTGAGCAGCCGATTGCGCCCAGGTGGGTTCATTCTAGATGAAAGGTGATGGTCATGAAAGAGAAAGGCGGGATTTCCCACACATCTTGCCCGAGCACGATGGAAACAACATCGAGCTTGGGTGTGATCAAATCAGGCTGCCACGCAGGGTTAGCTGCGTCGAGGTCTCCGCTAGGCGCGGACAGCTGACGTGTCTCCGCTTGCACTCGTTGACCAGTGTGTCCGCGCACATCCAGCACTACACTCAATGGTGTAGCCTCGAAGTTTACCAGCCTGGTTGTGACCTGTCTTTTGTCATCGCTCACCAACGCTGAATCGAAAAAGCACGACCGAGCGTGAACAGGACGTGCTGACAATCAAGCCAATTGCAAACGCAATTGGCAAGTCCAAGTCCAGCCCAATCAAGAGAAGACAAGGCGGGGGTGCAGCTGGTGGCAGCGAGGCCTCGCGGGGATTTGAATATGCTTACCGGCAAGGTCAATCCCGGTCGAGGACGGGTCCGGTACACTCAAAACCCAGGGCAAGGCCGTGTCTTGAATCATGGCATGAACGTGGTACGGTGGTTGAGCCCAGGTTTGATTCGGAGCAAAAAAGATGAGGCCCTGGTCGCCATGCTGATCGGCCCACAGATCGTCGTGGCCTGAAGCTTCAACGCAAAACGAGGCTGTGCGGCTGTCCAGGCGAAGGCTCGCCGATCCACGCCGCTCATACTGGTTCATGTCCTGGGCCTCCTGCAAGGCACGGCGCATGTCGTGCAAGGTGCCCGTATTGGTTTCCCAAATTGTAAAGCGGGCGTCAATGCCTTCCTACGAAAAGGTGACAAATGAGTTGGTGGAGGCTGCGCCATGGGCATGACCGACGGCTCAATGAAATACAGTGGTCGTGTTTTTTTTTTTTTTTTTTTTTTTTTTTTTTTTTTTTTTTTTTTTTTTTTTTTTTTTTTTTTTTTTTTTTTTTTGGTTTTGAGACCTACCGCTTCCCATTGAGCAATAATGGGATCGAAGGTCGAGGCTTGTGGATCGTCGGCATCGTGCCGATCAAGGTACACCTGGGGTGTGGAAGAGGTTAAATCTCAGCGTTGGACCGGCAAGTATCAGGCAGGCCTTCAGACGCGGGTACGAGCACCAGACCTGTGCACCATATTGCTTGGCTCCATTTCTAAAAATATCGTTGAGGCACTCCCATGGGCAAGCGTATCGCAGCTTTTTGCCCAGATTCAAGCTCTTGGCTCGACCCTCCATCTCTGCCACTTGGGACACGTAATTGGTGTTTAAAATCTGCACAACGAGCAGACGGACAAGTGAGAAGATCCCCTCAAATGCTTGAGCACGGAAGATGCCACAATGGCCCCAAATGTGTGCGGCGAGAGGGGTGACAAACCTCGTTTCCGAGTTCAAAAAATTTGTCCAGATTATAGGGTTCGGGGTGGCCATCTTGCTGTCGCAGCTGGGCCATCGCATCCGAGGCATTGGTGGCGAACATGTACGATACCAGGTCAGCAAGATCTGCTGCCGACTCAAGATGATTGAGCGTGATGGTAGCGGTCATGTTAAGCTGCTCTGTAAGGTTGAGCAGCTCAAATGGCCCAAAGACGGCGGAGCGTAGCTGCGGATTCCAAAAATTGGAGATGCCCGAACCCATCTGCACAATGGGTGGGCGAGAGCTCGGGGCGCCGCGCAGAGCCTTCCAGTAGTAGCCAATCTCACTGCTGTTGGCCAAAGCCACGTCGGTCTTGACATAAGTGCCCCCCAAGCGAATGCCGTCGACGCCCATGGCCAAAAGGTGCTCGACAATATCACGGCGCACGCGCTGCTCAGGTGCAAACCGGCCCCAAGAGCCCGGTTGAAGGGATGCCATATCCAAGTCGACCTGGCCCTGGAGCAAACGAAAGACAAGCTGGCCTCCGCATTGCCAGCACGCATGCCCGATGCGGTCTTGGAGACCCGGGTAGCAGTAGAGGGGAGGCTGGCCCCATGGGTAATCAAAGCACGCTGTATCGCTGTTGCTGACGAGCCGAAAGGCCAAGGCTTCCCAGTTGCCAGTGCCCTGTATACTGAGGGTGGCCAGGGCCAGCACACGGCCTGCGTGAAAGTCCTCAAGGCTCACGGAGACCAGGGTGGGTACGCTGGCACGAGCATATACCAGGCCCTCATAGTCGTGGTTGGCCTTGAGGTCAAGGCCCTGGCCCTTGAAACCACGGTTACTAATGGCCACGGGGCCAGACGTGTTGCTGGCGTGCAGGCGTAGAGCTTGCAGCCCATTGAACGGATGGTCAGTGATGTTGAGCAACTGATCCGAGGTTCCTTGCACTTGAAACCAGTAGAGCGTCTGATTGCCGTTGTTGATGCCGCGAGGATCGGCCACCGTCTTGTCGAGGTCTGCAAACGCTCGCATGGCCGGCGCCGCCGAGGGCAGGTTGAAACTTTCAAAGGATTCTCCATACACCAGCTCGGTTGTAAAAGCATATGCTTGATGGTCATAGCTACGTGGGCGGTAAAAGCACGTTTGCAGGTGAGGCATCAGCGCACGCACCTTCTTGGTTCATAGCAGATGCCAGTGCCCCTGCACCCTTTGAAACCTGAGAGCATCACCGTACCCCAGATCAATGTGGCAGCCGTGCAGCCCTGGCGTATTGGCATGCGAGATATTATCCATGTCGAGCACCACCGTCGTCGGGGCGGTGGCAGCCACCGATCCCAGCAGCAGTGCTGCCGCCACGAGTGCCCTCATGATCTCACTGTCCCGATGATGACCCACTCCGTAAAACATCACAACAAACGCGCCGACATTAACCACGATATTTAGCACGTTGTCTACTTGATGACCTGCATCATCTTGAATAGTTTATACCTGAAATAAGCTTACCTATACATGAATATCAGCATTATCACTATTATTTTATACATAAAATCCATAAGCAAATACATCTTGCTCGACATCAACTGCATCTTCTAATTCACAACAATAAAGTGAAACAACATATGGAAGAAAACCAAAAAGTAACGATCAATGGATCTGAGGGACCTGCGCTGACCGACAGCGACACGGTTCGGCGGTCTGTGACAGTGTAGCGCTGGTCAAGAGCGCCCTTCCACAGTGGTACATTCATCTCAGATGGAGCCTACAAGAGCGGGCCCCCCTCTCATTGATGTGGGATTCTAGGCTTTGCTCATCCGGTCTGGTGCTTGGCGCAGGGCTTCGGTGTGACGGTTGTGGTTCACCAGCTCCCACCTGACGAGGCCAAGAACGAGAGGTGTGACGCAACCGCGGGTCAAGGGTTCGATGGATATCTGCCATAGCAAGCCATGCGCCGACACACCGGTTCATCCAGGGACCGACGACTGTGGTTTCAAGATTGTCTGTCACTTCAGCGATGGCCTCACGGGCATTTGGGCCCACCTGCGCGCGCTGCGCTACCTGCCGATCCTGTTGAGCCCAGCCATCCCACGCAATTGGATATGCTCGATTGCCATCGGCCCGCATTGGCAAGCTCTCCTTGATGCCGTCTAAGGCACAGACCAGTGTTGGTTGGGGTGCAAGCTCAGATGAGCTTGTCTTGACTGGCACCTCTCCCAATCCATTCCTGCCCAGGAGCAAAATACGAAAAACAACCCACAAAATCCATTGGGAAGTCCGGTCTGCTGCCAGCGCAGGTCAAAGCTCCAACGGATGTGATCGGATAGATTGTTGAGTGAACGGTGAGGCACCAAGTTGTTGAGCAGCAGGACTGAGCCCTTGGCCACCTCACACGTGACCACGTCCGCGTCCAAATCGCATTGTAGTACGGACGTCATCTGTTCTTCCGGCAGGTCAATGTACCAGGTACCTCCAACACAGCAGGTGTGCTGCCCGGCCAGCCCCGTACGATGTCCACCCCGTACGACCTATCAGGCATGTTGGGAAGAAGCATCAATGCTCGGGCGCTGGCTTTCTTTTACCGCCGCCGCCGCCAACACCGCCACCACGTCGAGGCACCACAACCTTTGCGGGCCAAGCCAGACAAAAAATGTACCTGCATGCACCCATTCTCTTGCGTGGCATTGACCATCGGGATCCAGGCCGTCAGCTGCACGGTTAGCCACACCAGCCCAACCGGTAATCAGAAGGCGCAGATTGCACCGCAACCCATGGCAGAACAAACAGGGGCTTGCCTGCAGGACGCTCCAGCAACTCTCATCAAGGTAACCAATGTCCTGATGCCATGGTACCGTAGCTTGCTCTTGTTGCGGTGTCTGTGTGAGAAGTCATGCGAAGAAGCCTTTCGCATCAACGGGGCAAGACTAGAGGCGTGGCGCACGAGACTGCCCGCCAAGACAAGGTGAAGAGGAAGGCGCATACATACCTTGCATCGAAGGTTCCACACGGGGTGTGCAGCAAAGTCACCCCCCAGCACTTGCTGGGCAATGTCAAGCAACTTTGGATTGGCCCACAGCTGTTGGATGTTGGGATGCAGTATGCCCTCGGTGTGCAGGAGCACAGAGGCATGAGGGAATTGGCGTTCCAGGGCTGTGAGGCGCGAAGAGAACCCCTCCTGCTCACACAAGTTCTGCATGCACACATCAGTCAAACGTGAGGAAATCGGCACCCTCTTGATCATGTCACGACAATAGCTCGGGCCAAGAAAGTAGCACCGGTTCTGATCGCACCGTAATCACACCGGCTTGATGCATGCGATGGGCCAACCGGTCCACGAGCTAGCAATCGGCAGTAGAGAAGTAAGGGAGCAGTCCGAACATCAGTCAGCACCGCAGAGCCAGCAAGATGGCACGCGCAAGATGACACGAGCAAGATGGCACGGCGTGGTTTGGTGGTCGGATCGGAGGTGCGAGCTGGCGATGAACGCACCTCGTCGATCGCATCACATGCCGGCTGTAGCTCAACATCTGTCAACAAGTTCTCCTTAATAACGAAACCTAGCCACCGCAGCCCATCAATACCGGGCTCAGGGTTGGAAAATTCCCACAACCTTTCCAGCCTATTTCCTGTGGCGGCAAGTTCAAGGGCAACCGTGTCCGTGCGACGCACCATCGGTGAAGAAAGCCTCAAGTTCGGCTTCTGTGAGCGGACCTAGAAATTGCCAGTCGGTGGCCGATACAATCACGATTGAACGACATGTGGGTCCAACAGTAGGAGGAAAGGAAGGCACTACGCACGGCAGCACACACCTGGTGTATAGGGACGGCGCCAATCGACCACGCGCTGTCGAAGCACCGCGGGATCCGTCTCTGTGGTGTTGGCTGCCCGCAGCTCTCGCGACTGCAGTTGTTACCCAAACAAATTAGGATAAGAGGGCTTTGAGTGACGAGCCTGCTACAATGTTTCAATCAACTGAACCAAAAGCCAGCAGCTCACCGCCAAACTTCCTACAGCACGGCCCCGGCTCCAAGGCAGTGCTCGAGGTCGCCAGCAACCTCGCCAAGATTGGCACAAAAGCGCTGCCATTCTGATGATCCAAAGCCAAATGCCAACGGACGTGTGTGTGTGTGTGTGTGTGTGTGTGTGTGTGTGTGTGTGTGTGTGTGTGTGTGTGTGTGTGTGTGTGTGTGTGTGTGATACAAGCATTTGGAAATTGGTCAGAAAAAGCAAAAACAAAAGGCATTTACAAAACAAGATTCATGTCACGCCAAATTGATTTGAAGGGCTGGGTTGTGGAGAAGGATGCGGACGAGCACGCAGGCAGATATGGCATCAATTGAGAATCCACGTTGAGAGTTTCAAGGCACTAATCAGACGCACAGGATGGCGCTTCTCTAGGCTCGAGGATGCCGTTGTGGACAAAATGGCAAAAGCTTCAGACACCACGCGGTGCGAACCAAGATACGTAAAGATACAAGCGACAATTGTTCAACACAACAGCCAGATGTCCGCGTCTTTACAGGGCAACACGAACGGGAAAAGAGCGGGGAAAGGGGCAAAAGGAGATGGCAATCTTTGATCGCACGCGCTGAAAAAAAAAAAAAAAATTACAGCTCAGTCAGTCTCCATTCGTTTGGAACGAATCAAGGCTCAACCAAACCCAAATCCCTCAGAGGCCTCCATAATGGCAAGCTTCAAGGCCTCGCGAAGCTGTTCGTAGCTCTCATATTCGGGCAGATCCAGTTGATTGAAACTGTCAAAAAGAAAATCATTCGGTTAAAAAAAAAAAAAAAAAAAAAAAAAAAACCGACCAAAGAATAACATGAATATGCCAAAGTTACGACGATCCAGCGGTGTGTGGGGTTGAAACAGACTACGTACCAAGTGTGGGCCTGAGGCAATCGCTGCGGGCCGGACCGATCCTTTTGAATGTTAAACTTTTGTGGCCCACTACACCGGCGATCGATCACGGCAGCGTGAGAGTGAGGGACGAAATTGCATAATTAAATGGATAAGGACCACACGCACGCACGATGGCAAGCCACTCGCGCGTTGCTTTGCGAGCAAAGGAGTAGAATGGGAAAAGGATGCCTCACCTCATGCCAACTAGCTTGGAGAAGCCACCCACGGGGATGCGACCAGTGCCCGTGACAAATTGAATCAACTTGATGCGCTCGTCACGCGAGAAGGAGCGCACCGCGCGCCAGAACCATTGGATGACTGGCGTGCTTGCCGAGAGACCCGAGTGATAATCCGTGTTGGCGCGCAAGTCGTCAATGTCCACCTCAGGCAGACCAGAAATCAAAAGCTCGAGCTCCGACTCGTTGAAGAGTGCAATGTCAGTTTGTGGAATAACTTCGTAAAAGCCCTTTTGGAAGGCCTTGATTTGATCTTTGATGGCCTCTGTCAGTTTCATGTCCGCGACCAAGCGCACGTATTCTTTCTTGTTCTCCTCAGTCACGTTCAAATCACGTCCCCCGGGCTTGAGATCAATCGTCTCCAACTTGCCAAATCGGTCCACGTCCAAAGAAAACGTGAAATCACCCTGGAAAAAGAGCAAAGCAAAGTAAGCTCACACGAACAAGCAAGCAAACACGAACAAGCTCAAACCCAATTCAACAGAACACGCGACAGGCACGGCCAGATAATGCAAAACACACCTCAAAAGGCGTCACGTCGTTCTCCAGGATGAAAAGGAGATTTTTGTAGAGAGACGAATCAACGGCCGCCAGATCACGCCATGACACGTGCATACCCAAGATTTGCTTGTAAAAGGCGCGGGTAAAATGGCAATCAAGCAGCTGATGATCAAAGATGGCCTTTGCGACCACGCGACCGCAAAACTGAAAGTAACGCAGATGATCGACGTTGATGGACGAGTGCTGATTCGGTTGATACGTTTCTGAACCCGGGGTCGACTGACAAAAGAGGGCGTAGTTCGGATTCATGATCGACTGCGAAATCGTGTAATACCACTCACGAAGCAGACCGCCGGCATCAATGCCCTCCTCGCCTTGGAACTGTACGTTGAGACGTCCACGCAGCTCACCCGCATTGAGTTGCATGACGCGCTGGTAAGAATCCTCGAAGAGGTAGTCACGGCGGATGCGCAGTGGCACACGACGGTGGCGATCTGGTTTGATCTTTTTGCGGAAAAACTTTTCTTTCACTTCGAAATCCAAAATAGTGGGAAATCGCGTCAACAAGCTGTATGGACGCTTGCCAAGGAGCTCGGGCCGCTTGCGCACAATGTCATTAATGACACTTGCGTGGGCTTCGAGAAACTGCAAAAAGCGCAGCTCGCGATCGTTGGGGGCAGATAATTGGCCAGGCATTGCCGTGGTCCATGAATAGCTCCGGGCCAAACCCACCGGCGTGGAGGGGGCCGAGCTGGTGCGGCTTCCAGACCCGTTCTTGTCACCAGCCCCAGCCACGGAGTTGGCTGAAGGCGGTGCGGCTAGCCGCGCCGCTGCTACAACATCTTGATGACAAAACAAAAAGGCCTCGATAAGAGGCTGCAAGGTGCTCAGAATCTGAATGCTGTCGTCGTACTTGTTGAAAGACATGAGACAGTGGCCCACAGTGGTCCAAAGCTGATCGAGATCCAACTCAATCACTGAACGTGGTGGTCGATACTTGGAAATCAAATCGGCCGTGCTTGGTACAGTTGATGACTTGGCCGTTGTTTTGTCCTTCTCTGCTTGGTCATCCCCGGGTTGGTGCGCGGATTCGGCGGGTTGGTCGCCTTGAGCCTCGGTCTCACCTGCGTCATCTCCGTGCGATGCAGTGGCTGCATTGGATGTGGAAGCACCTGTTGATGCTCCGCGTGCCGGCGTACTTGTGGGAGTTTCGGGGACGGTCGAATCGGTCGGCGGCTCCACGGGAGCGCTGTTGCCCGCCGCAGCCTCTTTGGTTTCCGGCTCGGTGGCCTTGGGCGTCTCCATGCTCTTGCAAAGCAAAAGTTCCTTGTCGTTGAGAAAGTTGACAAGTCGCAACAAGCGCAACAAAATCCGCTGTGCCGCACCCGGTGCAGTCATGTCCTGCAAGTGCTTGCGCAAAGCGGGTGAATCCTCAAGCCGCTGGGGCCCCATCTGCAATGGCTGCGGGCGCCCACGTGGCGGCGTCTGCTCATGCAAAGAGACAATCGCTTCGAGCTTGCCAATGTCATCATTTACGGCATCCTTCCAAATGTCAAGATATCGATGCAGAGCATCAATGACCAGCTGGTGGTTCTCCGCGTTGTACAGCAGTGGCGTGACCATCTTGTGGTCGCGCGAAGCCGAAACGTTGAAGGTGGCGCTTTGGCAAATCAGCTCAAAAAGGCTATCAATATCTGTCTCGGTCGCCGCCATCGGAGGCGCAATAGGCGGAGGCTGGTGGGGGCGACGCTTGACTGACCGCGTGCGTGTCGGAGTGGTTTCTTCATCCACGCTCGCAGCTTCGTCGGGGTATTTTTCACGCCACTGAAGGACGCTATGCTCGTGTTTGGCGCGGGCCTCAGCATCTGGTAATGCAGACAAAACGTGACTTAGCAACCGGATCACCTGGTAACACATACTCCGCAGCGTCTCCACAGGCGCCTTGCTCGTGTCCAACAGGATCCTTAGTGCAGGGCGTGCTCCCGAGGTGCTCACGCGCCCACGGCGCCGTCGCGAACGGTGATCTTGCAGCAAGCGGCTCAAGGCCGCAGAGGGCTCGCCGTGCCGAGTGGCAAAGGCAAACAGGGAGTTCCACAACTGGCAGCCCTCAGGAACGGCCAGAGATCGCGAGAGGGTCGTGCCCAAAATCATATCCACGGCCGGTGGGCAGTGTCGAACGACAAAGTTGAGAATGTTTAGGGCTCGCATGACGACGTGAACGCCGGCAGCAAAACGCGCCTTGCCATTCTGGCGCACCACAAACAGCTTGAGCGTTGGATTGGCCTCTTCTACGCGGCCCGTTTCAGCTTCTACATCTGACACTGTAAAGTCGACACGTACAGCCATTTTCACCAGCATGGTCAATAAGCCGGCGGTGAGAAAAGTGCGAGTAACAAAGGAAAGAACGTGCAACAGCAGGCAAGGGGGGCTAGCGTGCGCTTGCCCAGGCACGTACCGAGAGCATCACAAATGGCAAACAATGAGATCAGGACTTGGTACCGCGTCTTGGAATGGCTGCACAAATTCGCAAAGGTCCGAGCCAGGTAGGTCTCATTGTAAGCTGCCGGTACGATCAGCAAATAGAGCAGCTTGTCAATGGACTCGGTATCCAAGACCGCCACGCCGTCTTTTGGCAGGCGATCCTTGGCAGATTGACGCATTGCCGAGTGCCTGGACTCTTCACGGTGATCTCTCAGATGATCATGAGGTTCACCCCGATTAGTTTCACGCGGGAGTGGTCGCGCTGAAGTTCGATGCCGCGCTTGATGCTGTTCCCGTGCGTTAATTAAGGAAGCCGCCTCTTGGGCAAGGGCGGGCGGCAATTGAGATAAGAATGCTTCGTCGTTTGCTGCAACAACAAAACGTGCACAGGCAATTTTTGAGAATCGATACGCAAGGGCTCAG